GCCAAAAATTATGTAACACCACGAAATATTGATTTCCCACATAGGAAAGTATATATGGACCTTCCTATCTCGCCGAGCTGAGTCGATCTAGCTATGTATGTCCGTCCGTCCGTCTGTCCGTCTGTCCGTCTGTCCGTCTGTCCATGTTAATTTGTAATCACTCTACAGGTCGCAATTATGGCCCGATCTTCACGAAATTTAAATTGTAGGTGGGGTTAATGTCAGAATAGAACCCTATTTCTTTTGGAGATGATCGCCAAATGTTTAGGGGTTGAAATGGACCAAATACTGAAAAAATGTCTGATTTTGCAGTAGCTATACAGGTCGCAATTATAGACCAATCGACGCGGAATTTCGCATGTAGCTAGAGTTTAGGGCGGGGAAGAAGCCTACCAACTTGGGTGGTCATCGGATAATATTTAGCGGGTAAAATAGACCATATCTTTTTTGTTGAAAAAATTCAAAATTTTTCATTAAACCGCGAATATTTTAAATTCCGGCGAAATCACAAAGCCATGGCAAGGTTACTTCTGATCTTTACATTGGTGTTAAGATCCAAAAAATCGAATACATAGCAAATATATGCAATATATATGTCTATCAAAGAAGGTATGCTTGAAAGATCTCATATATGTCGAGAACTGCTGAACTGATTTCGCAAGTTCTTATTAATTCAGAATGGCCTCTTGGCAGGAAAGAAAAAACGTCTAAAAAATCGCATAAAAATATCTCTCTAAAGATGAAAATATTGATTTTGTAAAATGTTCTCATATTTTTTCAATTTTGTCATATTTTTGGCATATTTTCATTTTGAATTAAACATTTGGTAATATTTCTACAGCTAACAAAACTAAGTAGTTAGGATATCAGGATATCATATACAGATCGCATTTATGGCCCGATCCTTACGAAATTTTGCATGGGGATAAGATTAGGGTCAGAATAGAAGCCTACTATTTTTGGAGATGATCGCCATATATTTAGGGGTTGAAATGGACCAAAAAACTGCAAAATTGTCAGCAGGTCGTAATTATCGCCCGATCCTCACGCACATTTGAATGGGGGTTACCGCACATTGCAAAAGCCAAGCAGTTTCGGATGGCCATCCAAAAATATTCAAAGTGTGAAATAGTTTGCCAACTTTTGTAGACAAAATACGAAAATGTCCATTCCAGTGACTTTTTGGAGAATTCACAAATACAGGAAAGACGCACTTCTGACTATTTCGTTAACGCTGATTTCGTTGAAGAATATAGTCAAATGTCTGTATCTCATATAGATGCGTTTCAGTTAAAAACCAATGATAAATGTTAACCTTTTGCCACTTCTGGGAGATTATAGGTCTTTGGGAAATATTGGTTCCAGATCTAGGAAGACCATTTACGTGCAACATCTACCGATAAATTGGAAATGAGCAAATTAGTTTAAGTTGCTATTATTCGAAAATTAGAGAACGAAACCTGATGGTTTTCTTTAATTATTTGTCACAATATCTTGTGGAATTCTGTCGAGTATCTCGCCTATATAAACTGTATCGTTTATTATAGTGTTGTAGGGTATTAAACGGTCGGCCCCGCTCGACTGTAGCCTTTTTTTACTTGTTTTTTAATGAATTTTAATAATTTTTGGTCTTTCCTTTTTTTCAAAAAATTTCTCTTTTTTTTATTTTTACTTTATATTATTTTTTTTTCCAAAATAAGCTCGAACTCTACTTTTGCTAACTTGTATAAGGATGTTGACAAAAAAAATTGAAATTGTTGAAAAAACAAAATTATAGAATTTTAAACAAAATTTTTGGGTAGCACAGCAAATGACGAAATTGTGCTTAAAATAGGAAAATTAAAAGAAACAAAAAATAGATATTTTCACAGAACAAAAAAAAAATAATAAAAAAATTAAATGGTTAAAATAAAAATACAACAAAATTGAGAAAAAAAAAACAACTTATGAAAAAGAGTTAAGAGTTAAAACACAAATATATTTTTTTAAAAAATATATGTATGTATATGTTTCTAAAATATGAAAGAAATATTAAATACTTTTTATAATGTCAACCAACATTTATTGGATAGTCAGAATTTTTGTAATTTGAAAGCTCTTTTTTTTTAAGAAAAAAGCAAAACTATTTATGACACACGAAGAGAAATTTATAAAAAAATACGAAAGGAAAATAAACAGGTTTTAAAAAAATGTTTTTAAGCGAAATGAAATGTATACCTTAAACAAAATGTTAGAAAAACTAAACAAAAAACAGACAATGATAGAAAAAAAACCTAAACAAAAGTACCTTTTTTAGTATTAAAACAAATTAATACATGGGAAAAAAACTAGTAACAAAAAGATATAAAAATTTAAAATACATGATGATAATAATTAAATCAATGTAAGTTTTAAGAAGAAAATGATAAAAAGAAATATTTAAAATATATAGTTAATTTTGATAGCAAAACAAAAAAGTAACATAAATTAGACAAGGTTAAACAGTGCTACAAAAACAAACATAACAATAATTTTAATACACTTTGATGGAAAATTGTTTATACACAGAAAAGTGAGGTTATATTTGATTGAAATATTTTTCATTTTTTTTTTTTTTCTCAAGAAATTGTAATTTTAATGTAAAAATTATAATTGTAATGGTAAATATAAGAGTGACAATTTAAAATTGAATTGAAATATTAAAAAAAAATAATTCCAGCAAAAAAGTGAGGTTAAAATCGATCAATATTCGTTTATATTTTTTTTTTCAATTAAATTTTTCGAGCAATCATAATTTATCCGCCCATGCTGTTCATATTTTTTAAAAATACTTCTTTTAATACTATATCATTTTTGATTTTACATTTCAGAACAACGCAATGAAGATCAAACATAAAATGTAAGGTTATATCCGATTAAATGATCTTTTTTTTTAAATTTTCAAGATTTTTTTTTTTTAAATTTAAATTGAAATATTTAACGTATGAGGGTTGAAAGTAAAAAAAAAATATTCCAGCAAAAAAGTGAGGTTAAAATCGATCAATATTTTCTTGGTTTTATTAAAAATGAATCAATCCTGGTGATATTTTTTTTAAAAATGCTCGGTTAAATACTACACATTTTTTATTTTACATTTTTTTTTTTTGATATTTTACTATTGGCTTAATATTGCCTTTGAAAAAAAATTAATAATGTGTGTCAAAAAAAAATTATTTTTGGAAAAAAAAAAATAATTTTAAGGGAGTTCCATTTTTTTGTAATTATCCACGTCTCGAAGGCTTTTGGAAACGATAAATATTTTTTTTTTAACAAAATGTCAACTCCATAAAAGTGTATTTTTAATAGAACTTTCGATATATCCACATGGTCTAGTGACGTGACAAATAACTTCGTTTTAGAAAGAAAGTGTCAAAGGGGGAAATATTCTACACCGAATTTCACCATCAGAATCTAAGAATAAACTATATATCTAGGTATAAAAGTTTCTAAGAAATTTGCATTCCTTATTTATATAATAAAAGTGAAATTATATATTTGCTTATTTCCTATTAATTAAATAGGTTTCAAATTTCAGTCAAAATTTTCCCTAATATTTGACTTTTTGGAGAAAGTGTCAAAGGATGAATATTCTAGATCAAATTTAATTTTGAGTTTCAGAATAAAGTATATATCTAGGTATAATCGTTTCTAATATATTACATTCGAAACGAGGGTATTAAGACAAGAATTTGTATGTTTTAGCTATTTGACTGTTAATTTTTTGACGTTTCTTATTTGAGCCAAAATCTCCATTGATACTTTTTTTTTAATATCAAAAGAGAAAATGCCCTACAGCAAGTTTCATTATAAGTCTCGAAATAAACTATACATCTTGATATAATAGTTTTTAAAATTTTTTATTAAAACAAGAATTAATATTTTTACCATTTGACTGTTAATTTTTGAAGTTTCTAATCTAAGACAAATTCTCCATTAATACTTGATTTTTTGGGAAAAATATCAAAAGAGGAAATATAGTACAGCAAATTTCACCATAAGTCTCAGAGTAAAGAATATATATAGGTATAATAGTTTTTGAGAAAATAACATTGTAAATTTATGTACCAAAATAAGAATTTGTATTTTGTTGTTAATTTTTGACATGACTTTTTTAAATTCCAAAACAATAGAAGGAAAAAAAAACTTAGATTGTTGAAAGAAAATTTCCATATTTCCAAGCAGGTCCAGCAAAATTCCCACATATCCTATAAATGTGATTTTTTAAAACCAAATACTCACAGCTGCTGATGGTCCATAAAAGAGTACTTGTTAGTAAAAATTCCCACATACCCCTAATAAAGTGACTTTTTAAACCAACATTTCTGCATCTACAAAAGGACAAATAACGTAGATTCTGTAAAGAAAATTTCTAAATTTCTATGAGGTCTAGAAATGTAGATTTTTAGGCAGACTTTCCATAGCCACAGAACATTTTTAAATCCTCACAACTCCAGGAGGTTTATAAACGTGCAATTTTTAACGAAATTTCTTCATCTTAAGAGGACTAAAAACGTCGATTTTTTTAATGAATTTTTCCACAACATCAGGTTGTTTATTATAAAAAGCTTTTTTTCCTTAGAGTTGTTTTTTAAGTAATTTTTCACCTCTTCACATAGTCCAGAAGGATCCACAATTTCAGAATTGTTAAAGGAACTTTTTCCCAGACTCCTAAGATAATTGAATTTAATTTAATTGAAATGACCATTCATGGTACATTTCATAGAGGACAGAAAATTTTATGAAAAAAATTACATCTACACCATTACATGGTCCAGAAGAAGGATCCATAATTTTAGAATTCTTAAAGGAACTTTTCCAGATTCCTAAAATTATTGATTTTAATTCAATTGAAATAACCATTACATCTCGTTTTTTTTTTTCAATTAACTTTAACCTCACTTTCATACATAACCTCTCTTTTTTGTGTTGGGACTTAATAAACCATTACAAAATCAAGTCGCAAAATGTTGACACAAATTAGATAACATTTTATACATATATTTTTGTAGCACTGTAAGATGAAAATAATATATATAAAATACAAAAAAAATATACCACTAAAAAAGTAACAATAACTTAGAAAGAAATAAGGACACAGTATTTTGTTGTTAAATTTAATGTTAGTTCTGTATGGGCCGGCAATTGGCCAGATATATAGGTATATATCAATGATAATATTTTAATATATATATATATATATATATATATCTATAATTATGAATAGTATATATGATCTATATATGTATTTTTTTATATAAATGGAAACAGCGCAAAAATATGGATAATTGTTTTTTTTTGTTTTTTAATTTATGAAAATTTGTTTTATATGTGGTAAATTGTTTTGCGTTTTCTATGAAACGTACATACAGTAATACACTACATGCTAGTGGTATGGAAACACAATTTTTTTAATGAAAAAAAAAAAAAATAAAAACATAAAAAATGGAATAAAAAAACCAAATAAACGAAAATAAAAATAGTTGACTCTACATGGTAATTGTTGTTTTAAAACGTGACAAAGAAAATAACAAGATACTACATTGTTTGTGGATGATAATTGTTTTGTTGTTTGTTTGTTTGTTTTTATAACCTAAGTTAAGAATTCTTAAAAATAATTTATATTTAGGTATACAATAATAATATTATTATTAATTATAATTATTACAATAATATATTTATAAAAAATGCTACACAATATTTATATAAAAAACGCTTCTCCCGCGCATACATACCACCGTACCCCTGTCGCTCTCCTCCTACATGATGATTGGTTGAAGAAATAATTGATGGGTTGCTTGTGGAGGGGTACGTTTGGTTATTATTGTTTTTCCTTTTTTACTTAAGCCTAAATAATGATGATCATATTTATCGGTTATGATGACAAATGACAATGTGTATGTATGAACATGTCTCATATTTTCTAAAACATCTACAAAAAACGTATTTTTTTGTAATGCATTTTTTATGTTTGCGATAAATGTACACAGTGTGCATCTTGTATTAGTTGAGTTAGTTTTTGTGAAAATGTTGGAATGTCCTGTTGAATAAAAAGAAAGAAAGAAAAATTAATTATTACAATATTTGAAATGCTTTATAAAACAACAACAGAAAAAGAAACAAAATACAATGTACAAGTTGGAATAAATGAAACCAAAACAAAAAAAGAAAAACAAACACTAATGAAACAAATAACTGAATAAGAAATTTGAATAAAAATAAATGTTTTTAAATGATGTGAACAATAAAAGAAAATGCGGTGTTTTATTTTAAGAATCTGCGTAAACGATATTAGTATGGAGGTTTTTTAAAGAAAGAATTTCTCACAGTTACAAAGGACTTCATAAGGTTCAAAACTCTAAAAGGTCTCTAAACGTGGATTTTTTAAACAAATCTTCCACAGCTCCAAAAACTTCAGAAACGTGGATTTTTTAACAAATTTTCCACAGCTCCAAAAACTTCAGAAACGTGGATTTTTAAACAAATTTTCCACAGCTCTAAAAAGTCTTTAAACGTGGATTTTTTAAACAAAATTTCCACATCTCTAAAAGGCCTCTAAACGTGGATTTTTAAACAAAATTTCCACATCTCTAAAAGGCCTCTAAACGTGGATTTTTAAACAAATTTTCCACATCTCCACAAGGCCTACAAACGTGGAAGTTTTTAACAAATTTTCCACATCTCCAAAATGTTTGTAAACGTGGATTTTTTAAACAAATTTTCCACATCTCTAAGAGGCCTCTAAACGTGGATTTTTTAAACAAATTTTTCACATCTCTAAAGGGTCTCTAAACGCGGATTTTTAAACAAATTTTCCACAGCTCCAAAAGGTCCCCAAACTTGGATTTTTTCAACAAATTTTCGACAGCTCTAAAACGTTTCCACAGTCTCCAAACGTGGATTTTTTAATCCAATTTTCCACAGCCCCAAAAGGTCTCTTAACGTGGATTTTTTAAATAAATTTTCCACAGCTCTAAAAGGTCTCTAAACGTGAATTTTTTCAACAAATTTTCCACAGCTCTAAAATATCTCTAGACGTGGATTTTTTAAACAAATTTCCACAGCTCCAAAATGTACCTAAACTTGGATTTTTTAAACAAATTTTCCACAGCTCTAAAATATCTCTAGACGTGGATTTTCTAAATAAATTTTCCACATCCATAAAAGATCTCAGGACGTGGTTTTTTTAAACAAATTTTCCACAACTCTAAAAGGTCTCTAAACGTGGATTTTTTAAACAAAATTTTCCACAGCTCTAAAATATCTCAAGACGTGGATTTTCTAAATAAATTTTCCACATCCCTAAAAGATCTCTAGACGTGTTTTTTTTAAACAAATTTTCCACAGCTCTAAAAGGTCTCTAAACGTGGATGTTTTAAACAAAATTTCCACAGCTTCAAAAGGTCTCTAAACGTGGATTTTAAACCAAATTTTCCACATCTCCATAAACTCCAGAAACGTGGATTTTTTAAACAAATTTTCCACATTTCCCAAAACTCCTAAAACGTGGATTTTTAAACAAATTTTCCACATCTCCCAAAACTCCTAAAACGTGGATTTTTAAAAAAAATTTTCCACATTTCCCAAAACTCCTAAAACGTGGGTTTTTAAACAATTTTTCCACATCTCCCAAAACTCCTAAAACGTGGATTTTAAAAAAAAAATTGCCACTTTTCCCAAAACTCCTAAAACGTGGATTTTTAAACAAATTTTCCACATCTCCAAAAACTCCATAGACGTTTATTTGTTAAACTAATTTTACACATCTCCCAAAAGGTCTTTAAACGTGGATTTTTTAAACAAATTTTTCACAGCTCTAAAAGGCCTTTAAACATGGATTTTTCTACATATCCATAAGGTATGTAAACGTGGATTTTTTAAACACATTTTCCACATCTCCAAAAGGTCTTTAAACGTGGATTTTTTATCAAATTTTCCACATCTCCAAAAGGTTTTTAAACGTGGATTTTTTAAACAAATTATCCACATCTCTAAAACGTCTCTAAACGTAGATTTTTAAACAAATTATCCACATCTCTAAAACGTCTCTAAACGTAGATTTTTAAACAAATTTTCCAGAGCTCCAAAAAATTATTTAAACGTGGATTTTTTAAACAAATTTTTCACAGCTCCAAAAGTTCTTTAAACGTGCATTTTTAAAACAGAATTTCCACATTTCTAAAAGGTCTTTAAACGTGGACTTTTTAAACAGAATTTCCACATTTCTAAAAGGTCTTGAAACGTGGACTTTTTAAACAAAATTTCCACACCTCCAAAAACTCCAAAAACTTGGATTTAAAAAACTAATTCCACAGCTCCAAAAACTCCAGAAATGTGGATTTTTTAGACAAATTTCCACAGCTCCAAACACTCCAGAAATGTGGATTTTTTAGACAAATTTCCACAGCTCCAAAAACTCAAGAAACGTGGATTTTTTATACAAAATTTCCACGTCTCCAAAAACTCAAAAAACGTGGATTTTTTAAACAAAATTTTCTACAGCTCCAAAATATTTCTAAAGTGGGTTTTTTGTAAATTCCAAATATATGGTGTTAAAGTTTCATGGGGCTATAAGAAAACGTGGTCCTCTGCCAGGGAAGGTGGTGCCTATTACGAACTCCAATTTTCTGTCATAGAAGGGAGCCCTCAGATGGGAGCACCCATCTCCACTGATCAAATTTTAAACAATTCCTTTGAAAATTTGTGGCTAAAATCGTGAAAATACCAACGAGCGGGAGGTATGGGGGCTATATGTAAACGTGGATTTTTACAGGAAGTTTTCTGTCATTGGAGATTTTGACCATTGTGAAAACTTTTGAATTTGCGAACTCCAAATACCAAATTTGAAACAATTCTGGTGAGAAAAAGGGGTGACACAAATCATAAAAAATACAAAATATCTGTAGGTTCACTTATATGAGGTCTGTATCAAAACCTGGACCTACTTGGGCTGTTTTCAATACCAACAATTTGTATCAGCCTAGTAAATTTCGTTCGGAAACTAGTGTGATGTCCACAGACGCACACACATCGCTAAATCCACATAGACATTCTGGAGCCTACAATTTATATTTCAAGGTGTTACAAACGGAATGACAAACTAAATATACCCCCCATACTATGGTGGAGGGTATAAAAATCCACGATTATAGCTTACAGTATATAGAAAAGTGTTTCTTTTTCCTTCCCCCCATCTAAACCGTTTCTTTTCCAGAACTTTTCGTCTACTCACCGTTGTTAAACATATTTCATCAATTAGTTTCATATTTATCGGCAGACCGGCATTGGCAAAACTTTCACGCATTTTCAATGCATCCACCTGAGACATGGCAAAGAGGGCACTTGCCAAAATATCAAAATGCAATGCCCCCTCACCGGACAGCAGAACATTTATCAAGGCGCTTTGAAACGAGCCCAATAGATTCTCTTTAAATAATGGCCTCTGATACAGGCGCCATTTCTCGTGGACATTTTGCATTGACATCAAGACCGTGCGTACAATATTCGGATCATTGCCGGTGACCAATATTTGGCCATAGGCATTCATTATGGCCATAAAATGTTCCGGATGTAAATTATCGCTGGGATTATGGGATGAATTGTTCGCTGCTGCTGCTGTGGTATTGTTGCCATTATGCTGTTGCAAAACACCATTGGGTTGGACGTAGGATTTATAAAAATACTGCCATTTACAGGTGAGGATACTGAAACAACAAAAAGAATTGATTAGACGTTTGTATGTGACTCTCATAGCAATAGCAAAAATACCTATCGAATAGCGTATAGACAACGCTGGTGAGATCGGATGTATCGGCAACATTATTATCCATTTGTATCATTGGCATTATATGTTCAAAGGTGAAATCGAGAATTGATGGCAACATGGCCAATGAGGCATTGCCGGGCTGTTGAACAATCAACTGGAACATTTGTAGGATTTTCTCCATAACTGCAACACGACTCACGGTCAGCTGTTGTCTGAAATAATAGGAAAAAGGTCAAGGATTATCGTCATTTGCCTTCAAAAACGATTTCACTTCAAAATATTTTTTAATTCTCCAAAAAAATTTACAATATCCTCTTTCAAAAAAAATTTTTCAAGCATTATACGATTATACCTTGCATTAGTTAAATATTTTTTTAAAAAATGCCTCAATTATTTCGGCTTATGTTGAGTTTAGGTTATGCTCGGATTGGGCTGAAATAGTTATCAGAAGTAGGTATTTTTAACCTGATTACGGCAAGGTAATTTTATGGGGCTATTCGACCCGAAAATTCGCATATAATATCCGATTTTTATCCCGTCTTACTGAAGACCCTAGACACCAGTTCTCTTCGGACTAAATCCGTTTCAGGGCATTTTTTATGTCAATCTAGCGATGTCCGTCCGTATGTCTGCCTGGTTGGCTGGTGCACACGACCAACCCAAGGTCTGGTGTGAAGATGGAATTTATTGGTCCACTCCTTCTGGTAACTCCCCACAAAGGATAAACATTTTCAATATCTATGATGTTCATAAGACGTAAAATTATCATCCGAATCCATTCAGACTTGGCAGATCTCAATATTTCTATCAACACAAGAACTGTTGTAAAGAGGGTAGAGATCGGACCATTTCTTCTGCTACCTACTCCACAAAGGGTCCAAGCTTCGAATAAACAAATCGATTCTAAAATCCGAAATAAGCATCCATTTCTCTTCATATTTCACAAATCCCATTATTTTTACTAACACAAGATCTGCTGTAAAGATGGGTTATATCGGTCTACTATTTCTGGTACCTCCCCCATAAGCGGTCAAAATTTTGAATATCCATGAAGGTCATAAAATGCAAAATTAACATCCGATTCCATTCAGACTTGGCAAATCTCAATATTATCAACACAAGATCTGTTATAAAGATCCTAGAGATCGGACCATTTCTTCTGGTACCTCCCCCACAAAGGGTCAAAGTTTCGAATAACCGAAACGATTATAAAATCCGAAATAAGAATCCGGTTCTCTTCATATTTCACATATCTCATTATTTGTACTAACAAAATATCTGCTGTGAAAAAGGAATATATCGGTGCACTTCTTCTGGTACCTCTCCCCTGGTCAACGTTTTGGAAAACAAAACGCGAAATAAGGATCCAACTCTCTTCGAATTTCACACATCCAGATACGAATTGGACAATATTGGTCAACTGCTAGAATAGAATAATAACTCAAGGCTGGGGGTATACATCTGCCGCCAAACCCGACTGGTACTATTTAACTTGTTTTCAAAAAATTTCGGTACAAAAATACCAACTTTCTTGCATTACCGGTTAAATAACAGATATTTCCATAAGCTTTCAAATGATACCCATATTAAGTGGAACCGGATAAAAACCGGATTTTGTATCCGAATTTTCGGGTCGAATAACCGGGTATAAAAAATTTCAAAATGATCCAAGCATAAACTCAACTTGCTCCGTTATTTCATCCATCACTCCTAATTTATTTGAATTTACTCACCTACTATTCACGCTGATGAAAAGCGTTATCATTTCCTTGATAAATTGTGAGCCCAATTGACTTTGTAGAGTACGCAAAACACTTAAACTAAATTCGGCAATAGTAATGGCAAGGGCATTGCTACTTTGGCCGAAGGTATTATAGATGACTAAAGCTTTTGTTATAATTGGCTGTAAAGAACAAAAAAATCACTATTAAAATGTTGTCATAAAATTTAAATTCCATTCACCTCACCTTAAATGTCTGGGCCAACATGTCTTTTGTGGTATTCGGAGAGTCTTTAAAGAATTCAATTACTAAACTAAATGTTACCAATAAACTTAACGATATGGAAGATACTTTAGCTTCGCCCGTTGCCGGCGACACTGAATTCAAATCCAATTCCAAAAAACTTTGGGCAATACAGCTAATGTATTCGCGCAGAATTTGACAACGTCTCGTATAGTCCTGTTGCTGTTCATCGACATTCTTCCATGGTAATACTAGATAACTAATTAGACTTATGTAAATATTTGCAATAACTTGACGTGGTAAATGCGAAAGTCTGGGACCCGATTGCATTAGATTCGCAATGGTGGGTATGTCCAATAGGCATTTGGGACGTATCACAGAAGAGATGCAGAGCAACAATTGACTTGCTGCCATGTAGATTAATGGCGATGAGCCCATTATGGTATTGGGTTGGAAGATATTGCCCAACGATTCGAACAGTTGTAGGAGCATGTGATCGGATTTCAGTGATTGACACAAGGGTAAAATGCTGCGTATGGCCATAAGAACTTGAGCATATCTGAGAGCAAGGAAAAAAACAAATCTTTCAATACAGAATGTTTGGAAAACAATGCCACATACTCACAAATAATCATAATCAGTCTGAAACGAGGAGTGATCAACATCGATGGCATTCAATTTGTTGCTGGTAAAAAATTTCAATGTTGTTAATAGATTTTCAGCTAATATATTTAAATGGCAGTTAACTTCAGAGGCGCTGCCGGCATCACCCGCCGCAGCAGCATTGACATCGAGCAATGGTGCAATTCTAACCACCGCCTGACAAACCGTGGAAAAATCCCTCAAATGCTCGGCAAAGAGTTGAGATCTTAATTTACGTGCCAACTCAAATGTCTTGCCACAATCAATATCGTTTTCAATGGCCTGCAATTGTAGGTGGGGTCGTGACCAATGACTAAACACCTGGGCGAATACAGCATTTGGCCGAGACTCAGCCACCAAGGCAATACACTCGATGCATTGTGTTAGATACTGTTGCCATTCGGTTTGGGTCTGAAAGGGGAAGGGAGAAAAAAGTAATTTTAATAAAAATGTTTTCAAAAGAAATAATTTTGATCTGAAAAAATTGATAACAAATAAAAGGTTTAAACTTCAAGTGTACTTCGATATTCGCCATTTAAATTCCATTCCATTTAAATATCCAAAATATACACGCCCTTCCGAAAATGTTGCATTTCAAATAGTCTTTGAAAAATCCCACGATTGTACTCCCAAAGGTCCCTCCAAAATATTTCTCAAAACCCCGCGATTTTAACCCAAAAGATCCCTCAAAAACTATTTTTAACAAGTAAAATAGTATCAGTCGGTTTTCCCGACAAATGTATAACCCCAGCCTTGACGAAAATTGGCCAATTTGTATCTCACCAAAGATTGATATAAATATTACAACGTGCCAGATTTGGACTATATCGACTACTTCCTATATTTTATATGAGATATGTGCAAATTTTTGGAAAATGTGGAAATATGCGTGAGGAAAGAGATATATAGGACGGAATTATTTTCATACCTTATCTAATACGGATAAAAATATTGGTTTTGAATAAAAATATTGAAATTTGAAGAGAGTTGGATGCTTATTTCGCTTACTTTGAACGTTTGTTGTTTAAAATCTTGAATCCTATGTTATTGTGGTAACAGAAAGAAGGTTCCGATCTCTACCATTTTCTTTCTTTGTAACAGATATTGTGTTAATGGAAATATTGAGATGTACCAAGTCTGAATGGAATCGGATGTTAATTTCGCGTTTGTGGGGAAGGTACCAGAAGAAGTAGACCGACATCTCCCATCTTCACAGCCGATCTTGTTGAAATAATGGGATGCGTGAAATATGAAGAGAACCGAATGCTTTTTTCGAATTTTATGATCGGTTTTTGTTATTCAAAATGTTGACCCTTTGTGGGGGAGGTATCAGAAGAAATAGTCCAGTCTCTACCATTTTTATAGCGGATCTTGTGTTGATAAAAATATTGAGCTGTGCCAAACCTGAATGGAATCGGATGTAAATTTCGTGTTTTATGAGCTTCATGTATATTCAACATTTTGACCCTTTGGGGGGTAGGTACCAGGTACCAAGGAGTGGACCGATATATCCCATCTTCACACCAAACCTTGGGTTAGTAAAAATATCGTGATGGGTGTAGTTTGAAGAGAACCGGATGCTTATTTCGGATTTTATGATCGTTTTGGTTATTCAAAATGTTGGGGGAAGTACCAGAAGAAATGGTCCGACCTCTACCATCTTTATAGCAGGTCTTATGTTGATAGAAATATTGAGCTGTGTCAAGTCTGAATGGAATCGGATGTAAATTTCGTGTTTTATGAGCTTCATGAATATTCAAAATGTTGACCCTTTGTGGGGGAGGTATCAGAATGAGTGAACCGATATATCTCATCTTCACACCAGATTTTGGGTTAATGAAAATATTGTAATGTGTGTAATTAGGGGACAATCGGACACTTACATCACATTTTATAAGAGTTATAATTATTCAAATGGTTGATCCTTTGTGGGAGAGGTACTTGGTGAAGTAGACCGATATTGGCCATTGTCGCACATGACCTACCACTAATGCAAATATTAGGAATTGCAAACTTGGAGGAAATCGGATTATCCTTTCTCTTGCTGTGCAGTAAATTGTTTTCTTTGAAAATGTCGACCTTTTGTTGGGGTGATACCAGAATGAGTGGACCGACATCGTCCATCTCCGAAATCGATCTAAGTTTGATAACAATATTACAATGTACCAAGTTTGGATCAAATCGGATACTCCCTTCGAGAATTATCGTGCACACCAGCCAGCTAGACGGACGGACGGACATCGCTAAATCGACTCCAAATGTCCTGAAATGGATTTGGTGGTTATATTAAGTTTAAGTGCAAAACTTTTAGTATTAAAAAATGGGCCACAAAGATCCAGGTTTTGGTATAGCATCCATATAACTATACTGACAGATTTAAGAACTTTTGGTTGTTTTAGACACAATTTAAAGCCGAATTTGCTGTAAATTGGGTCCACGTTTTTTATAGCCCCCATTCAAAGGTATTTACCTATATTCGCTATTTTGATTATTTTATCTAGATTTTTCAACGGAAATGCTTTAAACTTGGTATTTAGAGCAATAGACACCACCTTCTCTAGCAGATAATTGGGTGTAGAGGTCCACGTCTTCGTATAGCCCCATATAACTATAATACCATATATTCGGAATTTTTAAAATTTTAGCGGCATTTTTCAACGATTTTTTTACATTTTTGCAAGTTCCTTCCATGTGTTGGAAGGTATTAAAAGTTCGGTTTCGGAACGAAGTTGCTTTTTTATTTGTTTTTGCAAATTAACTTACATTGTCCTCCATTAGCTCGTTGTCAAGTAGTTCCAGCTCAGTCTTATTATATTCAAACTGTGTGCGACGCATTATTTCGCCAACTAATTGGAGGACTATATCATTGTAACGATTCAGTTTTGCATTAATTGCCAATCCCTTGATAATGGGTGTCCAAATTTCCAGCTTTTCGGTAAAATCGTAGGCTCCATTTTCTGTCAACAAAAAAAAAAACATTCAATTAAACAAATAATAAAAAAATCAATGCACTTTCTCACTCACCACATATTGTACAGGTGTAGAGGGCCTTTAGAAAGACCTCCAATACCGATGATTCCTGAACCATTTTTTGCCAATATTTCACGGCATAGAGACGCAATAGCTCACGAAATTTATCAACATACATTTCACATTGTTGCTTTGAGTTATTGTGCTGATCCAGCAGGACATTGACGCTGGTCATTAAAGTAATGCTACAGGGCAGAGCTTTTTGTAAATACAACAGTTCATTGAGGACCGACAGACCGGCCAGCGACAAGTCTTGATGTGACGAACGCCATTGTGATAAATCCAATATGGACATTAGAAAATATTCAGATATTAAATCAGTACGTATCCATGACACTAAATGTTGGATACACGTTAGCAGTTCTAACACAGAGGAACTACAATGGACAGCAAAAAAAATTACACACAACATTAAAGGAAACGAATTTTAAAGGATGATGATAAAGTTATTACCTTAATTGATTGTCATTTGGCAGCGTTGCTATTAAACTATAATCCATGAGTGTATTTGATATGGAATTAATGTCTTTGCCATTGATATGACACACAGCTATTAGTAAATATTTTGTTAATAGATCCATTATTTCAGGCATACACATGGAAATGCTATCATTTTGAAAGTTGTTTTTTCGGAGGGTGGGACGAGAGGGGAGAACAAAACACAATAGAATTAGTACATACATATCATATTCAAGTCGAAAGTAAATATTTTTCTCTATTCAAAATGTTTCTTTTCTTGAAAATGGCGGTCCTTGCAAATTTTTGCAATAAAACTGATACAAAAAGTTCATAACTGATGCTTTCAAAAATTTAAATATTTTCATAAAATTCACTATTAGTATGCACATTGTCTTCACCTAGGGTGTTATAAACGCAACCGTTACTACTTCTGCTTATCTCAACATCGCAACTTTACGAAATTATTTTTCTATGCCGTAAGGCACAATATGGTTATGAAAAGTTTTGTTGGTTATTTTCTTTTGCAAAATGAGTCATTGAAGATATAAACCCACTGGATTATAAATAAGCAAATTGAGCTGTTCTGTGTTGCAATGAATTTCCAAGCAGGCCCAACAAACTCGAACGTGAGTGGTATTACAAATTATAAAGCGTAGTTTGTTTAAGGCGTAGGTAATTTTATGAAAGATAAAAGGCAGGAAGGGAAACCGAATGAGAAAAATGGACCTTTCTCTTCACTCCTCCATCCACAAAGCACTAATCTTCGGTACTGTAAATACTCAACTAAATACAAATCTTAAAACCGAAAATGCCTTAGGAAATGGGAGCAGCATCTTGCCACAAAAACAATATAGACCACATATGGGAATTGCTTTAACAAAAAAATAATTAAACACATCATTACGAATCACAAAATACCCACAAGTCTTACTTACCAGGAATGAAAATATTGTTTTCGATCGGTACTGACATCCTCACGATTGCTAACCACCTCCTCGGATGTGGTACGCAGCAGACATATGCCCAAAACAAAATTCGACTTGATCAGCGTTATGCAGTGGGCAATATAATTAGGATCCTCATCGGGAAATTCACGTTTACCCATGTGAGCTATTAACTGAGCATATGTGTCACGTTGCCGCTTCACCGTCGACCCCATGGGCAGATTTATGTATGTACGCCACAGGGTCTCTCTTATCATTAGACGATCTGAGCTTCCCAGCTGCATCCATCGTCGTGTTATCGAATGTTCCAATGTTGATGTGCAGAAAAACCATAGAAATTGATTTTGCTCAAAGGTGCCGGCATTACTGATCACACTCAGACATGTCTTCCAGGCATCGGATTGATTTTTAAAAGCTATCAAATCGGATTCTATTTCTCTTTTGCGGTTATTAGGTGTGGTCGTTGCATAGAATTCATGTAACAATGAATCCACCATAACTAGGGGGGATGACTGTTATTTTGTAATGAAAGAAAAGCCAAAAATAAAGTTAGACCTCCAATTACATTCTAAAATTTGTTTTCCAAAAAACCGCTTACCATTTTTGGACTCCCAAGGAAAACAATACAATTTTTCGTGTTTTTCGTATTTTCTATGGCCACCACAATCAATGTACCAAGTTTGTGTGTTGGTGACACTTCGCTAGCAATTGTCCCCTTCTTTGTCGCCACAAAATAAAAACGTCGTATGGCTATCGAGAAAATGGAAATATTTCGTTCTAATTTGATTTTGGCCTTTTCGCAGGGAGTAAAAATTGTGTTTTGTTATGCCAACGGAATATTAGCCATTAAGTTAATATATTTTTTTTATGGTAGCCTTCCGATCCTTCCTTCTGCAGTAAAATAACCCGTAAAAACCTAAAACCCAGACAACGAAGCTGATCGAGTTTGTTTGGCGGCGGCGTCTTTTCGCCTGAACTGTTTTTTCTCCCAGTATTCAAAAGTGCATGTGTTCACTAATTGAACCAAGGGACGAGTGTCAACCGGAAAGCCGTTTACATTTTTTTTTTATTTTAAAATCCCTAAGCGCGTTGGGAACTAAAAGGGGGGGAAAAAGGGGAGGGGATAATTAGCCGTTTACATTTGCTGTTGTAGAACCTGCAAGAATTTGAAATTATTTTGGAAAGTGTTATCGTAGTAAAAACTTGTACATTATTGCAGTTCTGGAACAGAACAATGATGTAGGAGCTGTATGTCAAGGGTAATTTTCCACAATTATCTGTAGCATTTTTATGATATACTTTTAGACGCTCCCCAGACTTTTAAGACAGAAAAAGTAAAGCTTTAATATAGCATAAATTAAAAAAATTATACAAATGTAATTATTTATTTATTTATTTTTTTTTAATTTTTAATAAAAAATCATTTTACTGGAGCCATTTTTAGACAATCGAAAGGACGGAACTAGTTCAGCTTTGTGTTCACAATAGTTCATGTGGGGATACAGTTCCCTGTGTTCATTTACAAATGCGTCGAATTTTTCCGAAAAGTCATTCATTGAAAATATTCTTATTAGAACTGTATGCTTATCAGTACGAAGTAAGATAAATGTGCTAATTAAAAGTTTTTTCTTTCAAAAATATTGTTTTTTGCTTTTGAATGGATTTTCCAAAATAAGGAAAAAGTGTTAAGCCGATATTGAACGGCGTCTGTGTTTAAATCAACAGCGGTAATTTTTTGACATATTTAAACATAACGTGTTTTGTTCACATAGATTAGATCATGGCAGAAGAATACAGGTAGATGCATCAACGCTTGGAAGCATTGATATGTCAAAAAAAAATTAAATGTTTATTCAAATATAGGTAGATTTTTATATGTTTTCTTATACTACGTCATTCGGAGGCTATTATAATTTGCGTTTTTCAACAATTTTTACAAATTTAAATAATTTTTCATTCAAAATTTTCAATTCCAAAATTGGTTTGACAGTTCATTGTCCCAGCAGCTGCGTCGACGCGTCTACCTATATTCTTCTACCATGGATTAGATTAGCTGTGTCGTCCGCCGTCTTGTTTACCCGCGATGAAGCAAGCTTAGAGTAGCCCAAAATGTCCATACAAAAATATTTATTACAAATGCCAATCCAAATAAAAATATTAAAAATATAGTTCAGTAAAAATTACATTACTAAAAATACAAAACTACTACTTTTAACCACGAAACTTTAGTACTTCAACTGCTACTGCGTGGGAATGCGAAAGTAAACGTGACTCAACCCGAAGGACAATATCTCTTTAGACTTTTTCAGGTATTCGACACTTTCTCGATCGATAGAGATTTGCCAAACTTGTGTACAACCTTTATAAAAACATTTGATCACTCGCCAATTTGCAATGTTTAGTCCAATATTCTGTTTTTGTAGCAACTTTAATAAATCTGTCTCATTCGTTTTAGGAGGTGGTACCCATGCCGTCACCTCTACTCTGCAGGGTAACTCTGAGATCGAAATCGCAACCAAATCTGCACCTTTCCAAGGAGCTGTCAAACTATTAATCGCCCGCTTGAGAAATTTTCTCGACTCTTCATTCCAACAATTTATGACTTTAACGCCCTTGTACTGACGTGCTTGGCCGAAACGTGTCTTATTTGCATCCACTTTGTCCGAGAGAATAATACTTCTTAGATAACTCTCAATACGCAACCAATTACCATCGCTTATTTTCCCTTCGTAGTCGGCTCTATCAATAATTGCTACGGAAAGATTGTCGGGGACCATCAGCTCTGGAGGTGTATCATTTTGATACGATTCACAGTGGATTTTCTTATAGGGCCTCCTGGTGTAAATTGCCGCAGATGTTTCGTAGTTTAGTGTTTCTTCTGGGGAAACCGATTGGTCATCCTCCCAAGACATACCGGTACTGGCGTCTTTGGGGACCTCAGTCCATTCAGTGGTTGATGATACATCGGGTTTGGCATCCCAATGTGTTGCGTTATCGAATTCAGTCTTGACAGTAGGATCCTTGGTCGAAATTGATAGTTGACCACGCGATAATTTCAGCTCAGCTGAAATATTTACAATCTCTGGGCTCGTTTCCCCAGCACCCAACGTGTCCGCTGGTATTGAAGTATCTGTCGGACTCTCAATTGCCTGTGGCTTTTTGGAATTGGTAGAACTTGTTGGATTTTGACGTGCCGTATCTTCCCCATCGATCGAAGTACTGGTAGCCTCCGATTTGGAGAGCGGAATGCGATCTATTGGCAGGTATCTTCGGCGTACGTGGGGATACCTATACTCGAAGTTTCTGATAAATTTAAGCTTCGCCCTTATATCCCGAAACTCGTTATCGGTCATCTTATTCGGGTCCCTATCAATGTACCTAGCACAAAAGAAGATTGCTCTTCGATAGGACCCTTTTTGATTTTTTTCTTTAATTTTTTCGGCCTTTGCATTACGATTATTTCGTATTATTTTCTTACGCCAACTATATGAGGACGAAGCTGGACCTGCCATCTCTTCGTCGGATTGGGTTGTGCCGATAAAGAATCCGTCTGTCGAGCACCTTTCCTCCATAATGGAACGAATATCTCTGCTCTGCACCGTGTCGTTATCCTTAGCTGAGATTTTTAGCCTACCTATAAGAAAACATTGTTAGTTGGACTATATCAGACATTCAAGACATTCATCTAAAATATTTAAAAATTTTAAATTTCGAAAGGAATGAAGTGTGAAACTTATGAAAATTCCTATCCAACAAGTGGTTCGTTTTGAGTTAAAGCAAAATACTATTTTCATTGACCCGCATTTTTTTCAACCCCAAGAAGAAAAAAATAAACTACGCTACTTATAATTCTATCGCTGTATATAACTTTTTTTTAACTTTTCCTTTTCCAAATTGACTTACTTGCACGAAATCCAAATAGACGGTGTTTTTGTCTTGTATGCTGCACACCACGAAGTAGTGTCCACTAAGATAAATATATTGTTGTTTCAGTAATGCTCTTGGAATTAAGTGAATAGATTTTTAAGATTCTTAAGACTAAAAATTCCCTGCCAAACGTGGTGAAAGCAAAAAACAAAATTTGCAAAATTATCGCAATTGCAATTTTCCTTTTTGAACTGTGTCCTTCCGCAATTCCAATTATTGCTGTTGTTATTGTTCACAAAACCAAACTATAGGAACTAGTTCAATAAATCTATTATTCACGTTTGTTCTTTTTAAAAGGAAAAAGCAAAACCCGCAAAATTAACAATTCACTGAACCAAACTATAGGAACTAGTTCAACAACATCGTTTTTTCCCGGAATGGGCAATAATTCGTACAAATTTTCTCTGATTCAGCGTTGTCTGTTGAGAACAAGTGAGAATTTGAATCAACATTCAAAATTATATTATACAATGAAAATACTAAGAGATGGAATTAAATGGCGCCCTCAAATGTTCAAATTAAAATTGTTTACCTAGAAAAAATGAACATTAGAAATTCCAATGTGTTTCGGTAAAAAAAATCAGGGCAATATCTGTCTAGACTTCATTTTATTTTAATGCCTGCTCTCAGATCAGCTTGAAATATATGTACAGTTTCCAGTATTGTTTAGCAGCATTGGCAGGCCAAAGGTGAAACCACTTCTTAAATGATCCAGGTAAAAGATTCCCAAAATTTCATTTAACAAATATTTTTATTACTCAAAAGGGTAAGTATTACAAAAAATGACTTAAAATACAGGTGGGACTTTTAAAAACAATAAATCTATACTTTCCAATTCAGTTGTGGCTGCTGACGATATCCCCGATTTACTTGAAATGACATCTCAATTTTATCCTGTGCCGTACGGCTGGCAGTTTCAATATATTTATGCAACTTCTCCTCCAACTCAACATGGGCCTGTTTATATTCAATATCTTCTGAATTTAATTTTAAACCATGCAGCAAGATGTCCAAGGTATTTAAAGGTAAACACATTTCCGGATTTGTAACTGCAATTGCATGTTGAAAACTGAAATATTCACTGCCGGCGCCCAGCATTGCTGAAAGCATTTCTTGTGACAATTCGGCAGCTTCTAACAGACGATTATGTTTCACATAGAGATATAAGAGCTCCGAACAATTGGCCAGTTTATAATCATTGTAAAGCCACTGCGGAACAAATGCCTGAAGACTGAGTAATTTGTTGACCACAGATTTACGTATAAGCGTTGAATTATCCCGTTCATTGTCTTCGACTAGTTTACGTAGTAAGGCCCAAGCCATATCGGCTGCTTTGTTGCGATGTGGCAAGTCGGCCAAGTCGTTTTCCTGCAACCACGACCAAGGTTCGCTGGGTGGTTCATCGGCTGTTCTTACGCATGCTGAAGCCAAACTGTCAAATATTGGCAATAAAGTAATGTCAAAACCTTTGGCTAATTTTATGGCCGCTGTATAGAGACCACAACTTGCCAAAATCATTGCCAACTCCTGTGGCCCAGCATTGAGGAATGAGTGAATATCTTTACGATGTCCAGCTAAATTAATGAGAGCTTCAGTGTGCAGCAATTCTCGCTTGATGTGCTTTATTTCCAAAACCACAACTTGTGTTTTTTTGAAAGATGACTGTTCATCGCCTGAGTCGTTCTCTTCCTCCATTGCTGAATCTTTGGACGAGTTGTGTATGTCGAATTCATCTCCAATTATTGGCTTGGCAATCCAGCGATAACGTTCATCAATCAAATGCAAACAATTGAGACATACCAAAAGTGAGGAGAAACGTTTATTTAGGGCTTCCAGCGAGTCTCCCTCCAACTGATAACGCATTGATTGTTCATACATAATGGCTGAGGCTGCAAAGGGGGGAAAACAATTTATCATAGGAAATTAAGTAGACATATCCCAAACTTACCCTTCCTCATGTTGCCGTTGTTAACATGAAAAGCATAGAGGAAATCATAGATATCATTTTGATCCATCGACTGGGATCTGGCCCTTGATTCAACAATATTTTCGAATTCCTCATGCAATCCAACATAGGGGAAATGCATTAGCAGGTCGTAACGCTTGCGTCCAAACAATGTTATGACCAGCTGACGTAGGCAATCTTTGCGCCGCGACAGTTCGGCGTTGTATATTAGGGAGTGATAGGCCTCCTCGTAGTGCTCCAATTGCAAATGGTTGTTGAATACAATCGATTGGAACATTGGCAGTTGGGGATCTTGTTTATCCAGCAGTCCAATGGCCACCTGGGCCATACTTATAATGTGATCCAAGGCATTGTGTTGTTCAAATAGCTGAATGACCTTCAGATAATATTGGGCAATGCATTGATTGATAATTTTCAACTTGGCACTATCGTCTCCATCAATTTCACCCAGATTGTCTACTAAATTTTCATAGGGTGTGTTTTTAAGCACCTTTTCGGCAAGAAATTGTTCCCTTACCACTCCCTTGGCTGACTGCAGAAACAGGTCATAGGCCTTTTGGGATTCACCACTATCCAGCAGGGAAACGGCCAGGATAAATTGTCGCGAACAAATATTCCATTCACACCAGCTATTCAGCAACCTCACATAGTCGGCTATGATTATGTGCTGACATGTACTGAATAACCATTCCCCAAAGACGAAATTAAACGATACAGCCCATATCAATTGGCTGACGATGGTGGCCAGGGGCATAAGGGTTTGTTGCCACGACACATTTTCCAAGGCCTTAAAACTATCCGAAAACAGTGCCAGAGCGGTGTACAGGCCTTTGGCATTGAGGAATACCTGCAGTAATGGAGCAGAATTACATTTGCCACCATTGCCATAGATGCGACCGGAACCATTTGTCAATTGCAGCAGATTTAGCCTCTGTATCGACGATTCTAAGCCTGCAGCTGCATTGATATTAACAGGAGTCTCCGATATCCAAATCATGACATAATACGATTGTAGGAAAATCAAAATATCCGGCATAAATTGTGATCTAAAACATTCCAAAATGTCCACCGGCAATGAATGGGTATTTATGAGTATTTGTTGGAGCAGCAACAAATTACGGCAAATGGCAAAACGTATCAAGGAGTTTTGCCTCACCGTTTCCGATAGCAATGACAATCCCACCTGACTGCCAAACAAGGCTCCCAACGACATCAGAAACTTTGTGGAATGACCCAATTGGGCATAATTTGCCTGCATTGTTTCAGGATTGCCGTTATCCATGCGCAGGCAGTCCAACAACATGGTTATTGCCGAACGTAAGTCTTTCGTATTCTGTATTTTCTGGCGTATGTATACCAAAAAGTTGCGGGGCAACAATTCCTTTTCCGTGTCTCCAGCCAATAAATCTTCCGTCAACTTTTCAATTAAAACATTGGGCATTTCCAGCTGATACAGTTTTCGATCCATATCAATCTTAATATCATCCGGTAACCATTTTTCAATTTGTGACAAGATTCCCACTAGATTGACCATATCTCGACCAGTTTTCTCTGCATCGCCAAAATATAAAGGCACCACAGCCTCAACATCTACATCTTCACCGGCCAGCATTAGATGTTCAATAGTTTCACAAGGACGCAGTAGAGAAAATGCATTTTTCTTTACAACACACACGGCATCCAAGGGTTCCAATATTACCAAGCCACTTGGCTGGGAGGCTTTCATGTGGTATTGTTCACAGCACGAATAGAAACGCTCCCACAAACGTGTGGATATTTCCAAATAGTCATCATCGGATACATCGAAATCTTTGACCTCGTTTTGGATTTCATCTTCAATGGCTTGGCACACGTGTTCCTTTAGCAAGGTCATTGTGCAATTTTTGCCCTCAAATCGGACATTTGAACGACGGAACATCTGAAAGGAAATACAATTAAATTCTGATACCAAAAAGGATTTCTGCGAATCACTCACAAACAATGCCTTGGCAATTACGCTTCGTTCAAATTTCCCAGGATGGAAAATATATGAACAATATGCTTCCCGCGGATCCATTCCCTGTTCCATGCCCAGGCAATAACGATCTGGTGGAGGTTCCATTGCAGCCGACACCCAATTCATGCCACGTAAGAGTGAGAAACTTGAAATGCTAAATTCTCCTTCGGCATTGCTCCACAATGCCCATATCCTCGAATTGCAAACATCAAAATCTGTCAAATCCAATTGAGGAGCGGCTATGACTCTGCGGCGTTGTAAATTAATGCCCATGTTGTCCGCCAACAGATCGACACATACAAATTCCGATCCAGAGGCATGCGAAAGGAATGCACAAAAACTTGTGTCATTGATTTTACGCAGTGCATTACTTTGGGCTTTGAGAAATGAAAAATGGAATAATTATTCTGTTTAAAATTCCAAAAAGAATATACTTACGCCCTTGCATCCTTTGCTCATTACTTTCGCGAACACAATTAATCGTACACAGGCTTTGCATATTCACACATGACCAGACACGTAAATGGTCATTACGATATAAGGCCAAAAGCAAGATTTGATTGTTGATACAAGTAAAGCACACCGAATTGGCATGGTCAGCATCGGAAGTATCACTTTTGCCTCTAAAAGGAAAACATTTTAAAAATTGAAATTTTACAAAGCTCACAACTCACATTAATGCTCCTTTCAGATTGGAGAAAAGTCTTGGCATTATATTATGCTCCTTCAATTGGTGGCCAACAGTATGGCCATTGGAACAGTTCATGGTGTACAACATCAATTGATTTTGGCATGCCAAAGCAAAATACGCTTCCTCACCATTCTCAGATAAATAACTGGAAGCTGCATGTGGGACATGGTTATCTAAAAAAAGACATTAATTGATTTCACACTCAATGGTCCTAAAGCAATGCAATAAAAACTTACTTGAACCACCCAAAGGAGTATCGATAACATAAAAACTACTTGGATCACGGGCTGCCGTAACACTGGCATCAAAAAATATGGAATACGACTGGGATTCGTTGAACTCAACGGAGGGCACATTGGTGGCTCCCGTTGTGTTACTATATGAACTAGACGAACACGAACCATCGGCCAGTGAATCCGGATGGGGAAAGGTTATACGATGCAAACTGCAAACCGTGCTCACCAGCAACACAACATGTTCCCCACTCTCTGTAATGCTTACAGCCAACACGGGCGAATCGGTGAATTTATAACGTAAATTATTTTGATATAAATTAAAATCCAAACTAATTTCGGTCAGTTCCAAAATGTCCTGATATGAGCGCCAATAAATATAACGATTACGATTGTGGTTCAGGGCAACATTTTTATAGCAATAACCTCCAGCTTTTTCGGCAACTTTGATGTCCTGCAAAGTGCTGTGCGTACCACCTGTAACAGAAAGCAAAGAATTCAAGTTTAGCCCGAATGTAAATTGCCGCCTTTTAGCTCTACATTACCCGTGTTAAGCGTGATTTCATGCCATTCCTCCTGGCAGGCATTTGTTGGTATAACTTCGCGATAACTTAAACTTTCCATTGTTGTGTGCAGCTCTTAAGCAAGGACAAGAGAAAAAAACACCAAACCGAACTAGGAATTTATAAATCTTCGAGGATTTTAGTAATTATTTGTAATATTTTCTTTTCAATATGCTCCCTCAATGTTTTTTGCGGCTATACGACTCTTCTTCTTCCTCGATACATTCACATTGCAAAAAACCGGCTGGGGATATCGTAATCGAAAAGCAACAGGAAAGTATCGATTTTAGTTGTGTTATGTGTGGTATACATTATCGAACATGCAAGTTCGATATCCAGCGAACTATTTTTAGATGAATAAAAGCATTAAATTTTTTTGAAAATGGTATTATTAAAGTTTCTGTATTTTATTGGTTTAAACAAGGTACAATGTACCATGGGTTGAAGCAAGCTTAATAAGAAAGGTTGTTCAACTTCAAAGAAATTAAAAAAATGCAACTCTGTGCTGGATTCTTATAGTGTCAAATAGACTTTTAAATATGCAACAGTTGGTTTTGTTTATTTTTCATTTTTTAACAACATTCTTATATTGGGGAAAACCCATAAAAAAGAATGGAATTTTTTGAATCTAAAATAGTAGGACAATACAATACAAACACAAAATGTGTATATGTTTTGACAGAATAAGGGCACCAAAAGAAATTGTAAATTGTATTTAGGGTGTAGCTTTATTCTACTTCCGTCATTGTGCCATGGGTTTAAGTTAGTTTTGATATATATTTTTCAAATCTTTTATGCCAAATTAATGATGCTCGTATTTATGTTAGAGGGGTTTAATGTGAACATAGTATTAATTTTATAAACCGCTACTATTTAGTTATGAACTATTAACTTTTAAAAATATGATTTCCAGCTTCTGAGTTGTTGATGTATCGTTTTTGATGAATTCTAGTCTAGTTTCTAATTAACGCCGACTCCTAAATTACTATTTTTAGAAATATTTGACATTTTAAAGGAATTGTCAATCTGAGTAACAAAATTAGGTTTAAAAAACACTTGAATTTCAGAAATATGCTCGTCTCTATAGACATGAGCTCTAACATAGCCCCAGTTCTAACATAATCCATCCGTCTTGTTGAAACCACATGTTATGGAAGTCAAGCTCTTACATTTAGGTCTAAAAAAGTTGTATAACAACACGATAGCGGACACCATTCGCAATTACAGTACGATTAGCAACATCTTTGAAAAAGTACAGTTCAAATTGTAACTCTTTTGTAATCTTTACTCCAAATTCGTAAATTCTTCTATTTACGTACTCATTGAGCACGCATTTTGATACTATAGGTGATTCATGGTTATATTGTGGACCAAACTTGAGATGTTTGACAGTGAACCAAATCACGAAACTTGCTTGAGCTATTTGTACCGTTGCTAAGATAATTGCTAAAAAAAACTCACCCTTCATTTCACTGTATTTTACGTTTGAGATTTTGGTATAAAGTGCAAAAAATTTATTTTATCTCATTACACTCCATTTCTTCTTCTCATAAATGTATGTCATTTTTGGCTGAACAAAACTTGAGAATGCAATACTGTTGTCGGTTGCCCGGTTAATCTTTTTTATGATAATTTATTTCGACAATTTAAATCGACAGGGTTTTTTAAATACATTACAAAGTGAACGTACTATAAATTTGTTTCAAACCAAACAACAGATAATTTAATTATTGATATTTCAATTATTATTGAAATCAATCAATTGACATCAAGCTGACAAAATGTGTAATCAGTGCTTAAACTTTTTGCCTCGTGTAAACAAGAGACAACGCGTATGCTCAATGACACCATTCGCTTAGTTGTATTTTTTCGCCCATGCGTCTACCTAGTGTATTTGCTGCCATACTACCAAAATTTCCATTACTGTTATGTGTGCCGCCTTTTCTTCTGTCAGTTTTCAGTTTTTTTTCGTCCGCAAATAAACAAATATTCATCATTGAATCCGAGTCGGTAGACGTTCATTTCTTTGATTTCTAACATTTTTTCGTTGTTTTTGTCCCCAATTTATTTGTATTCTTATTATTTCCATAAGAATTGTGTAAATGCTTGAATAGTAGCCGACAACAGTGCATTACCAGCAAACAAAGAAGTAATTGAAAAAATTCCCGAGCAGCATTTGAGGGAAAGCAACAAATTACTATGGCTAAAACTTGGAAAATATGTCGAATATGTCGTACGGAAAAGAATTTAAAATTTACAAAAGCACAGTTGAGGGAATTCAACAAGAAGCAACGGCTATCGGCCCAGGACATTCAAGGATCGGTGAATGATAAAGCGTCAAAAAAGGTGAGTCGGGAAAGGGAATTTTAATTTTGCAAAGCTTAACATGAATGAAATGATGATTGAGTGTGTTGGATGTACGCACACCAATACATTGAAGAAAATCATTTTAGCTATATGGTGCTTTCCATGTGTAGAGTTATTTGAGATTTCATAAACATATTCGTTTTTTTTATAATTTAGCTGTTAAGGACAACTCCTACACTGGGTAATATCTGTAAAGATTGTGATATACGTGTACAGATATTCCATCGTTTGGACGATACCAATAACAAAGGTGATACAAGTGACATTGAAGTCGATGTTGAAGACGCCACTGCCCCAAACATACTGCCAACGCCACCTACTGATATTTTGCCAACATCGCCCCTAAATAGAGCCGACACGCCGGTAATTGTGGATGATGATGTTATGCTTTATGACTTGTTTATGCAAAAAGTCGATCAACAAAACCAAAAGACACAGGCAAAAGCTTTACATGATCCCAAAGATCAGCAACCCTATATCAACCATTACAGTTCGCAGTATACGCCACCACAATCAACCGGTGGCAGTGAGGGTGATGACGCCAAAATGTTGGATGTCTTGACTTCCAGAGAAAGCACACCCATAGCTCCGGTTATTAACACACCAGAATCAAGACCTTCACTGCCGCCAGACATTGTAGATAAGCAGGGTCATCGTATTGTGGCCATTATAGATCTTGATGATGATGACAGCAATGTCCAACCAAAGCCGGCACAAGAAGACTTGCCACTACAAAACCCCACAACTGCTGCGGACCATAACAGTCAACAAGTTGTTGTAATTGCCCAGGCAATAATTCAAACAGAATGTAACAATAACAGTAACAAGGTAATGTTAACCCCCATCAATAGTACCACTAGCAGCACCAGTCACGTAAATTCCACCAAGTGTGATGACGCTGACGACGATGACGATGAAAAGATTGTATTTCGTCGTGTTGAGCCTGACCAAGAACAAACATCGGCCAAGAAGAAAAAACGCAAAAGTTACGATGAAAAGCAGCTGCGTTTAGTTGCCAGCTTAAGTTTGGTCTCAAGCGACAGCGAAACCGAAGAACCTCCTAGTAAACAACCCAAACTTAATCCCAAAGTTGTGGTTGAACAAACCACTTCATATGCCTGTAGTGAATGTAAAATTAATCTGCCGGATGCGGAAAGTCTTAGGGTACACAAGGTAACGCACGATGGCCACAAATGTCCCCAGTGTAAATTGGGCTTCTCCCAGGAAAAACGTTTAGTCCATCATATGCGTTATAAGCATCGCAACTACAATGGTCCGGTGTTAAAGGAGAAACCTCGTGCTGCCCAAGATAGCGCCATGACAATACGCCTACGCTACATGCAGCGCCTGACGTTTTACGAATGTCAATTGTGTGGTTTAATCGATGAGGTATACAAGGAACACAAAGATCACATCATCAAAAAACATCCGGTGGAATCAAAAACCCTGCAAGATCCCATAATGAAAGAGTTGAAATGTCCATTAAGTTGTAAGTGGACTGGTAGCCAGTATTTGGCACTATGTCGTCATTTCCTGGAGAAACATGAATTTGGTCAATATAAAATCCATCTCAGGGAAGTTGTGCATGCCAGTTCGTTTGGCTGGAGTGCCAAACGACAGCAAGAGGTGGCAAAGACGGCACGTATTTATCAATTTTCCAAAAGAAAATCATTCTTTTTCCAGTGTAAAATTTGTCAAAAAGTTGTGGCTGGCTATCCAAATCATGTCAAGCATTTAAAGGAGAACCATGATAACAATAAAAAGGAGGTGTCCGCCTCGTCTAAAGAAAAACCATCTGCAGACAAGAAACATGACAAGAACAAGAAGTCCACAACTCCTGCCGAAGTGGTGGAGAAGAAAAAATCCAAACAAAATACCAAAACTGGTAGCATAGTTAAAAAATTAGAAAATAGTACAAAAAAGAAAGAAAGTACCAAACAAACGAAACAAAAAGATTTAAAATCTTGTAAAAAATCTCCAGTCTCTAAAAAATCTCAAAAATTAGATAATTCTAAATTGTTAACGAAAAAATCTGCTGCTGTTCAAATGAATTTAACAAAACCCAAGATTAAGGACTCGGCAAAGACCAAACAAAAGTCATTAGATACCAAAACAAAAAATACCAATACTACTTTGTCCACGGCGATGACGACGACAACAGCAGCAACAGAATCGGCAAATGGTCATAACAATGAAAAACAAAAGCCGAACGCTGCTGGCAAAAGAAAACGCAAAGATTTATCAGCATCGTTAAAATCTCAGCTGAAAATTGTCAAAGTAAAAGCCCCCGTCAAACAAATCAAATTACAAAGCTATACATGTAATTATTGTAAACAATCCTTGAAAGGTTTCCTTCCCTACAATCGACATATGTGTGAAGAACATGCAGACCATGAATTCCAACAATGTGATAAATGCCATGGAATGTATTTGAATGGCTCACATATTGATGAACAATGCTCAAATCTGAAACTAACAAATCAACAAAAAAGAAAATTCCTAAAGGTCATTATTGGTGGTGGTGGTGATGGTGATGGTGATGATCGTAAAATAGAAACGTCGGCAGCAGCCTCGGCTAGCGAACCAGATGTCAATTGTAATTGGAGGAAAACGCTTGAAGACCAAAATCGTGATGAGCAACAACAAAAAGTGCCTGAATGCAAAAATGAAACTAATTTACCTGTAGTAGTAGAGAAAGATCAAGACAATGTATTACCAAAAACGACAACAACAATAACACTGCCACCAACTGAACCACCCCTGTGGCTAAGGGATTTAATGAAATTGAATAGTGGTAGTAGTAATTTAAACAATACTGCATCTTAATCACCGGGCGACAAGGAAGTATGTTCCAAAAGAAAAATTCCTCAATCATGTTCTTATTGTTTGCATCTATTCCCATTAGCTAACAAACGACACAACAAGACTGCTAAACACACCACCACCACCAATTCTTTGCAAAATGAAGTAATTTTTTTTTTTTATCAAATACACAGATTTTACTAACAAATCCCAATAACTCAAAAACTTCACTATATAATGTGCCTTATTCATAAAAAAGAAACGAAAAATTTGAAAAAAGTATTTTATGAAAATGACCCTTTTAGAATGAAAAAAAAAAAACTGAATATTTTTTATGAATAAGGTTTAAATGAAAAAAAAAATACAATCAAGGTAATCGAAACTCCCAGGGACATTTTCCCATATCTTTTTTAATTAAAACTAATTTTTTTTTAAGTTGAAAAACATTTTTCTATAATAATTTTTGTTGTGAAAAATTCTTTGGGAATATTTCCGGTTGCCTTGACCAAGTATTCATGGTATTGAAATGCAAATGTATGTATATATGTTACACAAAAAGAGAATGTTTAAATTAGTTGATATTAATTTTTCAAGAAAATGTTTCAAAAATTAAATAGTTTTTCTCCCCCTTTTCCCCAAATTCGTGCAATTAGAAAAGCAAGTTGAATTTCCGTTAGGTTTTTTTTCATATTGTTCAATATATATGTTGTTTTTTCACATTATATAAATTATAAAAGTCATGTTTCGTTTTAGTCAAAGTCCTGTTAGCTATAGAGTGCCGCACGGATTTAGCTTATTAAAAGAAAACTGAAAAAGGCTTAATGGTTCCAGACACTGGAGATGTTTTCCTTGTACACCTAGAAATAGAAAATGTAAAAAATTGCATCGTAATTCAATATTTCGGCATAAAAAGAACTGGTTTTAAACAGTCATCCCACATTGAATTTATTTTGCAAAAACTTAAAAGTCTCGGTAGATCGTAAGTCCTTCTATACCCTAAGAGAAATGATCAAATAACTTACAAGTGGATCTCAGCATTTTGTCTGGAGGTGTTTCAATATTGCAGGAATGAAAGGGCCTTACATTGATCCATAGGTCGAAGTAGTGAGTTGAACATTATCGGCATAAAAAGAACTGGTTTTAAACAGACGCTCAAATTGAATTTATTTTGCAAAAACTGAAAAGTCTCGGTATATCGTAAATCCTTGTATACCCTAAGAGAAATGATCAAATAACTTACAAGTGGATCTCAGCATTTTGTCTGGAGGTGCTTCAATATTGCAGGAATGAAAGGGCCTTACATTAATCCATAACTAGGTCGAATTAGTGAGCTCGACATTAAAACATTTCTGTTTGCAATACCCCAAAGATTTTACAAAGTTGGGGATTTTAAGCCACTTTTTTTCATTACCCAGCAATCAGTAGGTTTTTCAGGTTTAATAATCTACATTGATTTTGATTGATTCCGGTAAATTCGAAAGCTGTAAAAATGTCCCTGAGTGATTTGATTCGATGTAAGCATCACATCATCAAATACGTTTCGGTAAAGTCTGTAGAATTTTCTGCTAGCCAATATTTGGCTTCTGTGTTGTAATTTTCTAGAAAAGCATGAATCTGTATAAAATCAGTCTGCAGTCTCTTGTCCTTTTTTTACATTTTCTTCTACCCATCAAAGACTGCATTCAGGAGTTTTTTTTCCTACAAAAACAACATTTAATTTAAACGATTAAAAAGATTCAATAATGTTCAGAACCGCTTGACTTTATCCATGGAACCGGAGCACATCATCAAATACGTTCCGGTAAAGTCTGTAGAATTTTCTGCTAGCCAATATTTGGCTATTGTTTCGTCATTTTCTGGAAAAGCATGAATCTGTATAAAATCAATCTGGAGTCTGTTGTTCTTTTTCTACCCATCAAAGATTGCATTCAGAACATTAAATTTGATTGATTTGAGAGAAGCAATGATTTTTATAATCGCGACTTCACTTTCCAATTATTAATACAGCAACTTGACGCCATTCTATTCGTCCCAGCTTAGTAAACAGGCCAGTAAAATCACAAAAAATACATCAACCCATCAAAATCCCATTAAATTGCAATTTTTCTGGCATCCAATAATCTGGAGAAGCATTAATCTATTCAATATAAAATCAATCTGAAGGCTGTTGTCCGTTCATTCATTTATTTTTCGTACGTCATATAGAAGCAGGACCTAACACAGATCTGAGGCCGTATTTTGTAACTTTCTAATAACTTTACTTTTTATACCCTACACCACAAGGGTATTATGTCTTTGTGCATTTCTTTATAACAGGAAAAAGGAAACGAGATAGACTCATAGTTGCTTTTGATGATCTGCATAGAAGAACAATAGAAATTGAAAACTATTTAAAAAAATACATAATTTAAATTTTTTCCTTTGAATTCATTTCGAAAAAAGGGGCCATGCATTTATTCAAATTACCGCTGATTCTTAAGTTGCTTACATTAATTAAAAATGTTTGGTCTGACTTCCAATTATCATGCTTTCAATCAGAATTGCATTTAAAATCTCTTGTGTTCCAGAGAAGTATATTTAATTTCATTGGAACACTTAAAACTTTAAATTCCGAATAGCGAGAACACATATGGCAATGTATGCGACTGACAATTTAAAATGAAATGGAACGTTGTGCAACAATTTGAAGTGGATACTAGTTAAATTGATTTTTCCAAGATATCAAATCTTTCGCATATAAAGGGTCTAGGAAAAAATCTCTAGGCATCAAGAGAATCACTGGCATCATAAAAGTCCACCTAAGAGCTTTACTTGATGTTTTGATGACCAGCTGTCGTTTTTATTCTGTTAATATTTTGGGCAGATTAGATTGTCACCAAAAAATTATTACAATAAACTTGTAGTTATAGACATAGTACAACAAGGAGGTAGAAAAGCTTCGTCAAACTACAGAAATACAGCACTGAGACTATGCCCGCTTCCTGTCAGAATTATTCAAAATTGTATCTAACAAATTGTTTTCATTTATTTAATTTTTTCAGTTTTTAATTGATTCAATTTGTGGGAAAGATGAATGAAATGCCTGGATATTCTCTCAAAATTACGATCCTATGTGTTCAATCTCTTAATTCCGTGGCAAATCTGGTTAATATTAATAATGTGCGCCCCGCAATTAAAGTTTCTACCAATCATTGATTTTAAAAATATTTTTTTTTTATTTTTCAAAACAATTAATACATACACAAAATTGGCAGAAGTCGGGGGCACACTTAGAAAAAGAATTATAATCAGCTGGTTGCTCTACCTTACCTCTTTATTGTACCATGGTTATAGATCATCAAGGATGAGCCCATAAAACCTATCAGACTGTGTTCTGTGTTAGATCGCTTCTCTAAATCAAATTTTACGTAGAAGTAATATTAGTTTCTAATTCACTTATTCTTCTAAAAACTCACTTATCTTTTCGGCAAATTTTTGAGGTGTGAGACTTGAGATTTCAAAAAATTATATATTAATCTGTAATTATGGCACAGTGCTAGCAAGCATTTGATTGTTAAAAAATACAAATTTATTTGTACATTGAGAAAAAAAAATTAAAATTAATTAAAATCATCTCTTCTCTCTTCACAAATTTGTATTACATTTTTCATTTCGGAATAGAATGAAACAATTGCTGCTCACATTTTCCATGTCCTATGTCGCCTCTAGGCATCCTTATCATATCCGTATTGAGAATCTTTGGCATATAGACATACCCAAAAAAAATAGCTATATATCACAAATTATATGTAAATAAGTTCAAATAATCATTAAAATTTTGCAATTAGCAACCTATGTATAGTGATTTTGTTTTAGTTCTTTTTCTTTTAAAGCAACGCGTTATCTTTTAATTTTACTTAACTAGCCTTAATTAATAGTGTGTATTATGTTTTAATCTAAATTCATTTTTATTTTAATTTTTGTGCCCTTTCTTTTAAATATTGTTAATTTGATGTTATTATGTCGTTTTTTTTCATTCTTTCTTTTGGAATTACTTGGAAATATTGGTTTGTGTTTTCTTTCTCCAAATTGCTTCTTTGTTAACATACCTCTAACACTAGATAACTTAAAAATTCGAAACAAGAAAAATGTTAATTTCAATATACCATATTTTTAATTGACTGAAATATCTAAATATGTATTTTTATGAAATGTAATGTGTGTTATTAACAAAAAAAAACAAACAAAGAGCAACACATATTTTATTTATGTATGAACATTAACAGATATTGAGTTTATAAACGAAATAAACTATTTAAAGAATTCCATAAACACTTAATAAAACTATTTTATTTTTTAATTTATCACAGCAATAAACGTGGTTTTGTTTGTATTTTCTAGGAGCGTAATTGTTTCAATCCGTGGCAAAATGTTTACTCACTCGTTTCTGTTTCCACCAAATTTTTCTTCAGGTCCAACAATATTTAATATGGATAAAGAACAAGGAAAGCCAGAAAAATTGTCCAATCTTCCTTCCAAAAAAAATAATAATCATAATTGTCATGGATTGTACAAAAGACAAGTAAAAGAAATGATATTGACAATACTTCACAGTAATTCATAACAATTGGATATATAGGGGGAGATAAAACTGCAACAAAGTCAAACGACATAATTTTTATACCCTTTAAAATAGCATGTTTTCATTCGGTTTGTAACACCTCGAAATATACATTTTAGACCCCACAAAGTATACATATATTCTTGATCAGCTTCAAATCCTATGTCGATTTAGCGATGTCCGTTCGTCTGTGGAAATCACTCTAGCTTCCGAAAGAAATTAAATAGGTTTATAAAATTTTAAATTTTTGATGATTTTAGCTACATTATTCACCGGAATTGTTTAAAATTTGGCATTTGCAGTTCGTAACGGATGCTACAGCCTATGACAGAAAATTGTCTGTGCAAGTCCACGTCTTCGTATAGCCTCTAAAAAACGGTACCTCCCGATATTCGGTACTTTGATGATTTTAGCGATATTATACACCGGAATTGTCTCAAATTTAGTATTTAAGTTCGTAATGGATACTACAGCCAATGACAAAAATTGTGTATGCAGGTCCACGTCTTCCTATAGCCCTAATATAACGGTACCTCCCTGGATATTCAGTACTTCATTGATATTCGCTACATTATTCGCCGATTTTTTTATTCAAGTTTCGCATTTGAATATTGTAATGGCTTATAACAAAACTTACCTATGCAGGCCCACGTCGTCTTATAGATCCTATTATAACGGCTATATTCGGTATTTTTAAGATTTTAACAGAATTTTGAACGGATTTTATTTATTTTTTTTTTTTTTTAATTTCCAAAATCGTTCCAAATGATGCAGGGTATTTAAAGATCGGCCCGGCCGAACTTACTGCTTTTTTACTTGTTACATTTTTTTTTTTAATTTTAGTAAATGAAAGCAAAAAATGTCGGAAATAGCATCAAATTTTAGAATAAGTCTAGATTTGTTCGAATTGGTTACCTTTGGCACGAATTATGGCCTTCAAACGGCCAATGAAACCGTCACATGCTGCCCGAATGTTGCTCTGCGGTATTTTGGCCTATTCTCAGCGAAGCGCTTGCTTGAGGTGATCCAAAATACCCCAGAAACAATAGTCCAACGGATTGATATCCGGAGATTTTGGTGGCCTTTGAAGTCATTGAAGGAAATGAAGCGAGGAACCTCATCTTGTAACCATTCTTGGGTGGCGCCTGCTGAGTCCTGTTGGAATGCCCAAAGTCTGCGGCCAAAAAGTTTGCGTGCCCATGGCTTTAATACACCCTCCAGAATATTTTCACGACAATATTCGGCATTTATTCTGATGCTACGGTCGATAAATAAAGGGAGAGTGACCATCGGTTGTTGCCGGCGCCGAAGGTGCACACTTCCAGCTGACCTCTTTGGCAAATAAACACGATCATTTTGTTTGTTTATAAACTGCTGGACAACGAATGTTTTCTCATCGGAGCGGAGAAAACCAAATTCGACAGTTCACCACATTCGGCCAAGCGAATCAACTCTTTAGCTCTTTTGAGCCTATTTTCTTTTTGTACGCTTGTAAACATTAAAATGAGCTATCACTGGAATAATTTTAACGAGTTTCCCAGTCTCCCCATATACTTAAGAACCTAAGTTTTTTGACCTTTTTTATTCGTATTATTAAGTTTAATTCATTAATAGCCCATTGACATTCACTTTTACCTAGATATACCTCTCACTCATTAAGTTCGGTGCATAAGTAGACACTAAGTGGTAATGGAGAAGACGGCGCTCAGTTGATTTTACATCCCCCATTTTTATAACAAAAAAACACTCCATCAAACATTAATTTGTAGACTTCTCTTTGTAATTTTCTTTTTTTGTCCAAAAAAATTTAAAAAAAAATCCAAACTTAGAATTAAACTATTATAGCTAGCTCGTACGATGGTTTCAATTTTCCGTCTTAACTGCACTGGCGGGTACAATTTTTGCCACTTTGCGCGGTTCCTTAACCAATGTATTTGGACACTGCATTTCGGTCCAACTTATGGGTACCATAGGCGGGCCATTTGGACCACTTTCACTGGATATTGCAATGACCACACCCAATTCATTTTCAGCCGTACTCAATTGATAACAAGACAATTCTGTTTGTGGTAACTACATCCAAAAATAAAATTACTCGCCATTAGATGAAAATTAAACAAAAATTTTTACATACCACTCTGGCCAATATGACATCACCAGGACGGAATGACTTATACATCTCCACACGATCTTTTTCAGTGGCACGAACATCTTCCTTACGGAGAATAGCTCGATAGTTTTGTTCCAGAACATGTTCACCAATGCACAGGATTGAACATTTTGCTGCACGTTGATTGACCTGTAAAACGCGTGCCGTTACAATGTCACCGGCAACGGGAACTATGGTCTGGCTACCGGCACACTGTACTTCAATGAACTTGCACTGGAAAAAAAAAAAAAAACATAATCTCCAATGAAACTCATTTGGATATTAAATAATTTCATCTTACATTGTCCTTCTCGTTTATGTGTACCGTGCCAGCAAGTGTGGCATAAATATAGCCCATTCGTTCATATGTTCCTTGGCCCGAAACTGTATTTTCATCGGACAGACAAAGACGTTGTCCTGGAAGGCATATCAATTTAGAGTGTTTCCTTTGGCTCTTTCCACTTGCAGGCGTCATCTTCCCAGGTTGTGTGTTTTGTTTAGAAACTAAAAAACGTGTAAACAGCAACAGCTGTCGCTTTAATGAAAAAGGGTTGCCAAAACTAATTTTAAAAAGATATAAGTTAATGACTTTCCACCACTTTGATAAATTTATTTCGAAAATATTGGGCTTAAATAATTTATTTGTATAAATTCACTGTAGTACACTTACTAGGAGAGTGAAAACGATTTTTATTTCGGAACACAAAATATTTTAAAACGCTAATAAACCAATGACGCCGTTAAACGACAAACGCTTTAATGTATTTTAAAATGGCAAGCCATAATTTCGCAATTTAAAATGAATTGGTAACCCTGAATTTTTTTGCGCCAAATAGCCGGTTTGTTTATATGTTTCTGCAGTTTATTAGACTTGATTGATTTGGTTTGTTTGGAGTAGCTCTTTCGTATATTTTCAAGAAACATGGCTCTGTGGGTTGATAAACACCGTCCAAGGGAACTTCTGAAGCTGGACTATCACAAGGTATGTCGAATTTACATACATTTTAAATGATTCTAATAACCATTTATTCCATTCAGGATCAAGCTGAAAACCTCAAGAATCTCTGCCAACAGGGTGATTTTCCACATCTAATGTTCTATGGCCCCTCTGGTGCCGGCAAGAAAACTCGTATCATGTGCCTGTTGCGTGAACTCTACGGTGCAGGCGTTGAAAGGCTACGCAATGAAACCATGACATTTACCACACCATCAAATCGCAAAATCGAAATAATGACAGTGGGTAGTAACTACCATCTGGAGGTAAATCCTTCCGATGCCGGCATATATGACAGAGTCGTTGTAATAGATTTGATCAAACAAGTGGCCCAGACCCATCAAATAGATCCGAATGGACAAAGAGATTTCAAGGTTATTGTCCTTTCCGAAGTCGACGAACTTACCAAAGATGCTCAACATGCTTTGCGTCGTACTATGGAGAAATATGTCGCCACATGTCGTATTATACTTTCAGTTAACTCCACTTCACGTGTCATTCCGGCCATTCGTTCCAGATGTTTAGGCATACGAGTGGCAGCGCCCACACCCAATGAAATGATCTCTGTACTACAGGCCATCAGTAAAAGAGAAAATATCTCATTGCCATTGGAGCTGGCCACGCGTATAATTGATAAGTCGGAAAGAAATTTACGTAGAGCCATCTTGATGTTAGAGGCTTGTAAAGTACAACAGTATCCGTTTACAGCCCAACAAGATATCGTGGAGCTGGATTGGCAAGTGTTTCTACGCGAAACAGCAAATCAAATTCTAACCGAACAATCACCAGCGAAACTAGAAAAAGTTCGTGACCGTCTATATGAATTGTTGGCCCAGGGAGTTCCACCCGATGTTATCTTTCAGGGTTTGGTCAAGGAACTCGTCAAGAACTGTGACATGTCTATTAAAGCCAAAACGCTGGAGTATGCCACACTGTACGAACATCGTATGCAGAATGGTGCAAAACATATTTTCCATTTGGAAGCATTTGTTGCTCAGTTTATGAATATTTATAAGAAGTTTATAGCTGATGCCATGATGATGGATGATTTTTAAATTTAAATATATGTAAGATAATAAAATATGTTATAATATTTATGTATTAATAAAGTTGAAAAGGGTAGTTTCTCGAACTTCGTCTGATTAAAATGTTAAAAGAAGCAAATCAACAAGTTTTGCCTGGAGTTCGATGGGAATTTTTATTAGCAAGAGAAGGAGTATAATTCAAAAATTAGGGATTTATAAAAGGGAATTTTTTTTAAAAAAAAAATTTCATTTATGGTCAGATTTTACCATCTGTGTTATCATCAAAAACTGATTTTGAAATTTAATTTTTATTGATTAAAAATAATATTTTTGTTTCTTTTGGATCAGCTAGTTTGTTCCAATTAATATCGTGCGATATCCTAAAATATTTTACAAAAACAAGGATGCTATCAAAAGCTTCTAAGGCGGATTTTGAATAAGGAGAGTTTACTTGCGGAAAGTCACTGTTTGTGTAAGAGAGAGATAAGGGGGATAAAAAGGTAAACAATTGCTTGTACTGACCGTATTCTGACATTTCCTTTTGGGTTTTTTTTTATACAACAAAGACATAAAAATTAATGACGGATCGACGCAAATTGAATGAGGTAAGTTTAAAAGTAATTCCTGCAATTTTCAATAAATTTCGGAATATGGGGAATATGGTAAAGTTAGCATATTTCTGCCACCTGTCGCACGTTACTCATATAGTAACTCCACAAAATGACAGAAAATGGTAACACTGTTATAACAGCTGGTCTTCGGTATCTATTTCTATTTCGTCGTGAATGGCTGCGACTCGCTTTTTTCTTCTTGGACAGAAAATGAAAGAAATTAAGAAGCTAAATTGATTGTGATACAAAAAAATATTTAAAAGAAATCCTTTGAAAGGAAGCGTTAACATGGAAAGTGATAAAATTTTGATGGCAGCTGGCGTCACGGTCGCTGCTGTCGTTGGAGCATTTGTTTTTTGGGGACCAAGTGGTTCGGGTAAGTAGAGAAAGATTTTTTTTTTATATATTTTTAAAGACCACCCCGAACATGTTTTATTTTCTGTTAAAGGATCTTCACGTTTACGTCAGCGTCGTGGCCAAATTGCTGGATTACACAATTTTGGCCAGACATGTTTTCTTAACACACTTCTGCAGGCATTTGCAGCATGTCCACAATTTATTGCTTGGCTACAATTGTATAATAATGCTACACCAGATAAAAAGAGTTTGATTAGCTCTTTGCTGAATACACTGGAGGTCATCAATGGCACTCACACCACCTTAAGGGGAGATCCCTATTCGCCCGGTGCAGTGTTGCGGGCACTCAACGCATTGGGTTGGGTAATACCCCAGGAAGAACATGATGCCCATGAATTGTTTCATGTTATGCTTTCAACACTGGAAGAGGAGGCACATCGTCCCAAACAAGTTGGGTCATTGTCAGATGCATTGCCCGAAGATGGTCGAGGTGATGCACCCAATCGACCATCGAGTGCAATGTTAAGTGATTTTCTTAATGCCGATTACGATGAAGCCACCGGCTTGTCGCGAATGGTACGCTCGGAAGCTCATACACCAGATTCCCCATCGTCGATATGTGAACGTGATTTACATGCAGAACATATGCCGGTAGCATCCACACCCACGGAAATGATGGAAGTTGATTTTGTCAAACCATCTTTAATGATGGCAAATGGTCGTCCAAGTCGTTCACGTGACAATCTAAACAAACGTAATTCGGGTTCATGTCGTTCATTGGAGCGTTTAACAAGAGGTCCCGGAAAAGTTTCGGTATGTAATGATATTTATGTTTGAGGAAATGTGTGTATATTTGGTTTGTGTCTCTTTTTTGCGTGCAGATATGGTCAGATCAAATGCCAACACAAGTGCAACATCCTTTTAAAGGTGCCATGGGAACACAAATTGTTTGCAATGGCTGTGGATTTAAGGTATGTTTGTGTGTGAATATTTTCAATAATAACATCATGATTTAGGTTTAGCTAAGTCCACTTATGAAATAGATTATGTACATTTTACTTGAATTAAATGATTCAAAGGTTTAAAAATAAGTTCATAACCGCAAAGAAATATTTTGTTTGTTTTTTACAGTGCCATGAATTAAGCCCCAACTTATTTTTAAATACTATACAAAGAATTCAAGAACAGCCAATATTTGTGAGATTGTAGTGCAATCTTTAAGGGCTAACAAATAAATTAAATGTTTCCAAATTTTCAATTATAATTAGCTTCCATAGTAAGATTATATAGATAATACAACTATATTAGAATCCCAACAAAGTTATCCCTGTAAAGAGCACGAAATCTTATCATTTATTTATTCACTAATATAAAAATCCATTTAACATTTCCACATTATCTTTTTTTGTTTGTAGTCTGCAGTACGTTATGATAAATTCGATAGCATAACATTAAATCTACCACAGCAACGACGATCTGGACTTAGTTTGGGTCATTTATTAAGTGACTATATCACATCTGAAGATGTCACCGGTGTCAAATGCGAATCATGTAATGAGACCACAACACACACCAAATCATTGACATTTGCAAAACTACCAGCATGTCTGTGCATTCATATAGCCCGCACCGTTTGGCTGCCTACTGGCCAAGCATGTAAACGTCAAGATTATGTACATTTTCCTGAAAGTTTATCCATGGCTCCATATAGTTTTGTGCAGCCCCATCTTAATAGTCAAGTTAGTTAATCGATGGAAAAAAGAAAAACCATTAAAAAATACTGAATAAAAACAATTTTTCCTACTTTCAGGCGGGCACTCCATGGGGTTCCACAATGTCATTGTTTTCTTCTAGTCTACCCATGAATATGGGTAATGTCAACGATTCATATGGAACACCATTTGGTACAATGTTTCCACGTAATCTGTACCGTCTATTGGCTGTTGTGGTTCATTCGGGTGAGGCCCATTCTGGGCATTTTGTCACCTACAGGAGAGGAGCTTTGCGTAACAGTCATAGGTGAGAATAGGTTTTTAAGAAATATTAAACATGTTTTTTTTCAATCAAAATCTTTTATATTTGCAGATGGTTTTATACCTCCGACACTGTGGTTCGCGAGGTATCCATTGATGAAGTCTTAAGTGTACCAGCCTATTTAATATTCTACGATCGTAGTCCCCAAAGACCTTTGCGATAAGAACACATGTTTAAAACTGGATCTCATGCCTAAAACATCTTTTTTTACTATATTACGACTTTCTTATTCAAAAAAAAAAGAAGCTTACATCTGTTTAAAATTTAAACACCAAAATTTCCCCCGATGAAACTACAAAACCAAAAGAAGATAAAATGCATTTCAGCCCTGCTCCTATTCAACAATAATATAAATATATATTTTTTTGTATTTTGGTGATACAAAAGCGTAAAAAATTGCTAATACTTTCCCCCCAGTAAACATGAGTTATTGTTGGTAATAGCGAGAGAGAGAGTCTAGATCTTCACAGATGCCGTATTTATACATGAATGACAACAACAAATTATAAGCTCGTTCATAATAAGCGTAGTATTTATTCTGTCATTTAATATAAATGTTTTTTCAAATAAAAAATATTTCCCAAAAAAAATTATATATAAATTTAAAATAAAATTAATCGTAATTTTATCACTTAAGATATGCCGAGGTAAGTCATATAGGTAGCGTTGTATTTAATTTCAACATACTTGAAAATTAGGGCAAAATATTTCTTCTTAAAAAAGAATTACAAAATCATCAATTCGAAGGTTATATAAGGTGTGTCTGGTTGCCCTAGAGTTTATAACAATTGTTACTGTAAGTCTGTTAGCACAAAAGATCTGCAATAGAAAGCGGTCCGAAAGAGAAATTTTGAAAGTTCTTTAACACAGAGTTTGCAAATTCTTTTTGCAATCACTTGCATCTCTTCTTATCACAAACAGTTTTGATTTGATAAATCAGCTGATTGCTTGTTTTGTTTTCAGCTACATGTAATAGTTTTTTTAATTAAATTTTTTTTCGTAACGTCAAGTTGATATCATCTGCTGTTTTTAAAAGATAATATATTGTGACGAAAATAACTGAACTAGTGTGTATCTTGTAGTAAAATACAACTTTCATCAAAGATAATTGGCCTGTTCCAGAACTGCAATAATGTAATAATGTTTACTATGATCGCCGATTTTCTGTAGACATTTTTAACTACTCTGATTTACACTTGGGGAGTTACTTGCGTCAATTTTTTTTATTTATTTATAATTTTTATAGTTCTCTTTTGAACTTGCTCCTCCATCATCTTTTTTTCTTCCATTGTTATTTCTATTTTGTGAAAAAATAAAAAAAAAATACAAAAGGGAAATGTTTCCCATTGCTGTTCTCATTGCCTCAAATAAACTTACCCAATGTAAATTTGAACTTCTGTTTGATCAGGGCAATGAGCTTTATGTGATTTTCTTTCAAATCGTCGTTCATTCGATTTTTAAAAATAGTGAAATTGCTTGGAGGCTAGCTGTCGAGAGTTAACAGTTACAACGAGATAAATTAGTTAGATGATGTGTACACCACTATAAAAATTAAGAATGTGTGTGTCTATTGTCAGACGCGTTTCAAAAAGGTGGACGTACTAGTGTTACCATACTCACTAAACAAACAAAAATAGTAATAAACTTTCAAAAATCCAAAAAAAAAAAATGTGAACAAACATTTGGCTAAAACTAAACGATTCATAATTTCATACCCTTCGGAAGGTATTGTGATATGTATTTTTTACAATTTAATCATTATTCACAACTTTTTATTCATAATTTTGGTTTTTGTTTTAAAGTATTACAATTTTCTGACAGTTCATTATTACACCAGCTGATTTTATGCGGCAACCTTGCTAAATACACCTAGGACCCAGATAAATGCAGTTGTCATTATCAGCTGGTTGTGGCAAACAATTTTTTTTAGTTTACGTGGATTTCATATTGTATTCATTAAAATTGGGTTGTTTTTTGTTAAAATAGCCAAACAATTTCGATTAGATATTACTCTGCTATACTAAATTACAACCGACATCAAGATGATTGAAGTCACAGATCTGCAGAGTAAGTAATTTCTTTGGGGTGGCATGAGAAAGCGCTGAGACCATGCAACCCCTTGCCCAGAGATGGCTTTTATGACAAATCCTTTCCTGAAATAATATTTTGTTTTTATTTTTAAATTACAGAAATTGGTATTGGTTTATCTGGAATGGGTATTGCATTCCTATTTCTGGGTGTACTCTTCTTGTTCGACAAAGGCTTGTTGGCCATCGGAAATGTAAGTGTTATTGTTGTAAACAACGAAAAAAAAAAAAAAACACCGCGGCATTTCGTAAATGTTTTTTTTTTATGGGGTCACCATAATGTCACTTCCCTTTTAATTTCAGATTCTATTCTTATCTGGCTTGGGTTGTGTTATCGGTTTAGAGCGTACATTTAGATTTTTCTTTCAACGGCATAAAATCAAGGGTTCCATAGCATTTTTTGGCGGCATTTTTGTTGTTCTTCTGGGTTTTCCCATCATTGGTATGGCCATTGAATCGTATGGATTCTTTGCATTATTTAGGTAAGTTGTTAAAGGGCTTTGTAATTTGTAATGGATTTTGTATTAATATGTTATGATTTTGTATATTTCAGTGGTTTCTTCCCCGTTGCCATTAGTTTTCTAAGTCGGATTCCAATATTGGGTTCGCTCTTCAATACACCATTCATGCAAAAGGTAAGTTATTTATGTGTGATTTAAAATAGATTTAATTGTTTATAAGTGGGATGGTCTATCGGTATCTTGGCCTAAATAGTGTTATAATTCTTGTAATATTCTAATAATTATCCCGATGTTCCAATAATAGCAGAAAACAGAATACCGATAAAAGAACTTAAATTTGAAGCTAGCTATAAATTCCATGATAGAAATTCCACTCATGAAAACCTTTTTGAGAAGATATAAATGGGATCACAAACATATGAAGCTCGTCAGGAACAGAAAAATTTCAAAAATTAATTAATTACATGTTTAAGGTTTGAATATCGGCTTTTTACTCCTATTTCTATGAACTATCTTGCTTTGTAAGCCCAATAGACTGCACCAGACGTTAAGTTTATTTATTATATTCCAAATTTCTAAAGGGAGCCTTTGTAGAAATGTCTTCGCTTCGAAAAGTCTTGCGTTTATTTTTTTATTCCAAGTCAGATCAGTTTTGTCATCCTTATAAGATGCCTTCAGTTGTCCCCTTTCTTGAATATTGCTTTTGCTTAAGTACTTATTGTTATTAGTCTTAATATTAACCTCCAACTATTGGGTTTAAATTGTTGGTAGTCTTCCTTTGATGGGGAATTGAAATTTTCTAATTTCACAAATTAAAATTTTAGTAGAACTGGCCATGGCTTCTTTGCAAGGCTTTTTTTTATAAAATCTTCCATTAATTCCTCAATTAAAATGAAAGTAACGTCCGGCGGTAGTCTTTAAGGTTCTTTCAAACTATCTTAAGGACTTCCAATGGGTTCATATACATACATATTTTTTCTCAATTTTTTAAAATAAATAATTATACAGTGGTATTAGCGCTGTTCCCTATGAACATACCATTCCACATAACATAAAGAGAAAACTTCCCCTCTTCCCACAAATCTTTTCAATCTTATTATGGTAGGAGTTCACAAAATGTAACTAACTATTCTATGCCACTTCAACACACGGATTCTCCCAAAAAAGTCGCAAACGTTTCTCAACAATTTTGTTTTTGTTTTTTTTTCTTTCAATTAGTTTTAGTTTATTTGGTTACTCTCCATATTTCACTTAACATCGTTTGCTTTTAGTTTAGAAATTACAAAATAACTTGGTTTAAAGAATGGCTACTACAATCAAAAAAGCTCTTGGCCGCTTTAGTGATTCTTATTCCATTCTTCACGTTCTTCGCGCTCCTTGATAACTTCATTCAAGTAGGGTTCCAAGTACTTGACATCATCTTCGTATTTTGTCCATTGGTCCTTGGGCAAAATGGTCTTGGTCATGGACAAATGCAAAGCACGCATAATGCGGTAGTTGCGTTCATCATACAATTTGCGGGGAAGACGACGGATTGCCTCCTTGACATCTTCGTTTTCGTACAAACAATCATCACGGTGGAGACCTAGAAGAACATTTTTGCAAGAGCACAAAAAAATTTGAGGTTAGGATTTATCATCAAGGCAATTGGAATTTCTTTTACACAATTCCATAACGAAATAACTTATATTGGCAAATACATACCGTATTGATTGAATCCAGACAAGTTGTATGCCCATTTACCCAAGCTGGCTGTGGAATAATAAGAAACATATCATTTATTTTCATTTGTTTACGTAACATGTAGTATTATTTTTTGTTTGGATTTCATATCATTCTTAAGAGCAGAACAAACCATTGCTTATTTGCATCACTTACAGAAAACCATGGGACCGCGTCTTGCTACATAGCCAGCCATTGTTCTATTTTGTAATTTTCTAATAAAACTTGAAAATTTCTTGACAAGTTGCCTTTTTCAGCTGTGTTTCAGAAATTCTGAAAAACTTATACCAATGTCTGTGAAACGTCAAACTTGACAACTTCCACACAATTGTAAAAGATTAATGGGTATTATTTTAATACATGGTTGTATTTGTGATTGATAACATGAATGTGTGTTATACCATGTTCTTATGGGCCTTTTAACTACATACATACGACAGACACAGCAACCATTTTTTTGTTACATTTCATTTTAATTTGTAATATATGATATATTGATAAATACATTCACGTCGATGTATGAATGGGAAAGAAAAGCCATATTCCAAAAGTATTTTCAAATTTTGATTAATTTTTTTTTTTTATTAAAGAATAATGTATTGGCACATAACAACGTTGCTTAATTTTGGCATAGTGTACACAAATATTCAACTTCCTAATACGATCACCGATATTTCTTTTATGAAATAAAAAAAATGCTACGAAGTATATGAGAGAGATCTTTTAAATGTTGTGACTTGTGAGAGATTAGTGATTGATTACTGTAGAAAATGTCTAATAAGAGCAGTGGTTTTATGACGATTTTTAGGAGTTATAGAAAAGATTAAAAGAAAGCGAAAATGCATGAAGCTAATCAAAAGTATTGCTTTTTCAAGCAAATGTTCACTGCGACCGCGCTTCAAATACTGCTATGCTCTTTTCAACTTTTAGGACGGTACCTCATTAATAAATGCTTCAATGTTGTCTTCCAATGCATCGATTAAAGCGGGCATGAGTTTTAACATAGCACCACATGAAGTATTCTAAAGTCCTTAAATCGCACTATTTAGACGAGCAATTATCCCAAACTCGCCTCTCAAAAATTCTATTATTAAGCGTGCTGTGTGTCTCCGTCTTGTCAAGCTCTTGCATTTTTTGGTGGAGGAGAACACGTACAAATCTACATATTTTTTGAAAAAAAAAAAAAAAAAAATATTAAAAATATATACATACCAATGTATAATTATTATTATACCTTATTCTTCTACCATGGATAGTAGCTAAAAAATCGCCCTTTATTACAGGAAAAAATGGAAAGATGCACTTCGTTATGTTGGGTATTCGACACAGCTGCTGGGGCAATGAACTGTCAAACACATTTTGCAATTGAAATTCTTGAATAAAAAATTATTAAAATTTGTGAAAATTGTTAAAAACTATTTTTGCTATCACTTCAACTAAAAACATAGGTTGTCAATTCACTTTACACTAAGCAATGCTATCTACACAAGAAGAAGACTTTATAAAGTAAAGCCCATGGTAAAGCCGTTAGAAATATGGTTAAAAACAGAATTATGGAACATAAAATATATATTTTATACATGATTTTATATCACACAGACAATTCGTAAAATACACATGCATAAATTAATAATAAAAATATTTTTTTTTACTTTCAGCTTGTTCAAAAACTTGGCGGTGATGCTGGCCGAACGAGGGTATAGTTTTAAAATATTGTTTCTTTTTTTCCTTTTGTAATTATATGCCTATCGTCTAAGTAAAATTATAAACAGAGATTTAAAAACTAACTCTTAATGTGCTGCACAGGATTAAAAAACTATAACATAAAATACATTTTTTTCAATATTTTTTTTTGTATTTTTAAATAAAACCCACATTAATGTCGTACTTAAATTGTGATTCTTTAATTAATTAACAAAATCTAAAATGTACCCGTTAAAATTTTTCGGCTAACATTTTTAATTGAATTGTTTTCCTTTGCAACCAACTCTTGCAGGACTCCACTATGACAGGATAGGACACGACCAAGGGAAGACGGATTAACTTTCAACTTGAAAACACACATTTTCATTTCCATATCCTGTTGCAGCAGTGGTGATGGAGTATGTTCCACATACTCCAATTGCAGGGAATCTTAAACATAAAAAAGAATACAAATATAGCATAAATCTCATAAATAATGATTATTAGTATACTAAGAGCTTACCACTGTCATAAAAACGACCCACACTCCAATTTAATAACATTTCCATGGGAAATTCTAATATTTGTCTACGTATCATTTTCAAAATATAACTAACAAAACCAATGCCAAGACGCAGCTAAAAAAGTTATTCCAATTATTTTTTTTTGTTTTGTTTTTTTTTTCCGTTATTTAAAATTAATATTTACCGTTGTGAAGACAACATAGTAGGTGAGTACTGTGGGAAATAGAAATAATAAACAGGCAAAGAAAACAGTGCCCAAATACAGCTGGCGGTTCATGTAACTATGGGACTCAACGCGATCTGAAATATACACATTTGTTTGGCAAACTCTTTCAATGGAGGTAAAAAGTGGATTCAACTTACTTTTCAATACATTTTTACGTTTGCCCAAAAACATTTTCCAAAGAACTTGAAGACCTTTGATTTCGACTTTATATAATCTGAAAAGTTTAGGAAGAAAATAACGATTAACCTTAAACGAAATATTAGTATTCCATTGTATACAGGGTGAGATAAAAAAAACTGCAACAAAGTCAAACGCCATAATTTTTTCTTTTTTTTAAGTTTTACTGAATGAAAGCAAAAAATGTCGGAATCTTAGATTTGTTCGAATTGGTCACCTTTGGCACGAATTATGACCTTCAAACGGCCAATGAAACAGTCGCACGCTGCCCGAATGTTGCTCTGCAGTATTTTGGCCCATTTCCGGCGAGGCGCTTGCTTGAGGTGATCAACACTTTGGTATTTTTTAGTGCCAACCTTGCTTTCCAAAATACTCCAGACACAATAGTCCAACGGATTCGTATCCGGAGATTTTGGTGCTGAGGGCGATGGTACTGTGTCCTGTTGGAATGTCCAAGGTCTGCGGCCAAAATGTTTGCGTCGCAAGAATGCGTCTAGAATAATTTCGCGATAATATTCGGCATTTATTCTGATGCCACGGTCGATTAATACGAGCGGAGAGCGACCATCGGCTGTTATGGCGGCGCACACCCTCACCATGGCCTGCGCTTGAGTTCTGGTGGCCAACCGAAGGTGCACATTTTTAGCTGACCTCTTTGGTACGTAGACACGATCATTTTGTGTGCTGGACAACGAATGTTTTCTCATAGGAGAAAACCAAATTCGGCAGTTTACCACTTTCGGCCAAGCGAAGCGACTCTTTTAGCTATTTTGAGTCTATTTTCCTTCTGTTGTGGTGTAAGTTCTTGCTCTATTTGGAATTTCAATGGCTTTTCCCCGAGCTAATTTTTCAATATTTGCCGAATGGAATATTGCGATGTGTTCAGCTCGCGAGCCATTGTTAGGCCAATGCGACGTGGGTTTCGATGAAGTCGCTTCTTTACTTTTCGAAACATTTCTGCTGATGCTGTTGCTGTTTTCTTCCGTCCACTTCCTTGACGTCGGGCTACGCTACCAGTATCACGGTAATGGGCGATGTTACGAGACACAAAAGATTTATTTACATTTAAATGCTGGAGTGCTCTAGCGATAGCCACTTGTGGTTTTCCAGCCAAATATAAAGAAATCACACCATCGCGCCTCAATTCCATCATGAATAACTTTTTTCTGATAAATTCTCACCTTTTGTACGCTTGTAAACAATATAATGAGCTGTCACTGGAATAATTTTAAACACCTGACGGATGAGTGGCTTAGAAATGACAGCAGACTAAAGTTGATTGCAGTTTTTTCATCTCGCCTTGAATCGATATCAAACTGGATAGAGAAAGAGTACGAAGACAACTATTCTGACTTCAGGTGATCAGTCAGTTGAAAACTGAATCTGAAAGTTGTCCATTATTTCGCTACGAGCATTGGATGAAGCGGCACATCAGGGAAAAATAACATCAAGGAAGATCAGATATAAGCACTGTTGCATTGTTTTGGCAAATGTAAAGCTGGGAAAAGTTGTATTGTGCATTATCTGTTTATCTATATTGACCTATAGATGGCTGATCTGGTGTTAGACACATCGACCTAAATTTTACTTCACTTTTGTTCTTTGATTTTTCATTGGACTACTTACACTGCTGCATAAATACTAAAGCAATGGGCATGCAAACCAATAACCGATATTATATCGCTTAACAAGGCCAACTGGTAAGACAATCCCATTGAACCCAAGATTGTTATGGGTACAAATAGTTGCCGAATACATGGCTCAATGGCATCTGCAATAAAAAGTAACTATTAGTATTATTATTCTTCATGGTACATTGCACTAATCTACTCACTTAAAAATGTATCCCACAATTCGACATGATAGCCAAAACACTCCAAAAGGAAGTTATTCAATTGAACATTCAACTTCAAACCAATGGGAGAGCCTTTTAATGAATGCAACAGCAAACGGAATTTGTTAACAATATACTATAAAATAATGATGATTTACAATACATTTGTCTTTGATTTAAATAAAGTTTACCACTTACATGGGCCGATGTAATTAAATAATTGCCAGGATTATCAATATATAAAATCAAAATCAACATTACACATAGGCCCAGAAATGTATCAAAGGCAATATTAAAACGACGTTTACTGGAAACAAAAAAGCAAAACATAATTTGACTTATTGAAAACATAGATCACAAACTTACCCACAATTTCGAAATTTTATCCATTCTCTATAGTGTTCACATAGAACGGTATGCTGGAAAATGTACTTAAATGGAGGCTGATAGAGGAACACAGTCAACAGCCACATCATAAAATTAAATGAGAATTCAAAACCCCTAAAAACGCAACGTTTAACATCATGGGCAAAGAAATCTTCGATAGGACCACCTCTGGTGTCATCGTGCACAATTGTATCCTTTACGTTCAACAATTGATACAAAATATGTAAGTCATCATTGTGGGTGGCACTGGCATCCTCGTCATCACATTCATCTGCTACTTTCGCATCAAGGTCTTCCCTTAGATCTTGTAATTTAAGTATTCGCCTCTCTTCGAAGAGGAAGACATTTATTTTACCCGGCTTCTCGGGTTTAATACTCAGTTTATTTAAATAAATATTTGGTGTTTCATCGTCGTAAACGAACGACAAAGCTACATCCTGATGCCGTTGTAGTGTTATGGCTTCTTTGGCATTTACAATATGACCCAAATGTCGAAATCTTTGGGTAATTTGTAAGCGATTTACTTCACTGCCGCCTTTATTGTTTTTGGCATCGGCTATGGCACATGTAATATAATACGATATACAATTGTTATCGCCAATTTTATTTTCACCATAAATATTGCAATTTTCTTTGGAGTAGAAAAGTTCCAGCGGCAGGAATATCTTAATGCTCATCTTTGTTTGAATTGTGGATTTCAATGCTCATCTTTCTTTTCTACATGTTGTTATTTTCAAGCCCGAAGAAGGAACATTGTTTTGATACAATCTTCACATTCACCAAAAATTAATAGCACCTGGTGTCCTAAAGTGAAGTACACATTATGGATCAAATTAGCATATCTTCTCTTTCCGTAAAAATGAGGACATATTGAGATTATATGTCAAATAATATTGTTAATTTAGATGTCAGTCGCACCGGATTGTTTGGATTCACAGCTGATAATACAGAATTTAAACATTCACCCAGAAAGAATAGCACGCTGATAGCTATAAAGAGAATCAGTTTGGGGATTTTTTTTTTAAATATAGGAAATATTAAAAAAACACATGAAATGCTGAAACCTTTATTTAGCATTATTCGTTTATAAGACGATTCATGGTTAAATTATATATCAAACTGACGACAATAGACAGTGAAACAAAATACGAAAAATATAGCTAGAAAATCACCCTTTACTAGGTTTTCGTGTACGGGAACGGGTTTCAAGTAAAATAATTGTAAAACTAGTACAATATTACATGTCTGGACACAACTAATATAAATATGAAAAACCTCTGTTGGCGTTTTCATTGAAATGAATTGTATATGAAATTTTATTCAGTTTCTTATCTCCATACATTATAGCATATATATCGACTTTAATATACATTGTCATCAAATTGTAATTGGTTGTAACTAATAGATTTGCTTGCAATTCATCATCTTATATAATCCTAAGAAAAACGAGTAGTTCACGACTAGATATGTGCCAAGAACTTTTAATCTTTTCTACGTTTCTTGTCGGAACTACTACCCGAACTACGATCATTTTTATCCTCTCCCCTTTTGGGAGCTTTTTTGGCCATGTTCAAGAACTGATCCAAACCGAAAGGATCTTCTTCTTTTTCAAATTGTACTGGCCCACTACGAGCCGGAGCTGCACCTGCAGCACCACGTGATGTGCCGGAGAATTCTTTGTCGGGCACAAAACGTTGTGTATTGACTATGCGATCCAAATCGGCTCCATAAGCATCGTTGTCAATTTGTTTACTCGGTCTGTACAGATGTGATCCCATGGAATTGGCATCACGCCATGGCTTGTCGTAGACATTATAAGCTTCATCATCTCCATAACCAGAGTCCATACCCTTGGTGGTATTAAATAGACGCTGGTCAAACAAAGCCTCGCCATTGCTGGCGGTCTTCGCTGGCATACCAAGGGCAATTTGTTCAGATATATCACGTTCACGTTCCTTTTGTAGCTTCGAACGCTTGTCTGGGGCAGCCCTTGCCAAATTACGATCCCTTTGTCTTTCACGATGGCGTTCAGCACGCAATTCATTGCGTTCCTTTGCTTCTGCACTCGAACCAGCGGCATCATCTGTGGGATTTCGCAGACCGGCACGTTCTTCACGAGCACGCTGGGCCATCATACGCAACATGTCCTCTTTCTTCTCCTTTTCCTTCTGAGCCAATTTCTTTTCCAGCTGTGCACGGGCCTCCACAGCTTCTCGAGCTTTGCGATCGGCAATATACAAAGCCTCCGACATCTTGGCAAACTTTTCGTTTATGTGCACTTGCTGAAGACCTCTACCATCGGCTGCCAAACGTTTGTCCAGTGGTATTGTATAACCCTTTGCGTTTTTCCAATTCGATATGCATGGTGGTATTTTCCATTCCTTCTGTTCCTTTACAGTTACTTTGCGTGAGGGTGAGTGCAGTACTGGAGCTGGTGGTGATGGAGGACCTCGTGGTATCTTTTTATTGATACGAAATTTAGGTGGCTCCATGGGATCTACTTGAGCCTCAACCATGCGAATAATTCTTTGTTTCGCTCCCGAATTGAATGCATCACCTTGCTGGGATGGTGTGTAACGTATGTACTGTGCTGGTGCCGATTTTTCAGCATGCCTCACAGGCATTGCAGCTGCAATTTTTTGATTAGTTAACTTTTCCAACGCCTTTCTTGTGGCCTCCGTTGTCTCGGCAATTGTTTCTTCGTCAGGTCTCTGCAATTCCTCGGCATCTTCAGACAAAACTTCAGCAGGGAGAAGTTGTGAAATCGACGAGTATACAATTTTGTCTTTTCCATGTCCCTGTCTGGCAATGGCATCATATTTAATTTTCCCTTTCTCGTCTAAACGCACAGCCAATGCATTTGATTTCTTGCCCAAATTGGCGGGAGCGCCCATACCCAGAGGGTATTGGGCAACATGAATTTCCGGGAAAGCACCGCCATCTCCGAAATCTGCTTCTGTACGTGGTATCCAATCTTTGCGCTGGCCATAGGGCGGTGCGGCTATTTTGGCCGATACCAATGCTCCAATTTGTGGTGCACCTTTGGCAGCCACGCGTCTTTCATCCTCACGATCCCACACAGCATTTGTGGGCGTGGGTAAAAGACTTGAAAGAGACATGCTATAGTGTATGTATGTTGTATTTTTGTATGTTACACGGTCGAAACACAAGACAAAAATTTAAATAAATACAATTAAATTGATAAAAATGTAGAAATCCTCCGTAGTAAAATTGTGTTGTATTTTTATTTGATTCTTCTTTTTGTAAAATGGTAACATTCAAAGGGAATGGTTAACAAGTGCACACATATATATTTGTCTCGTTCTATCTTACAATGATTTAGGGGACTACACGCAAATCAAGGCATATGATATATTAGGTAGTCGCAACATCCCAGCTAATGGCTCCTTTAAATGTCAAAACAAATTGATGTAATGTACAATTCGCCTGAATTACTGCCATGTTAGAAAAATCGACAATTGTTTAGATGAAAATGTCAAAAATATTCAAAAGTTTCTGTAACAAATAAGTATGTTTTTTAATGTGTTCTTATGCAATGTAAATTGGAGGTTGTTACGACAAATGTTTTTCAATTATTTTAATAATATTAGTAAAATTTCATTCAAAATTTGTCTGTTCAAAAAAGTCTTGACAATTCATTGTACCCATGGGACCGATGCGAATACTACATAAACAAACACAAAATTAGTTTTTGCCTCCCCTTCCCAAACTTGTCTTCCTGTAATATTAAAATTTTATTTCGTTTATTTTCAATTTTTACTTTTCATGCAGGAATTGACCAGCAACATCTTTCTGGGAGAGTAAGGTAGTTTTATTCTCTTTTGCAAAGAAAATGCAAAAAGTATACAGACGGTATTTCTGCAGAAGCTTGCAAGTAATCAGCTGATTTGTCAAAACAAACCAATTTGTCTCCTTTAAAAGAAAGGAAGCACGACAAATTTTACAAGTTTTTTTAAATAAAAATGAAATTAGCACTATAATAAAAAAAATATGAGCAATAAAAGAAAGATAGATTTGACGTGTTCCCCGGAATCTTTTAAACGTGTTGCTAATGGCGCTTGTCTAAAAATGTTGGAAATAGTCTTTAATTTTCTTATTACATATTAATATTTACGTTTCTTAGGGTGTAAGTACATAAGAAGCTTGAAGTCATGGCTAAGCATATTTTGTGACATTTCATAAAGGGATTACAGAGCCGCACTAAAATCCTGTCGTCGTTATATATATATGTTGTGTCTTGTTGAGACTGATGAATAAATAATGCACGATCTTTACGTTATAATGATAATGATACTTTATTATAAAAAAACTTAATCTACGATAATGCAAAAAGGATCGAATTGAAAATGGTGACCGGTTGCTTTGATTGAAATGTACGAATGAATACAAAACAAAGATGCTGTAGTGACAAGTGCCATATGTTGCCACATCGTCACGAGCAGAAAGTATCACAATACAATTACATGGAGTGTAACAATGACAAGTGGTTACGGATCTCACTTAAGTCACCACAATTCTCCCCCACTAAAACAAGGACATATATGATTACTACGATTAATGCTAATGGCGAACATAATCGCTTAAATACTGGGGTTGTCTCCGTTGCCTTGCAGAGGTACGACGACTTGGTGTGGACTCAGCATCAGCGTTTTGGGTAGAGGCTGATGGCGTTCCAACTGGTGCTTCGGTTCCGGCTGCAGTTGGTGTTGTGGAAGTACCGGGAACTTCTGGATCATTAGCATGTGTACTCAGTGGAATGTAGGGTGCCATAATTAGAGGCTGATGAGACTGTTCGCCATTCCCTGAACTAAAATCTGGGACCGACTCAGTCTGCTCAGTATCTGGAGAATAAGGCAGTTTTACATTTGTGAAACGGAGTTGGTCTATGTGGCGCTTGAAGACATAACCATTGTCGAGTTTTACCAGATAATGAAGGTTACCAAGCTTTTTAGAAATAATTCCGAATTTCCATACAGGTTTGTTTGGCGTATAGTATCGGACTTGAACTCGGTCTCCCTCACTCAGTTTCCTAACTGGACATTGTGGCGTAGATGACTGAGTTAATTTTGATGGCTTCAAGGCATCCAATCGGATTCGGATTTGTCTACCCAGGTACATTTCTGATGGGGATTTACCATTTCGAAGAGGTGTAGCTCGATATTTAAATAAAATTTCTCTTACTTTTTTAGATATCGGAGAAGGATCCTCTGCCATGGCTGCTAGACGCTGCTTGAGTGTTTGAACATTTCGTTCAGCTAGACCATTTGTGGCAGGGTGGCCAGGTGCAATGTATTTCTGGAAGATACCGGAATTAGTGCAGAAATTTTGAAACTCTTCACTTTTAAAAATCGTTGCATTGTCAGAGACAAGAACATCAGGGTATCCATTGCGTGCAAAAATGTTGTTTAACATTTCGATTGTTGACGTTGATGTTGGCGCAGAGGAGCACACCCCCACTTCTGCCCACTTTGATTTTGCGTCGACGACAACAAGAAATTGATATCCCTGATATGGCCCCGCGTAATCAATATGAATACGTTGCCAATTTCCATCCGGCTCCTCCCAAGGATGGAGAACTGCTTTCGGAGGATTTTTCTTTACCAAGGCACACGCAGAACAGGAACGTACAAATTGTTCAATATCTTTATCAATTGATGACCAAAACACATAACGTCTCGCCAATTGCTTCATCTTGGTTATACCTATATGAGTATAGTGTAACTCTTCTAAGACTGCCTCTTGAAGTGAAGTTGGTACAATGACCCTTTTCCCTTTGAACAATATGCCGGCATCGATGGTGTACTCCGAATCGACCACATTTGAGTTACGTAAATCGAACAAAATTTTGGAAAGCATTGCGTCATTCTTTGTTGCGTCTCGAAGTGATTTGAAATTTAATTTTATTGAAGTAATTTGATGTATTGTTGACCCGCAAATTGAATGTACTTCTTGATCAATTAAATTTGTAGTGCCAATCCCTGATTTAATTGGGGCCCTGGAGAGACAATCGGCATTGACATTTTCCTCGCCCTTTTTCGTACTGACTTCGTAATTATATCCAGTGAGGAAAGCGGCGTATCGTTGAAGTCGAGATGACGTCATTAGGGGCAATTTCGAATTTTGGTGAAAAATTCTTGATAACGGCTTATTATCCGTTATAAGCTTAAAAATTCGGCCAAATATGTACTCGTGAAAATGTTGAACCGCATACACAATTGCTAGGGCTTCCCTATCTAATTGCGAATAATTTTGCTCTGCTGGAGTAAGAGACCTTGAGGCAAACGCTATCGGTCTTTCTTGGCCGTCAATAATGTGCGACAAAACACCAGCTATCCCGGTGGGACTAGCGTCGCACGCAAGCTGTACCGGCAAATCGGAATTATACGGCATCAATACGCGATCGCTGGAAATTTCTCTTTTCAAAGCATCGAAAGACTTTTGGCATTCCGATGTCCATTTAAAAATTAGCGTGTTTGAGCAGTAAATTGCGCAACGGGGTGGTAATTGTAGACGAATTCGGTATGAATCTTGCGTAATATGTTACCATACCCAAAAAACGGCGAACATCTTCTACACTTTCTGGTTGGGGCATTTGTAATATGGCTTGTACTTTTGAAGGTGACTTTTGGACCTTGTTGTGCCGTATTACGTGACCCAAAAACTCCATTTGATTGTCAAAAAATTTGCATTTTGCCATATTAAGGTGCAGATCGTACTTCTGCAACTGGGCTAAACATAATTTTAAGTTTGCTTTGCACTCACTCAAAGTCTCGCCATGTACCACGATGTCGTCAAAATAGGATTCTGTTTTGGGCACTTCCCGTAAAATTTGATCTATAATCCTATTAAATTCCGCCGGGGCAGTTTTAATGCCGAAGGACAGACGATTCATTCGAAAAGTCCCTTTGTGGGTCGAAATGGTTTGAATTTCGCTTGACTTTTGGTCCACTTGCACATGTAAATAGGCTTTGTATAAATCAAGCCGACAAAAATGTTTAGAGTCCCTGAGACTATTGAAAATTGCATCTATTTTCCGAATGGGGTAATGAGCATTCACAAGTCGCTGGTTGACTCCCACCTTGTAGTCAACGCAAAGGCGCACTCCACCGTCAGCTTTAGGGATGACCACCAGTGGTGACCCCCAGTCACTATTGGCAACCTTGGTGATTATGCCAGCCTTCTCCAACTCTTCCAGCTCCTTGTTAACACGCTCGGTTAAGGCGTATGGAATTTGACGCTCTTTTGTATAGGTTGGTGTGGCATCTTCACGCAATTGAAGTGAAACTTTATGGCTAGGGATGCAGCCAATCTTTTGTTGAAATACAGCTGAAAATTCGGAAATGTATTCTTGAATGTCGCTCGACTCACCGATAGAATTGGTAACCATGTTGTTCGACTTATGTTCGTCTAGCTCGTTTAGATTAATTCCTAGACGACGTATCCATGTACGACCAATTAACGCCGAACACCCGTCTGGGACAACGTAGAGATCATCGATGAATGAAACGTTTTTGTATTTTATATTTACTCGGACTTTCCCATCTGGTACGAATTTATCTTGGGTGTATGATCGGAAAACGATGTTTGTGGCGGTTAATTGGTTAGACAATTTTAATTTCCCAAATTCACTCCTAGGCAAAAATGAGTATCCAGAGCCAGAATCTACTTCAAAAGATACCACTCTACCTTCTATGAAGATATTCGCATAGTAACGCTCAGCATTGGCATTTGCGTAATCGTTACGGTACACATCCACGATTTTATAAATACCGTACGAATCATCACGTACTTGATTCGTGGACGCCTCCCTCGTACTGGGTTTACCCCGTCGTCCGGCATTAGGACCATCCGCCAAAAGTGAAGCAATGCAGACTTTTGCTACATGCCCTTGCTTGGCACACAAGTTACATTTAAGATTTTTGTTAGAGCGACACTCCTTCGCAAAGTGATTGTTTTTGCCGCAGCGTAAACATAGATCGGCAATACCTAATTGCTCGTAATTGACTTTACGCTTCTGTTGCCCCTGACGAGATTTGAAATTTTTCGATGGGCTTTTATTAAAAATTTTATTTATATCCGTCGAATTTGAAGAATTTGCCGTTGCTTGGGACAATTCTCTGGCGTCCATCTTCGCAGCCTCTAGAGCCAATGCCTTCCCAACAATTTCATCAATTTTCGCCGTACTGGATTGAAGAAGTTGTTCGCGTACAGTATTGTCACAAAGGCCTCGAATAAATTGTGCCCTCAAAAACACATCGGCTATGGACGCTCCACATTTGCACGGTGAAACAAATTCGCACGAATTAATATCAGTACGGAGTGCAGCCACAAAATCTGCCACTGATTGCCCTTGCATCTGATATTTTGATAAAAATTTGTGTTGTGCCACCAACACATTCTTTTTCGGTGCTAAATGATTTTGCAAAATGGTTAGCAATTCATCGTATTGCAGATCTGCCGCTGCTCTGGGCGCTGCCAACGCCGTCACCATGTTAAAGTACTTCGCACCAATAGAGTTAAGAAGCAACTTTGTACAGTACTCCTTATTAGCACTGACGCCCTTCATTGCAATGTAGTTGTTAAACCTCTCTATATAATTGGTATACATTTCCTTTGCCGGATCAAAATGATCGAAGTTTGGTACCAATGTCGTGTTGATGCTGGTGTTGCTGCTGCCTTGCGCTGCACTTGAAGTAGGAGCACCCACAGTCATCTTCGATATTTGGCTAAACAACGCCTTTTGCATATCCATAAACGCGGCAAATTGAGATGCATCCATTTTGTTATATTTGTGTTGTTGTTAAAAGCTTGCACTTGCTTTAATAGAAAAAAAATATGCAGAATATTAGTTTTCCAAAATAATATTCCACTTTTTACGCTCGTCGCCAAACTGTTGTGTCTTGTTGAGACTGATGAATAAATAATGCACGATCTTTACGTTATAATGATAATGATACTTTATTATAAAAAAAACTTAATCTACGATAATGCAAAAAGGATCGAATTGAAAATGGTGACCGGTTGCTTTGATTGAAATGTACGAATGAATACAAAACAAAGATGCTGTAGTGACAAGTGCCATATGTTGCCACATCGTCACGAGCAGAAAGTATCACAATACAATTACATGGAGTGTAACAATGACAAGTGGTTACGGATCTCACTTAAGTCACCACAATATAGTTTGACATTAATATGCCTAGCCATGACTTCAAGCTTTTTATGTACTTCCACCTTTACATTTTGTAAAGTTGTTCTCCAAAAACAATCAGTCTTGCTAATTCCAAAACAAAAAGAAAAACACAAACAATAGGAAACATCTGATTGAATGTAGATGAATGAGAAGAAGAGGAAGAGTTGCAAGTGATTACAAGAAGAAATTTGTCCAGCAAGAATTTGCAAACTCTCGCTGAAAGAACTGTCAAAATTTCTCTCTTTAACCGCTCTCTTTTGCAGAACTTTCGAGTAAACGGACGACTTCCAGTAACAATTTGTAACAATTGTTACAAACTTTAGGGTAACCAGACACACCTAATTATAGCATGTTCATAACTGGGGGTAGGATTTATGTTATAATTTAAAATATCCTTTGCCTATTTTCTCTTTTGTACCCATCCAAAATAAAACCACTATTACATTTATTATATTTCAGTATTAGACTTTTTAATCATTTTTGCAATATATTTACTTATTTACATATATGTAACTCTTCAATTAAATTTGTTTTCTTCTTCAGTGTATTTTCGCCAACTTCTTTCCATGTTCCATTACTTTATAGGTTTCTATCTTGTTGGTTGGTTGGTTGGTGTATATGGTGCCACATAAAATATCTCTTTGTATATGCATATTTACTTTCTGTTTATAAAATATTTTATCCATGATCGTAATAAAAAAATCTCTTATTTCAAAAAAAAAAAAAAGTTATACACACAACACAAAAAGAGGTGGTGGTGGAAGAGGAGAAGAAGAAAAGTGTAATTATTTGAATTGTATTTTTATAGCTAATTAAATAATATTAAAAAAATTCCAGACTTAATTCAAAAACAAGGGCGCGTGAACAAATTTCATAAATTTCAGTTACTTATTATAATTATAAATTTCAATAAAGCAAATCAGCTGTTAAACTTGAAACAATTGAAGAAGTTATTAAAAAAAACAAATTGTTTCCTTTTTCTTTACTTTTTATAAAGGTTTAATTTTTTTTAATAAGAATTTGTATAACAAAATATGAAAATATGTAGACTTAAATTGAAATAAAAACTATAATTAATTTCTTTTTTAAATGTTTGTTTTGCATTTTAGGTTAGGTTTTTATTTAATTCAAATTGTGTTTGTTTTCGTTACCCCAGCATTTTCTTCTCCATGAATGAAATTATTGCTTATTATATAAACACAAAAAAAAACAAGAATTATATAGAGAAATTATGTGAATGCTGTTTGTGGTCGGTTGTTCTGTACGAAATGCAAATTTGAAAGCGAAAAACAAATATAAACAATTATAATTTTTTTTACAAAAATTAACAATTTCTAGGAAACTTGTATAGAAATGAATAGAAGAAACAATTGAATTTTATAAATATATATGTATATAAAAAGATATAATTTTTCCGTATGCTTTTCTCCCGTAGTTATTCAATGAATTGAGTGGCACGCTTGTAAAAGCGAGCGTTTTTGGAGTTGGTGGGGAGTAATTGAAAAAAAATTGAAAAAACAGCACATTTCGCACAAAATCTCGTAATACAACTTTTGCAGTTTTTTCTTCTTCTTGTTGTTGTTTTTACAAATAGGAGGCACATAAGAAATTCGGTGTAAAATATACGAGAGAATTTTACATTGACAACTGCCCGCCCGTCCGTCCGTTTGGAGCGGGTTGTGGTATGATTGGGGGTTTGGAGACGGTTATGGATATGAAGTATTTTCACCATGTTTTTTTTCTATTCATGTTCAAAAAATATTGTGGTGGATTTATGAAATTTTCTGTACTAGATCTTTTGTTGTGTGAAATCCAAGAGGAATTAAAAATAACTCCTTTCCTGGTTGTTGTTATGGTTCTTGTAATTTTGTTATAGTAATTATGCTATATGTAATAATATACGCTTAAAATAAATCGTTAATAGTTTCAAGTCTGTTGAGTGAGTGTGTGTTTGTTTGTGGTCAAAATGAGTCTGTGTTGTAGGAGTTTATTTGAGGTTTGACAACGTTAAGAAAAGCATTGTCACCAGCAAGCTTGAACGAAACAACATTCAATTTATTTCATTATCTGTTGTAACCATACGGACTTTACGTATGGAGAAGGAACCATGGGGAGGAGCTGGAGCAGGATTATGTGGCAAAAATTGAGGACTGCTGCTGCTGCCGCTGAACAATGGCAATTGTTTGGCTGTGTTAATACTATTACTATTATTATTGTTGTTATTTACTGTTTTCTCTATATATTGGGCTTTCCCATCAACACTTCCGATGCGCCTTGAAACTGTATTAATTTTACGATAAACGTTTGGTTTTTGTTGTGGGAAAGTGTAACTTGCATTTGTATAGGATTGAGCAGCATTAAAGGGTTTATTTATTAACTGTACATTTCTCCTTAAATGAGATCCTGTCATGGTTATATATTGTTGTGGTTGTTGTTGATGTTGTATTTCTTGTGGTTGATGTTGTTTTTGTACTGCTGTTGGCGGTCTTCTAACTGGATATATTTTTCTGGCATTGCGTATTAATTTATATTTATTTAATAAAACTGTTGATTTTTGTTGTTCCTCATTGTGTTGTTGTTGTTGTGGTTGCTGGTATCTATTTACATTGGTAGCGAATGATGATGTTGATGGTAATGGTTCCAATTGAATTTTGTTGCTGGCAACATTTGTAATGTATCTCTTCTTTCCATGTTGTTGCTCAAATGTTCCGTCTTTAATGTTATTGTCCTGTTTGTCGTCGTAGCCGTCATCGTTGTTGTTTTTGTTGTCTATGTCTATTATCTGTTTTTGTTCCGGTTGTTGTTGCTGTTGCTGTAGTTTAAGGTCTTGTTGTTTTCTGTTATTTCTAATATTAAGTTCCGTTCTTGAGCACAGTCCACCACTGTGTTTATGTTGCTGCTTTTGTTGTTGTTGTTGATGTGTTTGGTCCACGCTACTACCAGGAGCGTCCGATTTTATTGAAATTTCTACCGTTGTGTTACACGACGTATGGGTGCCCGTATCTTTCGTTTGGCTTGTTGTGCTGATTGGGCTCCTGGCGTTGGTGTTGGCCTATGTAAGAAAACAATTAGATATTAGATTCACAGAAGAGAAGTAGGAAATGGATTACATGGGCCAGGACTGTCAATCGGGGAATGGGAAGAGAGTTTTCTGATTTTCATTGAAGGAAAGGAAACTCTTGTTTTCAGTACAATTTCATATAACACGAGACAAGACAAACACTTTTAGGGTTAATAAATAATTCTTGCAGTTAGTAAAACAAAACTGACCGTTAAAAAAGGTATAAATCAGCACAATCATGAATATTCGCGAGGAGAGCATTTTTTTCGAGAGATAATTTCTCCATTCATGAACAATTGAGGAGAAAATAATTTGTAAAGATGACAACACGAGTGGGTCTTTTTCGTACCTAGTCTACCCTATTTGTTTTACAAATTGGCGCAAATATGAAATGCTTTCGTTTTTTGTTTTTTTCTTTATAAAAGTAAGCAATTTAAAATAACAAATTTTTTATATTGGGATTTGAGTATATGTGTCGAATGTTGAAAAGTCTATGGAGCAACATTGAAGTTTGAATTAAAATCCTGAATAGCTAATTAGCTATTATTACACCTAATTATAGCTAATTATTACACAAATTTTTCTTGGCAGACTTTTTGAATAAATTATTGGCCTTCGCTATTCCAAGTATTTTTTTTTAAGGAAAATACATTTTTGAGAGCATATACTTTACCTATTTTTTCTACCTCGATTTTTTTCTTGTCTGACATAAATTTTTGTTTATGATAGCAAAAAGAAGGGGAAAAGAGGGAAATTCCGCACAAAATTGTTATTCATGATTGGGCTGATATTTTCTATTTTTATTTCCATATTTTATATGTTATTGACATCTTTAACGAGTCTTTTTATTACATTATATTAATGCTCTTTATATCAATTAAATGCAATATTATAATTTATTTGACGTCACATACATAAAGATGATATCGATTTAATTTTAAGGGAATTTTGATGCGCTTCCTTTCCTTCAATTTTGGTTATTTCTCAATGGATGAAATTTCGACATGAACGAATTTAGATTTGGACTTATAAATAAAAGAATGCCTTTCTTAACATCATAAATCCCGCATAGAGAATAGATTCGATTCGTTACGAATGAGGCAATTATGTCTGAACAGAGTTGTGTGAACAATTTTGAGCATTTAAAAAAAGGGGCTTGTGTTTTACTTACGCGAAAATATTACTAGAAACAGGCGCGGTGCCTGCATTAAATTGGAAAGGAGCACTCGGCGTTGTCTGCAAAGAATGTAAAAACAAATTTTGATTTGTATGTTAGTTAATGTCGAAAAAAAAATAAATGTAATGGGTTTCCAACAAACTTGGTTAGCAATATGTTGTTATATAAGGTCATAATAAGAATGAAGCAACCAAAATATCTGTTTATAATCAACAAAAAAATAAAATAAAATAATAAATAAAAAATATGTCTAAACAGTAATAAAAGGCCTTAAGACGAATTAGCTGCTTTTTTGGGACAGATGGATGATGTACAGGGTGAGACCAACTTCAGACTGCTGTCATTTCCAAGCTACTCGTCCGACAGATTTTAAAATTATTCCAGGGACAGCTCATTATATTGTTTACAAGCGTACAAAAGCATTTTGGTGAGAAATTTCCAGTGGCTATCGTTAGAGCATTCTAGCATTTAAATGTGAATAATTCTTTTGTGTCTTGTACCATCGATCATTACCGTGATGCTGGTAGCGTAGCCCGACGTCAAGATAGTGGACGAAAGAAAACAGCAACATCAGTAGAAATAGTTCGAAAAGTAAAGAAAAATGGCTCGTGAGCTGAACATATCGCAATATTCCATTCGGCAAATATTGAAAAATTAGCTCGGAGTAAAGCCATTGAAATTCCAAAAAGTGCAAGAACTTACACCACAACAGAAAGAAAATAGACTAAAAAGAGCTAAAGAGTTGTTTCGCTTGGCCAAAATGGCGAACTGCCGAATTTGGTTTGGTTTTGTTCTCCGATGAGAAAACATTCGTTGTCCAGCAGTTTGTAAACAAACAAAATGATCGAGTTTACTTGCCAAAGAGGTCAGCTGAAAATGTGCACCTTCGGTTGGCCACCAGAACTCAAGCGCCGGCCATGGTAATGACAGCCGATGGTCGCACTCCGCTCGTATAATGGATCGTGGCATCAGAATAAATGCCGAATATTATGGCGAAAATATTCTGGAAGATGTATTGGGCACGCAAACATTTTAGCCGCAGACCTTGGACATTCCAACAGGACTCCAGGCACCATCCCACTCAGCACGCGCCACCCAAGAATGGTTACAAAATGAGGTTCCTCGCTTCATTTTCAGCGTACAATGTCCACCAAAATCTCCGAATACTAATCCGTTAGGCTATTGTGTCTGGAGTATTTTGGAAAGCAAGGGTGGCACTAAAAATACCAAAGTGTCGATCACCTCAAGCAAGCGCTTCGCCGGAAATGGGCCAAAATACCGCAGAGCAACATTTGGGGCAGCGTGTGACGTGGTTTCATTGGCAGTTTTAAGGCCATAATTCGTGCCAAAAGCGACCAATTCGAACAAATCTAAACTTATTCTAAAATTTTATGCTATTTCCGACATTTTTTGCTTTCACTCAATAAAATTTAAAAAGAAAATGTAAAAATTATGGCGTTTGAATTTGTTGCAGTTTTTTATCTCTATCTCTCTCTATATCTTCATCCGATTTCAAGTAAATTTGAAAGAAAGTTTGTAAAATTTGGTGAAAATCGGTTAAGCTGTAGCTATAGCTCTCATGTATATATTTTATTCGATTTTATATCAAAGTCCCATTCAAAATCGTAATATACACCCGATATCAATGATTATAGAGGAAATCAGGGAAATCCTAGAAATACCTTTGTCATGTTTTGTCGAGATAGATGTAGATTCGGTTATATCTCCCATATATATTTCTCCGCAATTTGATGTAGAAATACACCAATGATGCTATGTGTTGTTCAATTAAGTTGGTCCATCCGATTTTATATTTAAGACCTCCGAAAGTAAAAACCGTGAACTCTTTAACAATGATATTTGGTATAACATCAATTAACCCCAGTCAAGTTTAGTGGAAATCGATGTAGCTTTGTTATGTTAGTTCCAACCGATATCAAATTCAAACCGCTCTAATGTCGTAATACGCAATTAACATTAATTTGTTAAAGGTAATGTCATAAAGTCGGCACCGATCGTCTTATGTCCGGCATGATTTTTTATTCCTAATTTGACAAGCGAGAATAGTTGGATTTTAGGTTTTGTTAGGATTTTGGCCATTTTGGACTGCCTTTGCATTAACACAAATAAGCCTAACCAATTAACTTAGACTAAATTTAAAAAAAAAATAATAACTTTTACAGTTATTATCAAATGTAAATAGAAATTTTAATGCATTAATGAATCAAAAAAATAGTACATGCACATACATTCATATATACCAAAGAAGTAACTATTTATACATTAATATACATATTAAATATTAATTTTACATCTAACTACATTACCTCTATTGCACCAGTACCGCTGCTGCCAAAACTAAAAACTGGTGCTGATGGTGTTGCGCCAAATTGAAAAGGTTTCGTTGAATTCTGTGACTGCAGTTTTGGTTTAGTTTTCAAATTTTTAATGCCAACAACCAAAAACCATCACGGTACACATATACATACACACGCACACACAGAAACATAAATGTAGTAACAACAATCAATTGATAGCCCATTGTTGTCAAATTTTTTAGGATTTAATTTCAATAACGAACGAACGAACAAGTTTTTTTTTGTTTTTGAACGATGGACCAGACGGACGGGACGTATAAGATTCCACAACACAGGTAGAGTTAATCATTATACGCATCATTTTTATAACATTTCGATGATGCAATGCCATTAATCATCATTTTTTTGGTAAATACATTTAACAATTGTCCCCCAAAAAATACAGTAGGAGTAGTAGTACAATTTTGATCAAGAGAGTTACGCAAAGGAGGGGAAAAGAGAAGAGAAAAAAAGTAAAATAGAATTTTAGTTTTATACTCTACTGCTACTTGCAATCGTACGATTTAAATAGAAATTATTATAAACAATATAAATTAATATGGCCAAAGCCGTCACATACCTCTGATGATCCGGTAAAGTTGAATGTGGGTGTGGCAGTGGTGCCACCAAAATTAAAAGCTGGTTTCGTAGTATTTGATCCGAAATTGAATCCTCCCTGTAAATGCAAAAATAAAACAAATTTATTTAGTTGTTGTTTGTTAAGAATACAGATTCAAGCAAGGTTATCACATTTGTGGGAAGGTTAACCAAGCGCACACGTTCCCCGCACAATAATTCGACATATCATACCCCACAACAAAAAAGGAAACGAGATAGACCCATAGTACCTTTAGTGATTTGCCTAGAACAGAGATGTTCAAGAACAAGAGCTCTCTCGCCAGTTTAAGAAGTCTTAGTTCTTCGAAATCATTAACAAATGAGTGTAAAAACATAATTTATGCATTTGTACAACATTCATGTTAAAAAACAATTGAAATTTATTGTTAAATATAACAAGTTAAAACGTATCAGTCGGGTTTGCCGACAGTTGTATAAACTCAGCCAATATTCGATTATTAAAATATACCTTGACTTCTATCATTATTATTGAAATTTTTGACCCTCTACGGAGTAGATTCCGAAGGAATGGGCCACTATTGTCCATTTCGTATCGGACCTAAAAAATATGACCTACATATAGCGACGTGCCAGACTATATTGGTTACTTCCTTCACTTTATATGGGATATGTGATAATTTTAAGAAAATGTTAAAATGTGAGTGAGGTACCACAGATATAGTCGACCGAAATATTCCATTTTCATACTTCAGATAAAAATATTGGTATGGACGAATTTACAAAAAAAAATGGAACATTTATAACTAATTTTATGAGAAATCAATAATTCCATATTGATCTCAGGTTCCTGTTTGGGAGAAAAAGAACCGCTGATTTTCTTTCGCAAGTTATGACAGATAAAAGTATTAAAATTTGCAAGCCCTTGTGGGTGAGGTACCAGAAGGGGGAGCGTAGAACTGATCATCTTCACAACGTATCTTGTGTTAGCCATAATGTTTGTGTGTGTGAAATTTCTCTTCTTTGAGCGTTTTGTTTTTCAAAATCCTGAACCCCTCTTCCATCTTTCTAACAGATTTTGTGTTGATAGAAATATTGAGATGTGCCAAGTCTGAATGGAATTGGATGCTAATTTCGCGTTTGTGGGGGAGGTACCAAAATGGGTGAACCGATATATTCCATCTTCACACCAGAGCTTGTATCATTAAAAATATTGCGATATGAATAATTTGAAGAAAACCGGCTGCTTATTTCGGATTTTTACTATTTAAAACGTTGACCATTTGTGCGAGAGGAATCAGAAGGAATGGTCCGATATCTACCATCTTTTTAAAAGAACTTGTGTTTATGGAAATATTGAGATGTGCCAAGTCTGAATGGAATCGGATGTTGAATTCATGTTATATGCGCTTCATGGACATTCAAAATTTTGACCCTTTGTAGGGGAGGTACCAGTAGGAGTGGATCGATATAATCCATCTTCACACCAGACCATGGGTTAATAAAAAAATCGGATTATCCTTTCTCTTTCTGTGCATTGAAACATTTTTTTTTGTGGCGGAGGTAACAGAAGGAGTGGGCCGATATTGCCCATCTCCGACTCGTTCTAAGTGTGATAATAATATTATTATGTACCAGCCAGACAGGCAGACGGACGGACATCGATTCTAAAGTTTTGAAACGGATTTGGTCCAAAGAGACCTAGGGTCTAAAACCTTTATTTCGCTTTCTTTTTGGCTGTATCAAATGAAATGTACCCTCCCTCCTCCCTCTCTAGCCATATGGCTGAAGGTATAAAAAATATAATTTTTGTTTCCGCTTAAATTATCGCTTTTTTGGAAAGCGACACCAGTGGATGCTCGTTTACACGACTGCCCTAGAATCATGATCTGTCGATTTTATTTATGCCTGTCTGTCCATAATTTTTATCAGTAAATTGCAGATCGAAATCATTATTCGACTGAGGCAAAACTTTGCACAGTTCATTTGTTAGGCCCTGAAAGTACTCTATTAAGCTCCCATTTATAAGTTGTTGCCGATTTTATATTCCAGTCCGCCAAAGGCGAACGTGTGCTCTATTCTTTAATTACTTCAAAGTCTATCCCACTGTACTTACACTTGAACTCTGTTGCTGTTGTTGTTGCTGCTGCTGTTGTTGTCCAGGCTGGGCCGAAAAATTGAATGCCGGTTCGGGTTTCTTTATATCGGTTGTATTCACTGCTGCTGCTGCTCCAAAACCACCAAATGTTGCTGACCCCGTAACGGCGGTACTGCCAAATGTTGGTGTGCCACTGGTGGCCGATGCTGAACCGCCAAATGGTGATGAACCAAAGGCCGGTGCTGGTGTTGCTGCACTACCACTTGGATTCGCCGCACCGAATAAATTTGTTGTAGCCGGTGCGGGAGCAGAATTGACTGCAAAAAGATTCGTACTCGAGTTATTTGCTGACTGTGTAGTACCGGCGGCAACTGCCCCAAAAACTGGCGGATTATTTGGCGGCGAAGTATTGGTTGTTCCAGTGGGATTACCAAATATCGATGTGGTTTGTTGCTGGCTTGAAGAACTTGAACTGGATGCTGCTGCACTGCCACCAAATGTTCCAAACACAGAGGTGGTGGTGCTTGGCTTGCCGGCATCAGCAGCGGCAGGAGTTGATGTCGCTGATGAACCGAATACAAAACTTGTTTTGGGCCAGGAAGATGCCCCGGTTGCAGCAGCTGGAGTAATGCCGGTATTTGTTGAAGAGGAAGAAGAATTAGCAGTTTCTGCAGAGGCGCCTGGATTGGATCCAAATACAAAAGGTTTTGCTGCAGTTGTGGAGGCTTGCCCACTGCTGCCACTACCAAACACTGGTGCAGCCGGTTTACTTCCACCACCAAATGAACCAAAGACATTGGCCGTTGTTGTAGAGCTGTTGGCTGAGGCAGCGTTGCCGCTGCCAAAAGAACCAAATGTTGGTGTATTGGTATTTGTGGTGCTGCTGGCGGAGGAACTAACCGTTGTTGAGTTGTTGTTGGCAGGATTCGCTGTTACTGGCAAGGAACCAAATGTTGGTGTCGTGCTAGCAGTGGAACCTCCCAAATTTGCACCACTGCCTCCAAATGAACCAAACACATTCGTGGTGGGGTTGGTGGTGGCAACAGCAGGTTTTGTACTTGAATTTAGGGATGTCAACGAGGACGACGACGATGATGCTGCGGCTGGAGCCGATGTTCCCCCTGTGGCTGAACCAAAAAGTGTTTTCCCACCCAGAGCAGGTGTGGTGGCATTTGTATTGTTACTGCCGAAACTGAAACCTCCAAAGCCACTGGTTGCAGTCGTTGGTTTTTGTGTGGCACTTGTATCTCCAGCCGCAGGTGTTGAGCCAAAACTAAACATTGGTTTTACGGGCGCCGCAGCTGATGCCGCTGTTGCTGTTGATGATGTAGATGTTAGAATAGATGTCGTTGCAGGTGGTTTAGCTGATGTCGCTGAGCCAAATACAAAACCAGTTGTTGGTGTGGTTGTAGTGGAGGATACAGCCGATGTTGCCGGGGCTTTAAAGGCAAATCCCTCGGAGACTTTACTTTCCTTTCCATCACCTGCCGCCGCTTTCTTAGTTAAACTTCCAAAACTAAAGCCTTGGGTGGTAGATGAAGCGGCGGACGAAGAGCCAAAGCTAAATGTGGGCGTTGGCCCTGCTGCACCAGTTGCAGTTGTGGACGTTAATGACGACGAGGAGGATGTTGGTAAGGTGGTGCTGGTGGCGGCGCTTGAAGTTGCAACTGCGGGTTGCAAATTAAATTTGACACTTGGTGAATTCACTGCAGGGGTAGCTGTGTTTGTTGTAGTAGAACTTGTTGTAGTGGTTGTTGTTGCATTATGGGTAGGCTTGAGGCCAAACGAAAAACCGGATGTGGCAAATGTGGTACTCGTTGAGGTTGATACTTCTGACTTTTTAGCAGCATCGCTGGGTGTGGTGGTACTGGGAGCTGCTCCGAATTTAAAGCCGGCCACCGCCGTTACATTGGAACTTGAAGACACTGAAGTCTGAGTGGATGAGGTCTTTGCCAAATCCACTTCATCCTTTTTACTTGCTTGGCCACCAAAACCAATGGGGGTGATGGAGGTGGTGGTCGGTTTAATTCCAAATTGAAAACCACTTGGAGTTGGCGTGTTTGTTTTACTTGCTGTTGTTGTACCAGTCGTTTTCTCATCCGTTTTCGAGGTATCCTTTCGTAACTCCTCCTCCTTGGGGGCATTTGCATTTGGTCCAAAACCAAAGCTGAATTTGGCCGCTGCTGTAGCGCCAAATGTAAATTTGTTTGTTGACGAGGATGTTGACGACGAAGTGGACGTGGAACTTTCGTTATCTGTCGTACCTGGCTTAGGTTGATCACAGCAAGCACACTTGGTACGCTCTGCATCGTTGCGTGTCATGCAGGCATCACATTCCCATTTCGAGGCCTTTTGTTGGGCTGCAAGGCTTTTGAAACCAGCATCTGCCGAGGCCAAGGGTGCGGCCAGTGTGGTGTTGGTTTGGGCCGTTGAAAAGCCAAATTTAAATGAAGTATTTGTGGCTGACAGGCTAGTACTGCTGCTGCTGCTACTGCTGGAGCTGCCAGGTTTCTTGGTTTGACAGGCCACACACTCATTCGCCTCACTTTTATTGCTAATCATGCAGGTGGAACATTCCCAGTTGCCAGATTTGGGTTTGAAAGCATCACCAAATGTATTCTTTATTGAGGGTGGAGGTGGTGGCATGGCGGTCGAGGTTCCACCTTTTCGTGGCGTTTCACATGCCACACATTTACTGTTAGTGTCCTTGTTGCGTATCATACACATATCGCATTCCCATTCACTGGAGGATTTTTTAAACTGTTGGCCAAAGGAGTTGGCTGATGATGCTGCAGCATTTGAACCAAAACTAAATGTGGAAGTGGTACTAGCGGTGCTCGTTGAGCTTCCTTTTCGGGGCGTCTCACACGCCACACATTTCGTGGACGATGCCTTGTTGCGGATCATGCACGTATCGCATTCCCATTCATTTGAAGATTTCTTAAATTGACTGCCAAATGAACTGCTAACCTCCGTTGGTTTCGATTCGGAACCCGAGCTGCTCGCTGGCACTGTAAATGGTTTACTTAAGACATCTAAACAGGATCCACTTTTAAGTTGAGGTTGTTGTGGTTTTATTGGCTGCTGTTGCACTGTATTTATTGTTGGGGTTGTTGTAGATCTAGGTGTCATCGACATGGTGACATCTAGGGGAGGACTGAATTTGTAGCTGTTAAGATTTGTTGGAGTTATATTATGGGTTGGTGTATTCACATCCTTGACAACAAGGGGTTCAGAAAATTTGAAATTTGTTTTTGCTGTGGAACTTAGACCAGAACTACTGCTGGCAAAGATATTGGGTTTGATGTTCTCCTTCTTGGCAGCAGCTCCGGAGTCCAAGGGACCCGATGTGCTGGCCAGAGCGATAGAATTTGATTGTGTTTTGTTTTGTGTAATAAATGCATTTTGATTTGATGTTTGTTTTTCCTTTCCACTGCTGCTGCTGGCCAACGAAGTTGCTGTGGTGGCTGGTGTTGTTGTTGTTGTCGTGGCCTTTGAAAATGTTATATCGAATTTGGGCACAGACTGCATAAGTGGAAACGCAATGTTGGGCAAATTGACTGAGGGTGGTGGTGCCTCGTCTAGTAAATCCTTTGAGGCAGCTGTGGTCCGGACCGTTGCTGTTACCTTGTTTTTCATTTTGTTTGTGTGTTTTTGTTGCTGCTGTTGTTGCTGCTGAGGCGGAGGCTGTTCACCTTCACCCGCTGCCGAGGCCTTGGCAAAACCATCGCCAATCGTGGTCGCCACGGGTAGCGTATATTCCGTGTTATCCACATTATTTGATGCTTGAGAATTTCTGGCAATATTACGGGCCCGTTCGGTTGTATTCTGCAACTTTTTCATTTGTAGCAGCTGGGACATTGTTGGCACCTGTAACTCCTTGACCGGAGGCAATGGACCCGCCGCCTTTAAACTATTTGCATTACCCGAAGGTTGCAAAATAACTGCCGGCCTTGAATAGGGTGTTTTCACTTGGGATAAACGCATTGCCCTCGAAAGATTTAAATCGCTTTCGTTTAAACGTCCCTTGGCCTGGGGTGGCAATTGACTGCCACTAGCATTCGCCTTCATATTGCCAGCCATTTTCTTAGCCTCACTTAGGGGCGTGGCAAAATCACTAATCAAATCCAATATCCTTTTGGCTGTGCTAGACATTTCACCCATTTGCAGAGAATTGGTATTTGTGGCCAGTGAAGTGCTCGACGAGGACAGCGTCGATGACAGGCTCGATGTGGGCCTAATCAGTGTGGGTGTTATACGTACAGCACTGGCGCCTGCACCGGCCGTATATTTGTTATATGCTGCTGCTCCACCATATGTGGTCTTGCCCTTGTAGAACGGCGAAAAGGTGTTGAGCAAACGACTGTCACTCAGCGCTGAGGTACTGCCATAAATGGAGGCATTAAATTGTCTACGATTCAGTGAGGTTAGAGACAATGTCGAGGTATTTAATTGATTTGAAATGCTGCTAGTATGACCGCCACCTTGACTGCCACCAGCTGCATTGAATAGGGATTTTCTACCCTCCAAGTGGGAATAGAAATTCAAACCATTGCCAAACGATGAGGTGCGGCTGCTGTTGCGTGTTGTACCACCACCACCACCAGATCCCAACATATTAAAGAGACCCGTGGTATTGCTGCGTTCCTTTGTTTTCATTTTAGACATTTCACCCACACCACTTTCACCGCTTTCCGAGGCGGTGTCCAAGAGAATGGCTTCACTTTCTTCGGGTATTTCAGCTGGACCCGAAGAGCCGCCATTGATGTGACGTCGTTGCATTCTCAATTTTTTGTGTGGCAATTCACTGCATTGATCCTCATTGAATTGGCCATTATGTTTGAGTAAATTATTTTCGCATACATCATTGTCTTCATCTTCTTCATCATTTCGCTGCTTGCTATGCTGTTCTTCGGAATCTCTGACTTCGTGTATGGTTGTTGATGTACGCCTTGGAGGAACACTCATGGATGTTTGAATATCGCCAGTTTTCTCAATGGCCAGGGATTTTCGTTGTAAATGACCTACGGTGGCCATAATACGTTCCGCGCCCATTCGTGATGAAGATGATGAGCCTACTGCCGATGAGGGTATATTTAAACTCCTGCGTGAGCTGAAAGAAAGATAAAATAAGTTAGATATTATAAGAATCCATAACTATAATTTCGAAGTTAGAATGTTTTTAGGTTGGATGGGCTATTAAAAACCTGAAAAATCTATAGGGTGGACTTAATAGTCAAAAAATTAGTCTTAAAATTTTACGTTTATGGGCCTGAAACCTGTGGATTTTTAAGACTTAATCTGTGTTGACTATGAAATCCACATTCGAGGGCTTTTTCTACTATTTTTTTTTTTTTGCCAATCAGGGCCAAAGTTATGAATTTTTCCCTGGCAATAAACGACGTAATTATGGATTTTCTCAGATCAATTTTTCATTGTAAACTTTTTTCATCAGAGACGCAGCAGAGGAATCTTTAGGACAATTTTTTTCCTTGGTTATCAGGGCCCTGATCGTGAGTTTTTTCAGACAAATTTCTTTGGTTTTCATGGCAATAAAGGAAGATTTTTAAAACCAATCTTCCTTGGCTATCAGGGCCACAATCGTGGATTTTTTTGATTAGTTTTTAATTGTCGACCTGATAGAAATTTGTGGATTTTTAAGACTGCTTTTTCTCTGGCTATAAGGCCATAATCATGGATTTTCTCAGACTAATTTTCCCTTGGCATTCAGGGACACATTCGTGGATTTTTAGGACTTGTTTTTACTGACTTCCAGGTCCGCATTCGTTGATTTTTTAAAAAGTTTTTTCATTTGTTTCCCAGAGCCACAATTGTGGATTACTTAAGACAAATTTTCTTTGACTCTCAGGGTCACAATCAGGAATATTTTCATACTCATTTTCCACAAGCTTTCAGGGCCATAGCCGTAGTTTTGGATTAAATTAAATTTCTTTGGCTTTCAGTACCACCAAAGTGGATTTTAAATAATCATTTCTTGTTGGCTATCAGGGATACATTCATGGATTTTTGAGAATATTATTTTATTAGTCACCAGGGCCACAATTGTGGATTTTAAAGACCAATTTGTCTTTGGCATGGATTTTTCCGGCTTATTTTTCATTGGCTTTCAGGGACACAGCCGTGGATTTTAAAGACTAATTTTTATTGACTATAGGATCCAAATTAAGGGGCTTTAAGAATATTTTTCGAGGGCTACAGAAAACTTTAAAACTTAAATCACTATTTCTTTCAGCGAATATCAAAACCATAATTGTTTTTAAGAATATTTAAGGATTTGTCCGGTTTCTTACAGCTGTCCTTCCAGTCTTTTCAAAATAAAAATTAAATGTCCTCGCCTGCTTACCTTATGCCAGAACGACCATAAACATTCGATTGGCTAATGATTTTATCATCAGCTTCATTGGGTGGATTAGATACCAAATCAATAATGTCGGTACTAATTTTTGGCGTTGCACTATCTCTCTGCTGCTGCTGCTGTCCAAAATCATAGGCTGGCTCTTTTTTACTTTGATTCCCATATAAATTCAAGTGTGTGAAACGTTGATAGGATGAACGTGATACTTGGCTACCAACAGTTGCACCACCACTGCCAGCAATTGAATTGCGGGAATATGAGCCGCTTGTAACGGCAGGCGTTGATGATATCAGTGGCCTTCGTGGGGCAATTAATGGACTATCACGTACCTTAAAGGAAAAAAAAAAACGAATATTTTTTATTTCTAGATCTATTGAAAATATGTCTAAAACTTACATCCACATTGAGGCGGCTTCTTTTGGCCGGTGGTTGTCGCCCATGGAGATTAGCATGTGTGGATTTAGGTGCTGCTGCTGCTCCTCCTCCTCTCCTTGCGTAGTCTTCTTCACTATTTTGACTTTCGTCGTCATCATCCTCCTCACCTTCTCCATCATCGTCGTCAGCTTCTGAATGTTCCTCTTCTTCTTCCTCTTGTTCAAACTCATCATCATCATCAAATTCAAAACGTCGCCTTCTTCTGGCCTTTGCGCCTGTGGAGGATGATATACTGCCATTTAGTTCATCATTTCGCCCTTTGGTTGAAGGTGAAAACCATTTTGATAGACGATTTGGCAATATGCTCGAGACTCGAGATTTTACTTTGCCGATTATGGACTAAAGAAGGAAAAAAAGAAAAGAAAATAAGGATTATTAAAAAGAACTTCTTCATTTTCTTTCTTTTTTCGGTGGAAACTATATAAATGTTTAGAAGTTCTGGGTTTTCCTCAAGTCTTTTGATAACAAAAAGAAGGCTGATTTGTTTGGGGAAGAACGAATCATAGGCCCAAGTCTCCAATTTTTCAAAATAACTTATTATCTGGTAATCAAATTAATTAACGGAGCATAAAGCAACATCAACATCAAAAGCATTTTGGAGAGAATTTTCGAGAAAAAGCTTATTCGTGATGGAATTCAAGCGTGATAGTGTGATTTCTTTATATTTAGCTGGAAAACCACAAGTGGCCATAGTTAGAGCACCCCAACATTTAAATGTGAATAAATCTTTTGTGTCTCTAACCATCGCTCGTAGCAATCCAATATCGCAATATTCCATTCGGCAAATATTGAAAAATGAGCTCGGGGTAAAGCCATTGAAATTCTAAAAATTGCAAGAACTTACACCGCAACAGAAAGAAAATAGACTCAAAAGAGCTACAGAGTTGCTTCGCTTGGCCGAAAGTGGTGAACTGCCGAATTTGATTTTCTCCGATGAGAAAACATTCGTTGTCCAGCAGTTCGTAAACAAACAAAATGATCCTGTTTACTTGCCAAAGAGGTCAGCTGAAAATGTGCATAATCGGTTGGCCACCAGAACTCAAGCGCCGGTCATGGTGATGGTGAGGGCCGCCTAACAGCTAATGGTCGACCGTGGCATCAGAATAAATGCCGAATATTATCGCGAAAATATTCTGGAGGTCGTATTAAAGCCTTGGGAACGCAAACATTTTGGCCGCAGACCTTGGACATTCCAACAGGACTAAGCACCATCGCACTCAGCATGCGCCACTCAAAAATGGTTACCAAATGAGGTTCTCTCGCTTCATTTCCAGCGCACAATGGCCATCAAAATCTCCGGATACCGATCCGTTGGCTATTGTGTTTGGAGTATTTTGGAAAATACCAAAGTTTCGATCACCTCAAGCAAGCGCTACGCCGGGAATGCGCACATTTGGGCAGCGTGTGACGGTTTCATTGGCCGTTTGAAGGCCATAATTGGTGTCAATGGTGACAAATTCGAACAAATCTAAACTTATTCTAAAATGTGATGATATTTCCGACATTTTTTGCTTTTATTCATCAAATTAAAAAAAATAAAAACTATGGCATTTGACTTTGTTGCAGTTTTTTTTTATCTCACCCTGTGAATACAATGTGGCGCAAAAGTAATCATCCTATCATAAAATACTATAAATTTTACGAGTGGCCTCTGATTTCTTTATTACAGCCAAGAAACATCGGAATATCTACCAAGTACATATGCATGTACAAGGTGGCGTAAAAGTAAACTTCCGATGTTTTTGGCTATAATTAAATCATTAGAGGTGAATCGTAAAGTATTGCATCTTCTGAAAAGAGGATTACCTTTGTGCCACTTTGTGTATAACTTCATCAAAAACGTCGATTGAGAAAGATCTCAGACACCCAAAACTTGATCGCTGGATTTGGCCACTATGTTTTCAAAGTAATTTGTTCGGTAAACCTTATCGATCCATGAAACCTATATCTGATCTAAATCTGCAGCATTAGAATAAAGACCAAATATGAAAATACAATGACTCTCTACCCAATGTTCGAAAAGTGGGTTGGTAATACATTCTATGGACATAAAATACCCTTCTTAACTTTATCTTTAGCAGAGATCCGTTTGAAAAGCATTTGTGACAATTTTCGACAGAACTTCCCAACATTAGCAGTTCAATATCATTACGAATTCTGGGAATAGTATTAATAATACTACTGTGCTCATTCCGATTATTGGCTCTGCTTCAAATTCAAAATGTAAGCAAACTGTATAGTTTTGGTCATATCGATACAGGAGTTAGGTGTGTAGATCTGGCTGGGCAACTAAACAGGTGCAGCTAGTCCGGTGGGCCTGTACAACATGCTGGGCATGCGATCTGCGCATCCGAATCTCAATTATTCTAAAACTACTCAGTTTTGTCGAGCCAATTCTCGACGACTTCCGTGACCACTTGAAAGTGAATACCGCCCAGTCCTGCTAGATGGGCCTGTTGATCTAGAAGCTTTCTCTCATATACCTCTTTACCTCTCTATATAGACCTTGAAAGTCTATCCTTACATTCCTGGACGAAGGTTATCTATCAACCCGATCGTGTTTGGAATTGCCCTGTTCATAACACCCAGGCAAATATTGCATCGATAGCACATTATAATGCTATCGTGTCGGGGGAAAACCTTCGCTCCCTCATGTAGATGGTCGACAGGTGTCTTGAGTAGGCACCCTGTTGCGGTTCTAAACTCGGCGTCTTGGCAAAAGTTAATATTTTTCCATTATATACTACTTACGTCAAAAAGTATACCTCAAGCCGATTTAAACTCAACGCAGAGAAAAATGTTAGATTTGGAATCGAATATGTTGCGAATTCTCACTAGATGCCAGCGTACTCTTTTAATTTCCATGTTGATATCTCTAAATCTAAGGGAGTAACAGCTCATATATACTTCGATTTTGGCATTAAAAATACTTCAAAACAGTGTCTGGACAGTCATTTAGCACTGATGTATTGCAAAATGTTGTCCCTGTACTTGTTTTATTACTAAAACCATATAAGGAGTGGTTACCCGGAGACCGGTCCACTACCAAGGGTTTTATTTAAAAAAAAGAAAAGCGCATTTTTTATTAATTTGTTTTTGAAATTCATTTATGTGCACGTCCCCTCGTATCCCTGAAGATATATTCGTTATTATAATGCCAGCAGATTTGACAAGTATTTATAAAACTTGAATAGGTTAAATAACACCTGTTGGCTATCATCGAAATACTGGCGATTGCAGAACCGGCAACTATTGATGATTTCCAATGTAACGTCGTCTCAAAAATTACATTTATTCCGGAAAATGGATGGCAGTCGCCAGTTCTTGAGGCCACAATGCAATATCTGCTCAAGTGTCACAGGCATAGGCATCCAAAACATTATATTTGGGATAGATAGACTTCCTCCAAACAATATTAGAAAATAGCTTCTTGATCTATATGTCTCAAATTACCGAATAGATTCTCTAGAACAACAGGTCTATCAAACTTTTGGTCAAGACTCACAGACATAGACATCCAAAACATTATATTTTGGAAAGGTAACTTCACACCACACAACGACGTCGGAAAAGAGCTTCTTCATGCATGTGTCTTAAATTACCGAATTGATTCTTTAGGTCTATCAATCAGTTGGCCAACATAAAAACATAATTTGGCCAACATAAGGGGACGTCTAGGAACTTAGTAGAAAATTAGTAGTGAAACCGCCAATATTTGCATTCTGTTAAGATGCTCGAACAGCTAGCTAGCTTTTTACCGAATCGATCTTTTTGTGACATAAGCTTTTCGTCAACTATAAAATTTCAATGTTTCCCTCAAAGGTCCACATTTTGGGAGGTTTACGACTAAATAGCATTTCTTTGTAGATGTAAAAGGACGTACGTTTCGTTTCGAACCTAACTCACTACTACAGTGACACCAAACCCATGCAACTATGGTTCTGTTGTGTGCGCAAAAAACACAAAACCAAGCCATTAATTTTGCCAAAAGAAAGTTGGAGTCCCATCCTCCTCTGCAATCACATTCTCAAACTTCTTTTTCACAAGGTATTTAGTATTTACAAGCAATTTCACATAACATGAAATTTAAAAGATATAACAATTAAAAAAAAACATAATAAATTAAATTGATGTGTTGTACAGTACTCACATTATCGGCAGCATTTGTAGGATCATCCGTACTTAGGTTGTGTGTTGCTTCACCGCCAAACTGTTGTTGTTGTTGCTGTTGGGGTGGACTTTCATTGTCCAGGCCATATTCCGACATCTTGATGTGAAGCCCACTTGGCCGGTCAGTTGGGTCCGTCACCAACAACAAATAGTTGCTAATATTTTTTTTATTGCAAAATCCTCCTTCTCGTCTTGCTTGTGCTGATATTTAAACACAAGCAACTTTTTTCACAATTCCCATACACCGCAACGAGGTTACTGTTGACGCATGCATGCACACAACACAAAATACACCACGCACCCCCTAGAGCTTGGCGTCTTCAACAGCGCGAACGAACGAACCGATGTGCTGTGTGTGCAGCTATCGTATTTCACAGCAAAATTCAATACAAATCTAAATCTTGGTTTAATTCTGGGTTGTTGTCACTTTTAACGTTTGCTTTTTTATTTTCTAAAATTAGCAAGATTATTTCATAAAATTAACAAATCACCATTGAATAAAAAATGTATTATTCTATGCTTAAAATGGCAAGTATCAACTCGCTGGTTGTTGGTTGGTTGCTGTTCGAACACAACTTTTTTTGGATATTTTATTTCTTTCTTTGCTGCTACTTCTTTGTCGTTTGAACTCTTCTCATCACACACGCACGCACGCATATACAACACACAACCACATTTCATTTAGGGCCACATTTTTTTTTCTTCTCTCATCATTCACACCTTTTGCAATTTTTCGTCTTCTTCTTCGTTACTTCAATGCTGCTGCCTGCTTGATGTTCTATAACGTTGAAAAAATCGTATTTCCTTTTCCCCGCATTTGATTTACCGACACTGAGAACAATTGCAATTTCATGAATGTCATTGAATTTAGCGCGTTTTCATTACAAATTGATTTAATTTGACAATAGTAAAGTGTGAAAAATATGTCTTTTTTAACGACGAACGAAGTAACCGCGTGAAAATGACGAGACTTTCACGAAGAGACGACAAACAAGAAATAAAAAAATAATTCCTATTGCCATTCTTTTCTAAAGGCATATATGTTTTTCTCTTTCATTCGCACACATAAAAATAGGAAAGAGAAATGTCAAAATCCCATAGAGTGGCCATAGCAGGGCTGATGCGTTAGGTATTATTCCGGTGATGATTTAATAGTATGTTTACATAAACGCTTTTATTCTATTTTATTCCTAATAACGTATTTACACCAAATTGTGTAATTCATTTGCTGGAACTAAAACAAGTTACGTCATAGCGCATTTATACTATTGCTTACATTCAAAATCTCTACCGGGGTTAGCCGTGATCACGGCCATGAAGTCAGGCCTATTGCTAGGAACACAATTGGAGCGAACGACGAATTTCGCCCTACGCGGCGACAAAATGAGCCGCGAAAATTCGTCGTATGGAACACAATACCGACGAAATTATAAAGCAGCTGATGAAGTTGTTTACTTTTTGCTCATTTGTTGACTACAATGAAAATTATACAAGAACTCATAATTCTTTATAATTTCAGTTATGTCCATCTTTTCTATTATAAATTCACTGATATCCATCTTCACTCAGGCGCAAGTGCACAAATAAATAAACAAATTATTTATGTTTTTTTTTATACGAATAACAGATAGTAGAGTGACCATAACAAATTTTTAAGTAAAAAGTAACTTTATTTACTAAAACACATAAAATTCGTACATGTATGGCCACCTTGTACTGTTTTGTCGCCGTTCGCCGGCGTATGAAATAGAAATAAAGCTAATTGAGTTCGCGGCGACCGACGAAATTTTCGCCGGCGCCGTGATTGTGTGCACTTCCATATACACATATGGTTTTTATTTTTGACGACGAACATACGCCGCGAAAAAATTCGTCGTTCGCTCCAATTGTGTTCCTAGCATATAATGTAACTGTATTAATTAAAAAATATATGACTACCATGGTAGAAGAATACAGGTAGATGCATCAACGCTTGGGAACATTGATATGTCAAAATTTTAAAAATGTTTTATGAAAAATAAGTATATTTTTAAATGTTTTCTTATACCTGTATTCTTCTACCATGAAAGTAAGTATATTTACATATGTTTTTCTACACGACGCTGATCGCAGTTTGTTGTAATATTCATTTATTAACAATTTTTACAAATTTCAGATATTTTTCATTTAAAAATTTCGATTCCAAAATTGGTTTGACAGTTCATTGTCCCAGCAGCTGCGTCCTACCAGAAATATTCAATATTATACGCAACAAGTTTTTTCATTTATTTGATAATTTTTCTGTTGCGCGTAAAATGAATGATAAGCTACGATTTACTTTCAAAAATGTGATCCAAACTATTCAATCTTTATATTCCATACAAAAACTGGGTTATTTTGTTTTTATTTTTCCAACCAAATATAATACACAAAATTGACAGAAGTCGGGCACATAGAAATAAAATTTAATCAGCTGAAAGCTCTGCTTTACCTTTTTATTGTACCATGAACAATCCTTTTTAAAAAAAGCTATATAAATATATTGTCAAAAATTTTTCAATAAATGGGTAAGGTTAAAGTCATTATCAGACGGAATGGGTTTTACATATGTGTTGTCACTTTTATTTGTTTTCTTAAATCTAGAAACGAGAAGATAGTAAAAATACTGCTTTTGTTTTTTTTATTAATTTTGGTATTTAAATTAAATTAACACTTTTTAAATTAACACTTTTATTTCTTTCAATACATGGTCAATATACAATGATTATATTAGTATCGTTTGTTTATAATTATTCATTTTTCCATACAAAAACACCCACCTTTTCCCCCAAATCAAGCATTTTGTACGGTCATTCAAATGAATCAATACTCAAAAACTGTTGTAGTGTCTGAAATAGCGTTGTCAAAAAATCAAATATAGAAATTTTTTTCAATATTACATTTTTTATTTTCTAATAAGAAGACATCTTGTCAAACTGCAACGCTGTAAAATAAATGTTCGGTAATGTGTACTTCACTTATATTGCTGTCCTTTTTTCGTTGTGCTCCATTCGAAATGACTTTTACTCAACTAGCTCATTTTCTCATTACAGTGAATTGGTCAACTGCACATCTCATCAGCTGTTTTGTTTCTCCTATTGCTCGTGTTGTGTAATATTCATTGTGAGTAGAATTTATTTTATTTGCAATAAATTGAAGAATTTTGTGAACAATTAAACATGTTTCAGTGAATCACAATGTCTGCTCCAGCTGCTCGTCAATCTGTTGGGCTCATCAAAAAGGCGTGGAATGAAATACCCGATATTGTTGGTGGTTCGGTGTTAGCCATTATTGGTTTGGGTCTTGCTGGTATCGGCTTGGCGAACTACTATGGCCATGATGGCGATAACCGTAAATACAAATACGGCTATGTAATTATGCGTCCCGATGATCCCAGAGCTGCCAAAGTGCACAAGGATTAAAATAAAAACAAGAAATCATTGTTTCTCTGGAGAATTATTGTGATTTTTTATTCGAAAAAGTAAACACCACGAAATTAAATATAAATTAATTAAACATTACTTCTGCTTGTGATACAGTTTTAAGTGCAAGTGCAATGCTTTGCCTGTTAAGAATATCTTCTCACATCCCTTGCATTGAAAAGATTGTGGCGATTTCGGCTTTTTGTGATATAATTTTACATGGAGTTGGAGTGCCTTCTTGGTCAAAAATGTCTTGTTACATTCATCACACGGCAATGCTGGAGGTATTTCGGCATTTTTGAGGGCTATGTTACCAATGTAAAAGCGGTTTTCTTGTCCATAGGTTGTTGTTGGAGAAATGCTGGCATGAAGCATTTTTGATGGCCGAGAGACTGGCTTAGAAATTCTAGCATCGTGAGATTTTAATGTTTCACCGTCTGTGGTTGGTTGCTTTATTTCTTTGGTTTTACTCAAGTGAATATTATGTGCATTATCAAATTCTTTTTGGGATTCCTTATACCTTTTTAGAAATCGATAACAAATTGCTAATTCTTTAGTGCAGCCAAAGCAAATAAACGGTGAATACTTTGAATGATTTGATGGCGCCACACCAGTGCAATACTCCAACATCATGACTAAACTTGGAGTTGCATCTTTATTACCACCGCTAAAGATATTTATTACGTTTTCTTGTTCCGTTTTGCAAGATCTGCATAAATTATTAAAAATATCCATGTTAGTAGGCAGTCCTTGGTTTCCTTTTTAAAGTTGCTCCTTTATTGTTTTCTTAATGAGAGGTATTGTACATTTTTTACTACTCAGCAAGGGCTCTTTATTTATTTATTTATTTACAAAATATTTTATAAAGTAAATTTACAAAATATTGAAGGGAGGCGCCTGGTAACTAAGACCTTATGCGCTCGATATAGTATAATATGAATTTCTTATTGGGTATATTCTAGCTATATATACAAGTATGGATCTGAATTAGATATCACGAATATTATGAATATTTAGTGCCGAACGGATTCGGGGTAAAAACTGTTTAGTGGAACAATCGAGTATTTTTTCGATGCCTAAATTGATTGCAGAGTATTGACATTCTAATAGAATATGTTCAATTGTAAGAAGCTCGCCACAGAAAGAACACCGAGCTGGCATTGTATTATCAAAATAGTGACGAGTGTTAAATAAGCATTTACCAACCCTGAGTCGGGATAGGAAAATGCAATCGGATCTAGAAAAATCAGGATTGTAGCTAATTCTTGGAATTGTTGGACTAACTCGTCTTAGAAAAGTGGACGAAGATTGCCACATAATCAATTTATTAGCACGTTTTTTTGTTTTATAAAGATGCAGTAAGGTAAAATGAAAGCAGGGGATTTCTGCTATATGAGTCATAACCAGTGCTTCTTTTGCCATCTTATCAGCAAAATCATTTCCCTTAATACCTGAGTGTGATGGTATCCATAAAACAAAAATCTCACAGTGGTTTGGGATCTTCACCATATCAGTGTAAATTCCTCCTTTGTTTTTTTGAAGGGCCTTAGCGACACTCAAATTGTCGATACAAATTAACGTCTTTATGTATTGTTTGGCATGGGCTATGGCGGTTTTTACAGCACTGAGCTCCGCTGTGAATATACCTGTATTGCTAGGCAATCTTGTTTTGCAAATCGTAGAGAAACTGTTCGTGGCCAATTGCTTAATTACTGCGAATGACGTAGAAAACCCATTAAAGGAACCGTCTGTGTAAAGGATAATGTCCGGGCTTAAGGCAGCAATTTTTTCAAGCAAGAGTTCTTTATAGCACTCGTCATTGGTGTGTTCTTTTAAGTGTGAAGATAACGTAGTGTCGATCGAGACGAAATTACTGCTGTTTATAAGACTTGGGATAGGTTTGGAAGGCAGAGGTATTTCCAAGGTTGAAAAAAGAGTCAAGATTTGGACAATAGAGTTTAAACACGAAGTATTGTTAGCGTTAGCATATCTCCAAAATGTTTTATGGAGCCCATGTGCACGTATAGTAAGGGCTTTGCTGGCCAGGCTAATAGAGAACTGTTCCAAAATATGTTGAAAATCATTGTAATTTCCCTCTATGTAAAGTGCTTCTTGAGGTGTGGAACGAAGAAGCCCAGTGGCAGTTCTAAAACATTTGTTTATGGCAGCATTCAGTTTAGAAATATTTGCTTTGGATGTGAATCCATAAATTGTAATGCAATGGGCAATTACCCCGTACACCAAGGATTTACATATGTTAATTGCCGTGTCAATGTGAGGTCCTTTTGTTTTAGAGCAGATTAACCGAAGTAGGTTGTTAATCTTTCCCAGTTTGGCTTGTAACATTTTTGTATGGTCATTCCACAGTAAATTTCTGCTGAATGACAGTCCCAGAATTCTCATTCGTTGGTGAATATTGATAGTATTTTGATCGAGGCACATTGAATTAAATTGACATTTTCTCCTGCGACAAACGTGAAGAAGCTCTATTTTATTAGAAGGGATCACAGCTCCTACATCCCTAGCCCAACATTGTACTGAACTGTTAAAACTATTTAAATTTACTTCTACAGCTTGTGGAAAGCCTGATAAAATTGCAAATATGTTATCAGCGTATACTCCTACATAATCAATTCCTGATAAGTTTTTAAGAGTTCTGCATAAAGAATTTATGTATATATTATAAAGAATAACGGAGATAGGCGAACCCTGGGGTACACCGTTATCCAAAGGCAAAGAATTAGAAAAATAGCCATCGACTCTAACTTGCATTCGTCGAAATGATAAAAAGGATCGTATTAATGCAATGAATTGACTTTGTACTCCCCAACTATGGAGTTCAGTGAGTATACTGGTGTATACAACACGGTCAAATGCCTTTTCTAAATCCGCTGAGATAACCACACTGTGTTTTCTGCGGCTTATGTTATCACGTAATGTACACTCCAGATTGTGACACAGTGTATGTACACCGTGATGTGGAAGGAAGGCATGTTGTATTGTGGAGAAACGATGTTGGCTGTATTGTAGTAAACGTCTTGCCAAAAGTTTTTCAAGAATCTTTGAAAGTACTGGAAGTAAAGAGATGGGTCTATGGCCCTGCAAAGAGTTTGGATTTTTTCCTTGTTTAGGGATAGGGCAAAGAATTGCGATCTTCCAGTCATGTGGGAAGACGCCATCGTGTATTATCCTATAATATAACTTACATATCCGTTTCTTTATTATGTTTGGAGCATTCCGTATCATTGAATATGTTAGTTTATCCAAAGAAGGAGTTGAACCCTTCAGACTTTGGAGAACATCATTGAGTTCATGAAGCTCGACTTTTTCTGTAAGATTCATGTTGTTTGTGTTTAGAACATTGGGATTACTAAAAGAAAAAGAATGCTTTGACATGTAAATGGAAGGGTCAAAGGCTTCATCAGAGCTTATGGAGCTCCAAAAAGATGCGAACGCATTGGCAATATCTTTTGGGTTTGTGAGATTTTCATTATTAAAGTGAATGTTAGAAAATCTATCAAATTTTGGATTTCTTATGGTTTTTACTTTATTCCATAAACAACGAACATCCATATTTGGGTCAAGAGAGTTAAGAAATCTGTTCCATATCAATCTTTTGGCTTTCTTACATTCGCGTTTAATTAACGCACACATTCTTCTGTAATATAGACTATTTTCGGTATTCCTAACTCTTCTGAATATTCTCCATGCTCTTTGTCTAATGCGGATTAACCTTGACAATTCTTTATTGAACCATATAGGCCTTATATTATTTTTTGGTTGGTGAGTAATTGGAATCGATTCGTTGGCTGATTTTCTGAAAAGCCGTTTTATTTGTGATGCCTCTCTATTTATATTATCAGACTCGGTGAAAACAGAATTAAAATGTAATAATTTAGTTTGGAATAGCGGCCAGTTTGCCTTTTTATCCTTAAAACGGGGAATAAACTTTTTTGTAGGTACGGGAATGTTGTTGGTTATGAGGATGGGAAAATGATCTCCAACTTCCGGTAGGGCTAGTGTGTTCCAGGACAGTGTAGGGGCCAAGTCAGGGGTACACATTGTTACATCTATAGCTGTAAGGGTATTGCGAGTGCTTAAAAGAGTAGGAGAACCGTCGTTGAGGATGGCAAAACCATGAGTATCAGCAAACTCTTCCCATATGAGGCCTCCATTAGAGGATTCAGATGAGCCCCATAGGGTGTTCTGGGCATTCAAATCTCCCAGAAATAGGGTTTGACACATAGGTGGTATGTTAATAGAATTAACTATATCTGGCGTTATAGCTATGTCATATTCTTTATAGACATTTATTATGTGAAGAGGAGAACCATAGTCCAATGTTATTGACTGAAATAATAGATTTCCAGAGGAAATGCCGTCGTGCGTAACATTAATATTATTTTTAACAAAAATACATATTCCAGACTTGGAATAGTTATAGTTTTTGTTGTGATGATAAACTTTGTAACTTGGAAGAAATAATAAATGCATATTTTGTTCCGTGATGTGGGTCTCTTGTAAAACTATAATGCTTGGTTTGTGCAATGCAATAATTATTTCTAAAGCAAATTTATGGCAAATAAAACCTTGAATGTTCCATTGGAGAATTGTAATGTTCGAATTCAGATCCATAGAAAAATATAAAAAAGAAGAGAAAAAAAAGTAATAGTAATTAGATATGATAATAATAAGGTTTTGATAGAATTATAGTATTTCAGGAAACATTGAAACGTCGTCCATATCTACAATTTCAGGTCTCCTAGACGTAATCTTGGCTGGGTTACTTGATAAAGCTGCATTTGTTGAGAACTTTTCCGAATTTGATGAATTTTGATGATCGTTGTCTTTGATAGAGTTTAATTGTGTGTAAAGTTTGTTTAATAATGGTTCTTTTTCTGCATTTTCGTTTGTTGGTTTTTTATTTTCTTGGCTTGTGTTGTAAGAGTACAAAGAATTTGCGTTTGATGATTTAGTTTGTGTAGTTGGGGAAGATGTAATTGATTTGTTTGTTGAGTTAGGCGGTAACGACTTTTGGTTGGAAATTGTTTTTGAAGATGGTGGAACATTCGTATTATGATAAGTGTTATTTTCGGTATTTTTGTCGCCGCGTGTCACTTGAGAATAGAGCTGCTTTTGAACTGGGGGTTTAATTAGGTAGTTGTCCGGATCGCTTTTAAATATTTTCCACGCATCACGGTTCGTGCATCTTTGTTTAATTTTTATTTTGTTTACTGATTTGTGTGTCAGGAAGGAAGCACAATTTTTGTCGTTTGAAGAGTGTGTGTCAACATTGCAGTTTACACAGAATTTTCGGTTGCACGTGTTGTGTGGTGGTGGTAAAGCACATTCTTTGCACAATTCAACAGATCTGCAGTGGTTCTTTGTGTGACCTAGTTTCTGGCAGTTTTTACATTTCAGTGGGTTTGGTATGTAATCCCGGACAGGAACAGTGCTCCAACCAATGTCAATGCGACTCGGAGGGTGTATAAGATCAAAAGTGATCACAGCTCCTCCTGTTGCTACTAATTGGTTTCCATCCATTTTCATAAATTTTCGTACACCAATTACTTGGTATTCTGCCAAGTCTTTGAGTATCTCCTCTTCGGGTAAATGTTTGATTTTGTCGGAGAATATTATTCCTTGCGAGGAATTTAGTGAAGGATGTGGCACTATTTTGACTGGCACTATATCTATGTATTTGGCAGACAAAAATTTTCTGAATGCTTTGATATTATTCGCCTTTATCAGTAAGTCACCACTACGGAGTTCTGATATTTCTGAGTACTCACGACAGATGTTTTTAATACCTCGTCCGATTTGGAAAACATTGTAAGAGGCCAATGGTTTAGTTTCACTTGAGGAGTCTTTAGATGTAGCGGAGGCGATTAAAAATCTGGGGACTTCGTCATAATTAGGGGTTCGTGTTGGTAGAGGAAGAAAATCAGCAGCATCTAGCCGTGTTCTTTTGTGAGAGCGAGGAGACTTTTGTTTATCCCGGGTTGGGTCCAGAACAGCGTACCTGTTATAATTCGGGGGGTACACCCCATTCATTTTTGCTTGTTTTTAATCCGATCAATTAAATCAAACTTAAAAAGGAAGGAAAAAATATATTTGCAAAAAATGCCAACAAATTAAAGGAAAATGAAAAAACGTGCTTTCTAATTAAATCAGCTGATTCAGAACAACGGTGTTTGCTCATCGACTGTCAGATGAGAACTGAAGGGCTCTTTATGTAGCCAACCTTCACAGCGAAATGGTTCTTATATTTATTTATAATTTATATACTAATTCACCTTCTAAATTGTCTAGTCTACTATTAGGTTCTATTTGTGGTTTGGTCTGTCGAAATCACAACAAAACAAATTTTCCCCAGGTTTTTTTGCCATTGCACAAAATTGTTTACTTTTCTCTCTTGGGAGTAAACATATTGACAGTTCTGCAATTGCCCTACCAAAATTAAAAGCGCTCCAAACTACTAGATGTTATATATTTGCCAGCAACCAAAATATACGTATAAGTTTTTTTTTTTGGTTTTTTTTGGGTACTACTCAATGAAATTAAATATATTATATGAAAGATATCAACACAAGTAAATAGAATATGTTTTTGCTTCTCCCGCTCACTTACCCCAACATTTTTATCATGACATGCACTGTATCACCCTGTTTTGCTTGAAATGTGGCCGACTCGCGTGTTTGACATTTAAGCGGTGTATGGTGTTGTTGTGTTTTGTTGCTAGAAGCAGCACGACTTTTTTAATTTATTTTGGAAAAATATAAATATAGCAAATAATATACAACAGTAAAAGAATCCATTTTTTATTTAAATCAATACCATGGCTGAAACGGAACAACTTTCAAAGAAGTGAGTAAATAAACCCGAAAATCAAAAGAATGAAATAAATGCATGCAGCTGTTGATGTGTTGTCAAATTGTTCTACGGCAAAAAAATTGAGGTTATGATGACCACACGCAATTCTCTGACAGACATGGTTTAATTAGAGTTTTCCAAATAATTATTTCCAAAAAATACAAATAAAGTGAATAACACAATAGAGGCATCATGATTTCTTTGCTAAGAACAATTAGTAGATGTGAAATTCCTTCGCTAGTTCGAAGTGTGACAAACAGCAGTACTTTCTTATTCAATAGTACACCCGCTTTACATCAGCCCAGTAAAAGAACAAAACTGTATTTAAAAAATCAATTATTATTAGATAAATTTGTAATAATTCCATATTTTTTTTATTGCAGCGAACTTAAACGCCGCCTAAAGGCTGAGCAAAAAGCCAAAGAAAAGGCCGAGAAGGAAGCTGCCAAGGCAGCATCTGCCCCCGCTGCTGGCAGCGCTGAAGCCAAAAAGAAACCCGTTTCTGCACTTGATGAAGAAATTTCACCAAATGAATATTTTAAGTTACGTTCTGCTGCCGTTAGTGAGTTGAAAAAATCTCCCGAAACTCATCCCTATCCACACAAGTTCCATGTAAGCATTTCGCTGGAAAACTATATCAATAAATATGGGAATCTCAAGGAGGGGGAAATGTTGGAAAACGAACAACTAAGGTAAGTGTTTGCTAAATGATTCATCGGAATCTTTTAATAATGGATGTTATCATTTCAGCATTGCTGGTCGTGTTCATGCCATACGCGAATCTGGTGCAAAACTCATCTTTTACGATTTACGTGGTGAGGGTGTAAAACTACAGGTAATGGCCAATGCTAAATTGTACAAAGATGAACAATCCTTTGAAGTTGATACTGGCAAGATACGCCGTGGTGATATTATTGGTATTAATGGTTTCCCGGCCAAGACCAAAAAGGGAGAACTCTCAATTGTGCCCAAAGAGGTGGGTTATGGATGTTTCGTTTTTGATGGAAAAATTACTTAACATTCCAAATATATATTCTGTGTAGATAAAACTATTGTCTCCATGTTTGCACATGTTGCCACATTTACATTTTGGCCTGAAAGACAAGGAAACCCGTTATCGCCAAAGATATTTGGATTTGATTTTGAATAATCGAGTTCGTGATATTTTCCAAATTCGTGCCAAGGTGGGTGAAACTTTTTATAATACAACAAACAAGATTAGACGTTTTTATGTACTGCTTACAGATCATCTCCTTTGTCCGTCAATTCCTGGATCGCATGGGTTTCTTGGAAATTGAAACACCCATGATGAATATGATTGCTGGTGGCGCCACGGCGAAACCATTTATCACACATCACAACGATTTGAATATGGACTTGTATATGCGTATTGCCCCGGAATTGTATCATAAAATGCTTGTCGTTGGCGGTTTGGATCGTGTCTATGAAATCGGCCGTCAATTCCGTAATGAAGGCATCGATTTGACCCATAATCCCGAATTCACAACATGTGAATTCTATATGGCCTATGCGGATTATAATGATCTTATTGAAATTACCGAACAAATGATATCGGGTATGGTCAAGGCCATACATGGCACCTACAAGATCAAATACCATCCAGAGGGTCCGGATGGACCAGAAGAAGAAATTGATTTTACTCCACCATTCAGAAGGGTGAATATGATTAAAACCCTGGAGGAGAAATTAAATGTTAAATTCCCCTCGGCCACAACGCTAAATACCAAGGAGACCAATGACTTCCTCTCGGCCTTGTGTACCAAACACAATGTTGAATGTCCTGCGCCCAGGACCACAGCTCGCTTGTTGGACAAATTGGTGGGAGAATTCATTGAAGAGACCTGCATCAATCCCACATTTATTTGTGAACATCCACAAATTATGTCGCCATTGGCCAAGTATCATCGCAGTGAACCCGGTCTCACGGAACGCTTTGAATTGTTTGTCATGAAAAAGGAGGTCTGCAATGCCTATACCGAATTGAATGATCCCATGGTGCAGAGAGAACGTTTTGAACAACAGGCCAGCGATAAGGCAGCCGGTGATGATGAAGCCCAATTGATTGATGAGAACTTCTGTACGGCCCTGGAATATGGTCTGCCACCAACTGGTGGTTGGGGTCTGGGTATTGATCGGTTAACAATGTTCCTTACAGATTCCAATAATATTAAGGTAATATCGAAAATGTTTATTTTTTGTTTAAAATGCATTCAAACCTTTTGTTTTTAGGAGGTCCTATTGTTCCCTGCCATGAAACCAGATGATCCCAATCGTGCCCATCCAGCTGAACTTAATAGTGCACCAGAAGAAGCAGAAAAGAAATGAACTAAATGCGGGTCCTAATGATATTTACATTAAGGAAAACTTAAATATTTATACAGTTAAATAGTGTTTTTTTCTTTGTGTGTTCCCCACCCCATTTTCCAGCTTAATTTATTTTCCGTCGTTTAGACTTTCATCTTTTATGCGTAGAAAGTTTAGTTGTGAATCGATTCTGCATTTTTTTGTAATAAATATAACATACAATTCCAATAAGCAAATTGGAATAACCAGGAATTGTAGCATTTTTGATTTATATTGGATTTGTTATGGCAAAATTTTTCAATTCGATTTTATTTGCCCACCTTAAAACAAAAACGTCTAATTTCTGGGAAAACATCTAATGCGTTTTATTTTAAAAATTTCAATATTTCTTAAGCTTAAACTTTATATTCCTAAATAGTGGGAAATTCTTGATGTTTGCAATGGGAAAAGAGAAACAAAAAAAAAAAAACTTTGAAAATATCTATTTTTTTTTGATCTATCGAAATGAAGAAGAAAAAAATTTAAAACAAAAATTATCCAAAAAATGTCTAACAACTCCTGCCTTGTGAGGGGAAATATTCTTAAAAACAACATGCTTTAAATGGTCTACAGGGTAAAAGGTATATCCTTAAATTCCGGATCATTGGCTGGCTTAACATATACTTCACCATATTTTGCCATATATTTCTTAATGAACTCGCGTGATTTATTTTTAACAGATTCCGTGACGACCAGGGTTTGACCCACCGACTCACAATATTTCAATTCTTTGATCATCACAAAATGGGTTAGCTGGAAAGCAGAAAGAAGAAAGATTTATATGATCATTTAATATTTCTTGCAGCGATATTTTATGTTGAAGCGATATATTACCTTGCGTGCTAAATGATTAAAATCTTCATTGGAGGTTATACGGCCCACAGTGCAATTATCCCGACGATATGGTTTTAGATGATGCACAATAATGCCAGCAATTTCACAGCGAAACTTTTCCTTATTTCGGCGATATTTAGCATCTTGTTCCTTGGGTTTTCTAAAGGAGGTGGGTGGGAAAGAAAAATAAATGTTAAAATAGGTTGGCCAAATAATTGCCTGTTTTGAAAGAGACGGAAAAACAAACTGAGAAATAAATTAACACGAACCTTTAGGAAAATTTAATTCCTAGGGGAGAGAATGATGACGCATACGACAAAATTTCACCAGAAAAGATAATTTAAATCCCGGCAATAGCTTTTACTTCTGTGTGACCTATTGTAATTCAAATATGGCTTGGGAGTTTTTGTAGAGATTAGAGCAAGACTTAGTAAATCACATAATTTCAAAGCGGGGACATCGATCTTGATCAGATAGAGACTACTTGTTGAAAGACAGGGATGAGAAGTTGAAATTTTTAGAGGTCAATATTTACAGGAGAATACCTCTGGTAATAGAATTTCTTCTTTTAACCATATGATACCTGAAAAAGTTATTCTTCTTGTCCAAGATCTGAAGAAAGTATTAAATACATAAAATATCTGTTAAATGGTTTTTAGTTAAAGAGGACCTGTAGAAAGTCCTCCAAACATTTTGAAGGTTTAGATAAGGTATTGGAAATAATTGAATAAGTTTCCATTCCTGTGCTGTCTGTAAGCCTTAGTACAATCTAACGCATTTTTATACCCTACACCACATAGTGGTAAGGGTATTATGTCTTTGTGCATTTGTTTGCAACAGGGCGAAGGAAGCGAGATAGACCCATAGTTACTTCTGAGGATATTCATAAAATCACTTTCTGAGTCGATTTATGCATATCAGTCCGTACGACCATGTATTTTTGCGAACATAATGCAGGTCGCATTTGTTATCCGATTTAGATGAAATTTGTTTGGCCCAAGTGTGAACCTTATTGAAATGGTGATTATTGTGCACCAAATGGCCAATATAAGTCCTAATGACCTGAATTTTGGTACATCGAATTTGGAGAAAATCGATTCAGATATAGCTATAGCTCCCATATATATGCTTCATCCGATTTGGGGTTTTAAGTCCCTCACATGTGTAACATGCATTCGACAACAATGATATTTGGTACCAGATATATTATAGAGCTCGGAAATACCTCTGCTAAATTTTATCGAGAACGACTAAGATTTGGATATAGCTCCCATATATATCCTTAATTCGATTTCAGGTTTATTGTGCAAATAATGGCCACCAGAACTCAAGCGTCGGCCGTGGTGATGGTAAGGTCCGCCATAACAGCCGATGGCCGCTCTCGGCTCGTATTAATCGATAGCCTTTGTTATGGTTTTCACACATTTCCTAATAGTAAACTTACCTTTTATCTTTCTTTTCCATTTTACGTTTTTTGTACTCCTGTCGATCGGCAAGGGCTGCTGCCGCCGCCACTGAACTCGAACTACTACTCCATTGGTCGTTAAAATCACGATGCGATGGCAGGGGTCGTTTCAATTGGCGTTTCGTTGTCAAGGCATCCAGTTCATCGACAATTTTATCACCCTCAACGATTTTGTCGATGAGAGGGCTATTAATTTCCGATTTGAGGTCATCATCCTCATCCGATGAGAGTAGATAATCTTGAATGGGTATAACACCGCTATCTTCTTCGTTTTCACTTTTGACTGACGATGACGACGCCGATGCCAAACCACCTTCTGATGCCAAACTACCCAGCGTGCACATATTCAGCGATGATTGCCGCAAAGCTTCGGCTCGTTTTCGACGAATTTCTTCTTTACGTTTTCGTATTTTTTCCTTGTTTTCCTTATACTTACGAACTTCCAGCTGATTGTAGATGCGATCCTCTTCCCGGCGTGGCTGCAAAAAATAAATAAAATAAAGGAAATATTCTCTTCTTTCTTGCCATGTTGGGATGGATATCTTACACTTATCGATCTCTCGTCGACCAAACGTTGATAACGCTTCTGCCGCCTTAGCTCCACCTTACGATCTATATAGGCCTTCAGCTGCTCCGAAGTCATGCCAATTAGTATTTCATCATCATCATCGGTACTGTCGTTGGCCGTCGTCGATGATAGCTCATTACCCGAGTCATTGTCATCGGCATGCCTTTGCGAGTGCTGTAATTGAGCCGGACTGGGAGGCTCCCATTGCGGTATACGATATTGTACATGATAATAGTAGATTTGACCCAATGGTGTTATGGCATATTTCCATTCCGGCGGCAAAGTGCTGCACACCCCCGGCAATTGATAATCTTCGGGATTGGTTGATTTGGGTTTCAGTGGAACTTGGACATGGGCATAACTTGGCGGGGTATTAATGGGTTTACGTTCGACAGAAAACCATTGCCCTGTTGCTGGGTTTACACAGAACGGCACCTCTTGGGGTCGGGTTTTTTTCGGATCCAATCCAAAGAAACGACACTTGGTTTCGAATTCTCTTCGCTCCTCGGCCATGCGTTTTTCCGCCTCATCCCGGGCCACTTTGGCGGCAAACATTTCTCGACGTTGGGTTTTTGAAAGATTTTTGGTGTTGGCATTCTCGCCGCCAAGAATGTTGGAAGGTCGTGAGGCATTATTACCTCCTCCTCCTCCATTGTTTTGCTGTTGCTGTTGTTGCTGCATGGATTTCACGTTGTGTGGCCTTCCAAAGCGTGAAGCTGTGGCAAAACGTCGACCGAACCGATCATTACGATACTGGTCGCTTTCATGATCATTGCGATTCTGGCCCTCGGTTTCGGCATACTGGCGATCTGCTTCCCTTTCGTGTTCCTTCATTTGTTCGATTCGCTCCTTCTTGGGTATACGGAATATTTCCGGCAGACTTTCCCACGAACTCAACAGCTTTTGTGCCAGTTTTTGCAAATCATCGGAGTCAGCCGCCTCAGTGTTGCTTTGGGCTTGAGTGTTGGTGCCATCTTGGGAATTGCTGCCCTGGGAGTCGTCATTGGGCGACAGATTGCTATTGGGGCCACACCAATTCCTTACCCCCTGCATGACTTTGCTGTCGGTTAGCACAGTCTTATTGGCAATTGGGAGAAGTTCCAAGGTTTGCAATAAGGCCAAACGGATTTGCATATTTCCCGCATCCTCGCTCATCCAGCCATGCAGTAAACGCAACCCGTGATAGTCCAGGAATAATCTGCGACAGGGCAATTCTCCTTTCCTCAGGATGTCCAAAAGATGTAGCCGGGTTTGCACCAGTTTAGCCCTGACCATGAGACGCGACAAACGCAATGTGTCCGCCTGCGTTTTGAGGCCACAACGACTTAGGAATTGTACCTCATCCTCAATGTCTGGATCTTCCAGAGATCGTTGTTTGTTAGGCTTTTCCAGAGTGGCAGACGAGGAGTCCTTGGTTCTCTTTTTCCTTCTCTGCAACTTCTGTTCTCTTTTGTTTTGTTTATTTTTGGCCGCCACCTTTTCAGCCATTTTGGAGAGTAGCTTTTTAAATTTACTCTTTGAGTCTTCTTCCTCGCCAGATGACTTAGGGGGTGTAGCGCCTTGTTCCTTGCTGTCCTTGGTCACCTGTGAAGAGAGGTGTTTTTGATGTGCCGCCTTTCCATCCAGCGTTATGGGGGCCAATTCCAACTCTGATTGGGCTGCAGCCATTTCCAGTTTCTTTTGTACCTCCTCGGGATTGAAGACCTCACTCGCGTCACTATCCTCTTCATCGTCTTCCAAGAGATTGCGGGCACGCTCCTCTTCATCCTCCTCTTCCTCGTCACTCTCATCTTCATCCTCTTCCTCGTCATCGATTTGCTCACCCTCATCGGAATTTGGTTCTTGGCCAATCCAACCGCGACAATTGGCCGATTCGCAATAACAACGTTGAGCTTCCCGGCCATAACGTTGATACTGATAATCAAAGGTTATCTCCTCGCCGGGCATAATGGATTTGCGACTGAAAAAGCCAATTCTCAGCTCACCATTTACCGTCCACTTTTGGGTCTCGGCATTGGGATCACAGGAGTGATTGATGAAACGTGATATGTTGCCCTTGATGGTGGCATCAATGATGGCATCGCTGCGCAAAGCCATGAAGTAGTAGTGGCGATTCTTTTCCTGGGAATATAAAATGCGACGTCTTTCAAATTCCTCCGTGTCAATGACTTCACCCACATATTCCATTATAAATTCGCCCGGCAGGATTTCAATGTCCGCCATAATGCCAAAGCCCTTCTTTTCCGTACGAAATACCCGACAGGGAGAGCAAAGGTATTTCTGGAAACGTTTATTGGTACAACGATCCTTGACATTGCACTCATTGCCGCACTCAATCATGAGCAAACGATTCAGACAATCCTCGCCACAGGCCAACTCTCCCCTCTCCTCTTCCTCGGGGGTGAGGAAGCAGTCGCAAATCATCTTTCTCGCCTCGCGACTTATTACCCTTTCACATTTGTATTCGTTTTCCTTGATGACCTGGAAATTGCTCAGCCTCTCTTCCATTTCTTTCAGGAATTTGGCATTCTTGGCCTCGACTTCAGCCAAATCCAGCAAATGATCATCCAGGGTATAGTGGCTCTTGGTCTCCACATCATCCTTAATGGAGAAACGTTCTTTGTCGCGCACCAAGCCACGTCCCACCAGGGCTTTGGTTGTTTTGGTCAGCTTCAGGCGATGTGATCTTCTGACGCCACCACCCGAGGAATTTTGATCATCTTCCATGGCACTGGTCGACACCATGAGGCTGGTTTCAGGACTCTTATTTGATGGCGGAGGTGTTACACAGGGTGTAGCCAAGGGTGTATCGGCCGGGGTTTCAAAAGTATTGAACGTTATGGGACTTTCCGGTTTTTTCTCGTTTTCTACTTCTTTTTCTATGACTTTTTCAATTTTTTCCTCATCTGCTTTGGATTTCGATGGTGTCACAATAACATTATCCACACTGTCCTCATCCAGTTTGTAACCCTTCTTCAACAAATTCACACCATCTTCAATGAATTTTTCAATATCTTTCAACGGATCGGGCGGATCATCGTCGGTTTCCGTTACAGCTGGATTAACGGTAATGTTTGTGTTTTCATTTTGATTTGGTTTGGCCAAAGCAAAACCAAATGTGGGAGAGGCCGATGGTGTTAGGGTCTCAACAACAGCTGCAGTCTCTGTGAGAGGTTTATCATTCAGTGCGGCCTCAAAAGCTTCTTTCAATTTCTTTTGCCTTTTCTTTTTCGCCATTTTTTCATCAATTGGTGTTGATGTCTCCGCTTCCTCCTCCTCCTCCCCCACCACCTTGTTCTCACAATCATCGTTTGCATTTCTTTTATCATCAGCTTCCGTATCATTATCTTTCTCTTTCATTGCCATGGAATCAGTTGGTTTTTTCGGTGTTTCCTGTTGCTTTTCATTGGCCGATTTTGATCTTCTACCCCTTTTTGGGGTATTGGTGGTGTTCGGCTTTGCCTCATCACTGTTGGCAGTGGACAATACCTCGGTATTATCAATATTTTTATTTTTTCTACCATTCGATTTCTTATTTTGTTTGCCACCTGGAGATTGTTTATGGCTTGACTGGCTTGGGATCTCCTCATTCTCTGGTGGTAGTTTAGAGAGTTCTGGAGTAGATTTTGGGATTTCTTCTGTAATTATCTCCCCTTCTCTGTTTTCCTTGTCCCTGGGTAAATTTTCTGCAGCCAACTCGTTAAGATTGAGATTTTTCTCCAACGAGGGAATATTTGTTAGAGAAGCTCTAGAAGTACTAGAAGCTCCTTGCTGTTCACCCGAAATAGCATTGTCTTGAGAAGAGTTTCCTGGATCAATTTCATTTGTTTTCGACTTTTGTCCGTTGCCTTTTTTCTCCTCTACCACCACCTCCAGCGTGGTTGTTGTCTGTGGTGAGGGTGTCTTTGAAGAGCGCTCAGTTTTTGAATTTCGTTCCTTGGCCTTTTTGGCACCTGCCTCGGCACTTACAGGCGATTGGGTTTTTGAAGAACGCGATTTTGTTTGTTTGGACTTTCGTGTTGGTGTTGTGGATGCTCTGGATATGTTTTCATCATCCAAAGACATTTCAGTGGCCACAATATTTTCTGCTGATTCAAGGCCTCCGGAAACCTGTTTCAATTCAAGGTCCAAATTTTCCTTTGAAGACGATTCGTTGGAGCTAGTATTGGGAACATCATTTGCCCCTAGACTCTTGGTTATTGGACCCGGAGGGCTATTCTCAATTTCAGCAGATTGGGGAGTTTGTTCCTTGGCTTTTGATGAACGTCCCAATGATTTCGATTTTCTTGATGTACTTTCTTTAGAAGAGACTTCTTTGTTGCCTGTATTGGAGACATTATCCTCCCCTAGACTCTTGGCGCTTGCCTCGGATAGTTCTATTTCCATTTCAGCATTTTGTGTTGTTAGTTCCGGTTCATTTGATATTTCCTTGGATTTTGGAGAACGTAATGATGATTTCGATTTCCTTGAAGATTCCGCCACCACCAGCTGCGACTCAATGCCAAGAATGGCCTGCTGGGAATTTTGCTCGCCTTCAAATATTTCCGATTCAATGGGCGCACCATCATTGTCATCAGAGCCCTTTATTTGCACCAACACCGCTTTGGAGCTAAGGGCAGCAATTTCGGCAAAAGTCTCCTCAAGCGTCTTATGTTTTGTCTCATCATCATCTCCACGTCGACTGCGTCTTTCATAACGTCGAGTGATCTTTTTGTTGAATGTCAATGGCGAGGAAGTATCGGAACGTGATGTTGGCGAAATATTAATTTTCCTCAGAGTCGATGGTGAGGATGTCTCTGAACGACTGGGTGAGTTACGATGCCGTTTATGTGTCAACGGTGAAGATGTATTCGAACGATTGGGTGAATTCGAATTGGAATTGGAGATTTTTGGGGCCTTTTGAGCATGACTATTGTCTTCGTTCTGAGGACTAGAAGCAGTTGCGATTGGAGGCAATATGGCAGGCTCAGATAGTTTTGCTTCTTGCTCTTCCAAAGTTGTGGCTGGGGATAATTTTCCAGACTTTGATAAATTGCCTTCCTCAAGCTCCTTATGTGCAGCATTTTCCTCCAGGGCATCTGCTGAAGATGGAGACTTTTCATCCTTTTGAGATTCCTTACTTGTTATTTCGTTTTCTCCCTGCACTGCCTCAAGTATGGACTTTTCCAATACGGGTGACACGTGATGCTCAGATACAACTTGCTTATCTGAGAGATTTTCTGATTTGTTTTCCGGCACCGTTACAGAGGAAGGAGAGTTTTCTGATACGGCTGGCTCTGCCTTAGATGGTACGACTTCATACAATGGTGGTTCCAATGATTGGGAGGTATTTGAAGGGGAATGTTGTTTTCTACCCTTTGGTGCCTCGACTTCACTAGTTTCTAACGATGGGAAGGAATTTGAAGGCGGCTGCTGTTTTGTATCAGAAGACAATTGTACCGGAACGTTGTCTACATTTGAAGCTCCTCCGATTGCTGCTGCTTTGTTAGACTGGACAGCACGCAGAATATCCAGCAAGGTATTTGTTTCTATGCTAACATTTTGAATATCGTATTTCTGTTGTAATTCCTTTGGGGTTTGCATTTCGACATTTGCTGGTATTTCCAATTCTTGATGAGTTTTATCAGAAGAAGGTTTGTTTTCCATTGGTTGTTGTACTGGTAAGGATTTGGAACATGTTGGTTGAAGTAGTTCATCTTGTGACAATTTTGTTTGTGTCTCTAAAACATCTACGCTTTTATCGCTGACCTGTTCCTCGTCTTTGCTTTTGATCGTGGGATTTTGATCTTCAATCACATCTACAATTTGAGATGAGTCTTTCTGTTCCTTAGGCAAAACATTTTCAGTTTCATTTGTGGCATTTAAAATCTCCTTTCCTAAAGGACTTGACTGTTCTCTTGCTCTTTGCTCTAAAATCACATCTTCTTCAGCCAAGGAACTCGTTGCTGTATCCTCGTTCTTATTGACATCAACATCCATGACTTGTGTTGGAATATCCTTCAAAAGATTATCAGACTTTTCTCCACATGTTTCAGTCGTTTCTTCAGGTCCATGTAAATTTCTGAAGCGAGATTTTCGTGGTTTTCTCTTTGGTATTTCTGCCGATACCTCTTGCATGCTGGAGGACTCAGACTTCAATATATGACTATTATCTGTTTCTGAAACCACGATATGGTCGGGTGAAGATTCCTTTGCCTGTTTACGCAGAGATTTTCTTTTGCCTAGATTAGGAATGTCCGTCTTTTGCTCCTCCTCTTTGTTGGTCTCAACGGTGGAAGTGACAGCTACTGGTTCATCTTTTTTCAAATCCTCTTTAATGTCAGTAGCACTGGATTCTTCTTGGCTGACTCCGCTTGAACTCTTATCCAATTGCAGTTCTTTTTGCTGAAGTCTAACCTCAGATTTAGTTGATTGATCTTGGCCCTCAATATCAGTTGCTTGTCTATCTTTTGTGGTCGAAATTTCATTGACCTTATCATTATTATCCATATTTTCATTGGCCTTATTTTCCACAGTTCCGCTTTCCTCCAAATTCTTATCTTGATTGCGATTTCTTAGGGATTTTCTTTTGGTAGTCGGCAATTTTGTTTTATTTCTCCCTGCCGATTTGGCAATCGTTGCCGTGTCCGCAGTGGAGGTTTCTTCTTGGTTTCCATCATCAGCATCTCGGTTTTCCTTCGATGAAGGAGTCAAGTCTTTAGAAGTAATTTCACTTCCAGGGGTTTGACCATCTGAATTTTGGCTGTCAGTTGATGATTTATCTTTTAAAGGTGCATCTAAATGTTGCTGTGCCTCAGTTTTCTCTGATACTTCTGCTTCTAGAGTATACTTTTCCACAACTTCTTTGGGCATCTCTTCCAGAGGGGACTTAGAAGTTTCTACGACTTCTATTTCTACAATGTTAAATGTTTCATTCCCTACCGGAATTTCCACCATTTGTTCTTCTTTTTTCAAATGACTATCTGCTAGCTTTTGGTTAATCTCGCTTCCTCCCCCGATTTCTTTTCTCGGTTCTGTTTCAGTAGCTGGTTTTTCTTTGGATTCTCTTGAAGAATTTTCAGAAGAATCACTAAAGTCTTTCTTAACAGTCGCAATGGAGCCACGTTTACTTTTACGTTGCAAACGTTGGGATCTCTTGGCTGAGGAAGGTTTTTCTGAAGATTGATCAGATTTATCTGATTCGGTTAGACTTATTTCACGATTTATTTTTCTGCTTTCGTTTTCAACGCTGTCTTCGTTCAAGCTTTTTGGTGATATTGAAACTCGCTCATCCTCAACTTCAATAGAAGACATTCGATTTTCAGCGATACTTTCATTCATGGCAATTACAATTTCTTTTGATGCTGTGGATGGGTCCATACTTGACGAAGTTTCATCATTTCCACTTTCTAATCGTTCATTGGTAATTTCAGTGGGACACATTGATTCTTCCGATATGGAGCTGCTTTTTACCTTATCGTCATCATCATCATCCACACTTCCAACACCATCGGACTGCTGTGCCAAACAGGCTTTATATTCCTTCCAATTGGTGGCCTTTTCAGGAGTTAACTTCTTAGACACCTCCATAGTTTCTTCAGCCGCTTCATCCCCTTCCTTGCAATTTGTGGACTTTTCAGGAGTTAATTTCTTAGACACCTCCTTAGTTTCTTTGCCCGCCTCATCCCCTTCCTCTTGATGACGTGATTTGGGCGGCCTTCCTCGGCGCTTTTGCTGCTGCTGTTGTTGGACTAGCGTTGTGTCCAATACTTTCGGCTCACATTCACTTGTTTTATTACCAGTGACTGCTGCCGTTTTTCGTTTGGCATCAACTGCAGCAGATTTACGTACATTACTCTCCATTTGGGCCACAATTAAACTAGCCGTATGTTTAGGTTTCAAAATTGCACTGGCGGCGTCTTTATCACCCACGGTTTTATTCAACATTGCTGGCGGCATGGGTGGTATGGGTGGCGGTGGAGGTTTTGTTTGTTCTTGTGATATTGAATAGCGTCTAAAAATAGCCGACTTTTCCATAAATGTTTTTTGTTTCGATGATAGATCTGCTGGTGCCACCGCACCCGTGGACAACGAACCTGCATTACTGTTGGCTTCCACACCCGTTGTATTCGCCGGACCTGCACTAGTCTTCGAAGTCGATGGAACATTTGAATCGATTCTCGCCTCTATTTGAATTTTGTGGGGCTTACGATTCTTATTCAGCAAATCTCTTACATCGAATTTAATTATCTTTTTTCTTGAGCTTCGTCTACACTCGGATACGGGTATAATGGCTGGAGGATTAGGTCGTCCCTCGGGCGTGGGAGATATGGCCAAGGCTGCAACATCGGTGCACTCATTGGTTTCCTTAGGAACTATACTTGAATCCATTGTTTCACATGCGGCAGATCCTTTTGAAAGTCTTGCGTTTGACCTTTTATTTCTTTGATTGTTGGCTTCCATTCTGTTTTAGTCTTCTCCAATACCATTTTTCATTTACACTACACAAAAATGAAAAACGTCCCAACGAAACGAATATGAAGGAAACAAAGGAATACCCGATAAAAAATAAACAGAAAGCAAAGACTCAGGGTACTCTGTTGTTTACGAATGAGACATGAGAAAATTGAACATCTTCACTAAAGAGCGCGGAACTAGCTACAAATTAAATTGAATTCGACGGCGGTGCGACATGACAGACGGACGGCATAAGTCGACAGATGTAAACCCACATTTTTCATTTACACTAAATAAAGTAAGATATCAACTCTTTGATTATTTTTCTTTTTTGTGCCAACAACGAAGGGGGAAAAATTTTTTCGACGGCGTTGCAATTTATGGTGCACAGGCGATAGCTAGCACATGGTTAGACTTGAGGCGGCAAAATTTCGTTTGTTTATTTATTATTATTATTATTTTTGAAGAGGCACAAACTTCAGGATCACAGTTAGTTTTTATCGTTCGCCCTTTTCCTCTGTTTTTTGTCCGCCACCAAAATAAAAAATAAATGTATTATTATAAACAATTTTTTAAATACTTCATCTTTCACCATCGCGTGGAGAGGAGAGTTTTAGTTTTTAGTTTTTTTCTCTCTTTTTCGCTAGACATCAAAATGAAAAACGTCCCAAATCGATCAGATGTTTTATGATTATTATTTTAGTTACCGCACGAAACATCGTTCTCTCTCCCTCTTCCAAAAGAACTCTTTACTGATTAAATGAGACTGAAAAAGTACAAAGACAAACCTAATAAAGGTAAACAGAAAAACAAATGGTCCGTGAACTCTGTGTTTACGAATGAGGGTAATGCGACACACGTGAAACCCTTTCAGCCGGAATATTCATAAAAATGAAGCTGCGGCACTAGTTATAGCAGTAGTGAATGGGGTTGTTGTGCCAGTGTGAAATAGTTGAGTTCGATAATTAAATAATTGTATTTTTTTATATTTTACATGTTTATGTCACGACTGCACTAAGAAATGGATGTTTTCTTTTTATTTGTTCACAAAGTGGCTGCAAAATGCACTATATGAGTCAAACGCCATTTTTTTCGAATCCAAAACGAAAATGAAGTTGTACCAATATATTTCCGAAGTATTTAAGTAGATAATAGAGATTTTTTTGGCCGATACTTCATTTTTATGTGAAATATGAAAAATATTTTTCCCCATCCCCCCACTTGGAGTGTATGGCCGAAATCGAACTAAGTCAACCTAAGACTCCTTTGTTCCTTTACGAAGCCAGCCGATGACTTAAGCCAGTCAGAGAAGCATTTTATGTATTCTCACCTTAAATTTCTAATAATAATTTTCACTTTCGATTGAAATTTTTTACGATATCAATGAGAGAATTTTGTTCCAGCATTTTCGTAAGGTAAAAATACATAAAACGCTTTTTTTGGCTGGCATAAGTCATGGGCTGGCTGCCTCGGAAAGGAAGAAAGGAGCATAGGCCCAAAATCTGACTAAGTCAACCTACAACTCCTCTGTTTATCTTCGAAGAAGCCAGCCGATGACTCAAGTCAGTCAGTCAAAAAAGCGTTTTATGTACTCTAACCTTTAGACAAAATTATAAAGGTATAGCCTCATTTGACAAAAAGTTGATGACAAACCTGTTTAAATATTTAAAACTCCTCTATTTGTTTCCACACAATAAAAGCTTTTTTTTGATTTCTTAAAACTAATTTTTATTAATCACTTCTTATGTCAAAGCTTATATACGAGTTGTCCTAAATTATTTGTTTTTAAGGAAAACGACAAATTATACTAAACATAAAAAAAAAAAATAATATTACAACTGAACAGAAAAAAACATACACTTTTCATATAAATTAATAATTTATTTGTTTGTTTATTTGTTTTTTCTTTTATTTTGCCCGACGAACAAATTTCATACAATAAATAGCCGTCGGTGCTATTAGACGAAACGTATCAATATACAAAATAGTATAATTAAACACAAAAAGGTACCGCCAAATTTAAACAATTTGAAAAAAAAAAGAAAAGATGGGACCCCAAAGCTATAAAACATATTTAAACATATATATATATAAATAAATTTGTAATGCCCCATATATATATGTAAGTGTATATCTATATAATATGTATTTTTTTGTTTTTAAAGAAACTTATTACAGAATTGATTTACAACTATATGTGCATTATATACTAAACGTTAATATAAAATCAATAAATTTTAAATAACGTAAACATGATATAGGGGGGGTTTGGTGGTGGAAGAATAAGTAGGACAGAGGAAGGGATGTGTTTTGTTATTAGTTTTTTTTTTCAATTTAATTTTTTCTGTAAATGTGTACCATTCTTTCTCTATAGTACAAGTCAAAAATTATAATAAATTTTGTAGATATTTCTTTTTTTTTAGTCAAATAACAAATTTGCTTTTTGCTTTCATTCTTGAAATGATCATTCACATAAATTAAAAAAAGACAATGTAATATTTAGTAAACAAACAAAAATTCGTTCAAGTGTCACAGCACCAAATTTTCAGCTTCTTAATCTGTAACAAAGAGAGAGATAGAGAGAGAGGGAGAGTATCGCAATGATGTTGGATGGAAAACTTTGGGAATATTTCAAATGTGAAACTGCTAAATTACCTGCTACCATAAACCATGTAAGTGTAAATTTCTTGACAAAACTGAACGGACATCATTGGTAAACCTTAGGGCATCCAACATTGGAAGTAATGACAATAATGAAATATCCATGGGATCGGAAAACCAACTTTTTATGGGTATGGCATTGTGGGGAAAACAACGATATGCTGCTGGAGAATTATCAATTATAAATATCTGCAGAAACAATAAAGGAGATTAAACAACTATTATTAACATCCATCGCCAATGTAAAACCGCAATTGCCTAGATATATTTACCCTATTTAGATCATTGCAAATAGCTGATAAATCTTTGGTATATGAACCATAGTCGGGTGTGCAGTGTTGACGATAATAGCGGCGTCGTAATATATTACGGCCATTGTCTAATTTGTCAGCCACGGCTGCACCATAAATTTCCATGCTGGCTGTGAAAACGACCAAATCATACCATTGCGATACCTAATAAAAAGAGAGAGATAATGACAAAAAAAGGTCAATTTGTTGTGGTTATGATTATGATCTGTTCAATACTCACCACATCCAAAAAGAAATCGACATGTGGCCTCTTGTGCACAAAAAAACGTACAGGATGTCGGTCAATTGTCACCTTTACCGTAAAATCATGTGGCGTTCCCGGCTTAACTGTATTCTTGGGCATAGCATTGTGATGTGAATGTATTAGGGTCTCATCTAAATCCAATACCAATGTCTTTCTCTGGACAATGCTAAGGCGATGCCGTGACACCGGCGACAGCGGAAACAGTTCATATTTGACAGGTTGATACTGGACAAACTAAAGTGGTTCATATCAGTGATTCTTATACTTTTTTTTTCATTCATCAAAACATTTTGACATGGATCAATAATATTGCATGCATACATACATACATACATGCGGTAGATTCGAAGAATGGCTAGTAGGAGACATTAGTTTAGGGAAACGAGTGAGTGTTTTTCATTTCCACTTTGTTTCTTCTTCGATTTTACTGCATACTTGTACATATGTATTGTATAACAAAAAAACATATGTGTATGTAGTCCTGATTCTAAACAGAAGAAAATGTTTGTTGACTACCGCTCTCTACAGGCCCAATACCATGGTGCCATTTGATAAGAAATAACGATTGATATCAAATTGCTTATACAAAAAAAAAAACTTGATAAGAAATAACTTTGTCATGCAAAAACAACAAGAACAAAACTATGAAAAACTGAAAAAAAAGAAAAACCTAATTAAAGGCGGACCTTATTCAACAGATTATTTTGGATATATGTAAAAAAGGCAGAACTTTAAATTGATTTTGTATTGCATCTTTGGTATCTTGGCAGAGGCAGGAGGGTTCGCAAGTGCATATTCCCATTGAAACAGACTCTGAGGGCAGGCATTACAGGTTGACAGAGTATTGGAGTGTTGAGCCGTTGAACCTCGAGGCCCTTTAGAAAGAGATTTTTCATCTTCGCATCAAATCTTGTAATGGTAGAAATATTGGGATTTGTGAAGTTTGAAAAGAATCGTAAGCTTATTTCGGAGTTTGTGAGCTTTTGGTTATTCAAAATTTTAACCCATTGTGGGGCAGGTATCAGAAGGATTTGGTCGATATCTCCCATCATCGCACCACATCTTGTACTGGTAGAAATATTGGGATTTGTGAAGTTTGAAAAGAATCGGAACCTTATCTCGGATTTTGTGAGCTTTTGATTATTTAAAATGTTAACCCTCTATGGGCCAGGTATTACAAGGAGTTGGTCGATAACTCCCATCATCACACCACATCTTGTATTGGTAGAAATATTGGGATTTGTGAAGTTTGAAAAGAATCGGAAGCTTATCTCAGATTTTGTAAGCTTTTAGTTATTTAAAATTGTAACCCATTGTGGGACAGGGAGCAGATGTAGGCGTCAGTAATAATGTAGATAAAATCATCAAAATACCGAATATCGGGACAATTTTCTGTCTTAGGCTGAAGTATCCATTACGAATTTCGAAATCCATTACGAAAAATTTGAAACAATTCCGGTGAATAAATTCGCTAAAATCACAAAATTACCGAATATCGGGAGGTACTGCTATATACGAAGACGTGGACCTGCACAGACAATTTTCTGTCTTAGGCTGAAGTATCCATTACGAACTTCAAATACCACATTTGAAACAATTCCGGTGAATAAATTCGCTAAAATCATCAAATTATCGAATATCGGGAGGTAGCGTTAAATGGGGGCTCTACGAAGACGTGGACCTGCACAGACAATTTTCTGTATTAGGCTGTAATATCCATTACGAACTTCAAATACAAAATTTGAAACAATTCCGGTGAACAAATTCGCTAAAGTCATCAAAATACCGAATATCGGGAGGTACCGTTATATGTGGGCTATACGATGACGTGAGCCTGCACAGACAATTTTCTGTATTAGGCTGTAATATCCATTACGAACTTCAAATACCAAATTTGAAACAATTGCGGTGAACAAATTCGCTAAAATCACCAAAATACCGAATATCGGGAGGTATCGTTATATGGGGGCTATACGAAAAAATATACCAAAACCCTGCATACATAAAATACATTTAAGTAAAATTTTATCAATCTGCTTCAATTCACTCGGAAGCTAGAGTGTTTTCCAAAGACGGACGGACAACGCTAAATCGACATAGAATTTTATGCTGATCAAGATTATATATATACTTTGTGGAGTCTAAAATTTGTATTTCGAGGTGTTACAAACGGAATGACAAACTTAATATACCCTCCATACTATGGTGTAGGGTATAAAAACGCAGCCACTTTGTTTTGTTGTTCACTAATTTTTAATTTTTCTTTTTTTTCACAAATTACTTTGTTTTGACAAATCAGCTGATTGCTTGCAAGTTTTTGCAGGGATTCCGTCTGTTTACTTTTCACAGTTTTCTTGCAAAAGAGAATAAAACTACCTCACTCTCTCAGAGAGAAGTTAATGGACAATTCCTGACGGAAAAGTAACCAGACATACCTATGAAAACTTTTTAGTCTATACCTTTTTTTGTTTATGCTTTTACCAACTAAAATACTGGAACGAAGATAGTTTCTCTAATCTTTCATAAGTGCGGTAGACACTTGCGAACATATAGCCATTAGAGTTAATTTCATATAAAAAAGTCAAATAAATGTTTTTTTGTAGAATTTTTTTTCGAAAAACAAAGCATAAACTCATATTGGCCCATGTAAAACGTAAAAAAAATCAACGAAATGAAATGAAAAAAAAAAAATAAATGTTTACAAATCATAACTGCATGCACATTGTTCCTGTATTATATTACAAACATAATTCATAATTTAAAGATTACTTACTGCTCTGACTTGGCGATTGAACATAAAACATATGCACGTCCATACTTTTGATAATAGTACCAATAATGCACGGAATTTCATTTGAACGAGGGAAAACATTGGTAAGAAAGCAACTTACCAATGTGCACTACATAAATGTGTTATTTTCTGTTATTATTCTTTTGCGTTTATGTTAATAATATACGTTTGTATATAATGTTAAAAAATGTGTGCCTGCGTCTGTTTGTTTGTGTGTGTTAACAAATCAGATTGTTTATTATTTTTTTGTTAACAAATCTTTCAAATAGAAATCGCCAAAAGCCACCGTTGATGACTTCAAATGTTTGTTTGTTTTTTGTTGTTTGACATCCGCAAAATTTGTTGATGTTTACCGTTGTTATTGCTGTATTCTTTTTCTCTAAAAAGTATAATAAGAAATAGAAATGGTTAATGATTTATTTTCCCTCACGGGGGGAAGATGGTAGGTAAAGAAGAATTCTACTCAAAATAAGAAACAAAAACACACGCACACACACAGCAAATGAAAGAAATAATCGAAGGGAGAGAGCCAATCGTGTTTCTATATCATCAAAGGAGGTAATCATTGGAGCGCGCGCCTAATTCGTTAATGCTCTCAGTTGGTTGGTGTCTGAAGCCAAGAAAAACATGGTTACACACAATCACTCCAGCGTCTGGTTTTAATGACAGTTATGAATTAAAATCAACTCTTTCTTTTGTGCTTTTACTATTGTTTTTTCTTAATTGCAAAAATCTACTTTAATTTTAGTATTACAACAACGAAGAAAAAAACACTTAACATTCTTCTGCTCTGAAACACAAATCTATATAAACCGCTTTCCAAGAATTACGTAGAGTTTCCAGGTTTCATTTAATGGTTACAATGTTTGGACTGTTGGGGTACCAAAAAAAGGTCTAATTGTCATGAAGGCCTTGGCCTTCGTTTAATTCCGATCATTATTTTATTTTATATATGCAGGGTGAGATAAAAATACTGCAAAATCGGGAACAGCATCAAATTCTAGAATACGTTTAAATTTGTTCGAATTGGTCAACTTTGGCACGAATTATGGCCAATGAAACCGTCACACGCTGCCCAAATTTTCCTCTGCGGTATTTTGGACCATTCCCGGCGAAGCGCTTGTTTGAGGTGATCGACACTTTGGTATTTTTTAGTGCTAACCTTGCTTTCCAAATACTCCAGACACAATAGTCCAACGGATTAGTATTCGGTGATTTTGGTGGCCATAGTGCGCTGGAAATGAAGCGAGGAACCTCATTTTGTAACCATGTTGAGTCCTGTTGGAATGTCAAAGGTCTGCGGCCAAAATGTTTGCTTGCCCAGGCTTATTTCACCCTCCAGAATATTTTCGCGACAATACTCGGCATTTATTCTGACGCCCGACGACCACGATCGATTTTTACGAGCGGAGAGCGAACATCGGCTGTTATGGCGGCTCACACCATCACCATGGCCGGCGCTTGAGTTCTGGTGGCCAACCGAAGTTGCACATTTTCAGCTGGCCTCTTTGGCAAGTAAACACGATCATTTTGCTTGTTTACAAACTGTTGCTGGACAGCGAATGTTTTCTCATCGGAGAAAACCAAATTCGGCAGTTCAGTTCACGAGCCATTTTTCGGCAACTGCGACGCGGGTTTCAAACAAGCCGCTTCTTTACTTTTCGAATCAGTTCTTCTGATTTTGCCGTTTTCTTCCGTCCACTTCCTTCACGTCGTGCTACGCTACCAGTATCACGGTAACGAGCGATGCTACGAGACACAAAAGATTTATTCACATTTAAATGCTGAAGATCTCTAACGATAGCCACTTGTGGTTTTCCAGCCAAAAATAAAGAAATCACGAATAACTTTTTTTTCGGACGATTGGCTTAGAAATTACAGCTGTCTGAAGTTGGTTGCAGTTTTTTTATCCTACCCTGTACAGCTCTGTCTGATTACTTTTTTGCAATTTTCTTATAAAAAAAGTTAATTAAACCACTTTGCTCTCTAAGAAAACCGTTTCTGGAAAATTAATGCAGGTAAGGTATACTGAATGATTGTTTTATTAAGACTTTTGATAAAAACATAACCTAATTTCGTGGAAACAATAAGTATTGTCAACTAGATAAAACATTTTTACATTTTATCGATCGAGTGCCATTACGAAAAATGCATGGCTTTCTTGTGGTTTTTTTTTTTTTTGGGGAGTTTAAAAAATCTTAGACTAATCTTGAGCCGTCTGACTGACCAACTGTTGATTCTATTTATATTTATTTTTGTAGCAAACATCTTAACCGAATCATGAGAGCAAATAATCGGGTACATCTCCTCAGGTTTTTCCGTAAATACCTACCTCTCCAATGAAATTGAAAAATCGTAGAATTTTTGTTAAACTACTAGATTTTTGGGGTATTATTGACATCATAACATTACAACTTCATCCAGCACTGTACTTCCAACAAAACAACACATGGCAACTCTAACTCACTTTATAGCATGTACCATTATTTCGCATTCATATCGAGAGGGAGCGTGCAATTTCCACAGCATTTTGTCTCTCACCCAACACAAAAAAATACGAGACCAACGAAACGACGACGAGCAGGTAGGAGAAAAAAAGCGGCTAAACTATAATACTATAGATTTTGTGTGATAGCAATTACATAAAATAAGGACAAAAACAACAAAATAATATTTTAACATTTGCGCTTTATGATATTCTTTGTATATTGGCTGAAGTCCAAAATAATTGCTTTTATTTTAAATTATGAAATTTCTAATTTTTTCTCTCTTCTACTGCTTGAAGCTCTTTTCACTTCTTTAGCTTATCTCCTCTTGCGTGTGTGTGCGTGTATGTTTCTTTCAACATTTCTTTTTTCATCTTCTATGGCATTTTCCTTGACGTTGACAGAGGGGGTTTCAATTAAATGTGAATACCTATTTTTTGTTTTTATTTTAAACGATTTTTTTGTTTCACTTTCATAAATGTATTTTGTTTTTTTTTTTTTCTTTTGTTTTCTTGTTAAAACGTCACAAAATTCTTGGCTCTTGGTTAGATAAACAAATAGTTAGCTATATGCTTTATATTATTTGGATTTTGTTCACCGTATAATGAAATACCACCGCTCACGAACTTTGCTTTGCATGAAACTGTTGACATTAGAAGTACGGAGCCAGCCACTCAAGTTTGTGACAGACGTTATTAATATGTTGACTTTTAGTTAAATGTGGCAACGTTTTTTAGATCATACCTTAAATTTCGGCATACAGCCGTGTCAACAAATGACATTATGTGATGTTTACACAAGTCTGCCTAAGCATAAGCCGTATTAATCATGGTAGAAAAGTACATGTAGTCGCATGGACACAGCTACGGGACAATGAACTGTCAAGCTAATTTTGAAATAGAAAATTTTGAATTAAAATCATTTAAATTTGTTGATAAATGCATATCATAAGGACCTTCGATTGACGTCGTATAAGAAAACATTTAAAAATATACTTATTTTTGATAAAACATTTTAAAATTTTTGACATAACAATGTTCCGAAGCGTACAGCCTACAGGGTGAGATAAAAAACTGCAACAAAGTCAAATGCCATAATTTTTAAATTTTATTGATTGAAAGCAAAAAATTTCGGAAATAGCATCAAATTTTAGAATAAGTTTGTTCGAATTGGTCACCTTTGGCACGAATGAACGGCCAATGAAACCGTCACCCGCTGCCCAAATGTTGCTCTGCGGTATTTTGGCCCATTCCCGGCGAAGCACTTGCTTGAGGTGATCGACACTTTGGTATATTTTAGTGCCAACCTTGCTTTCCAAAATACTCCAGACACAATAGTCCAACGTATTGGAATCCGGAAATTTTGGTGGCGATTGTGCGCTGAAAATGAAGCAAGGAACCTCATTTTGTAACCATTCTTGGGTGGCGCGTGCTGAGTGCGATAGTGCTGAGTCCTGTTGGAATGTCCAAGGTCTGCGGCCAAAATGTTTGCGTGCCCAAGGCTTTAATACACCCTCAAGAATATTTTCTCGATAATCGACATTTATTCTGTTGCCACGGTCGATTAATACGAGCGGAGAGCCACCATCGGCTGTTATGGTGGCCCATGTGGTGGTAGAAGAATAGAGGTAGTCGCATCGACACAGCTGCTGGGACAATGAACTGTCAGAACAATTTTGGAATTGAAAATAATGAATTAAAAATTATTGAAATTTCTAAAAATTGTTGAGAAATATATATCATTACAACCTCCGATTTGCGTTGTATAAGAAAACATAGAAAAATCTACTTATTTTTGTCAAAAATTGTAAAAAATGTTGACATATCAGTGTTCCCAAGCGTTGATGCTTATATTCTTCTACCATGTTGTCTGCATACACTCACAGGCGCTTTCAATTTGTTTATGCTATAAATTGTTTTTTTTTTTTTTTTTGCATTAACGCCAAAACAAAAACAGTAGCTTTCAAACTTAAAATACTCATCTAATAATTGTCGTTCATTCTGTATAAACCTATTTACAGAATCGTATTACTTTTGGAAATACATTTGGATCCGTAAATATTTGCTCTATTCCAGTGTTATTATTACACGATGAATACCAGCACTATGGATTTCGATTTATCGTTTCAGTGTGATATGCAGAGTCCACTACGCGTCAAGCCGTCGCGCCATTGCATTTTAGCAACGCCGTTAGTATCGGTCGTCTAATCGATAATTCAAAAATCAAATTATGCATCCCTATTTTGCAAGACTCGTGGAAAGGCGTCATTTTTCATTTTTGCAAATATAAAATTGTGTGAAAATGTTTTATTGATTTGATTGCAAGTTGTAAAATGTGTTTTTGCAAATAATTTTGCATGTTTGCAAGTATTTTTTTTAAAAATACCCATAGTGATATCGTTAAAAACAACGAAAAAATAAATTATTGGTAGAGAAAAAACCGGACGTGAAACGATTGCGAAAAAAGCCGCTAAGCCGATTGCCAGAGTAGAGTAATTACAGCAATTGGGAAGAAATTGATATTGTTGGCACAGTTTAAAAGTTAAAACACAAACCCCTTAACATCACTTGGATTTTCCTTCGGATTTTATAAAAAGCAGCCAAAATTGTGGAAAAACAGGAAAAAACTCCCAAGCGGAAGAAGAAGGCCGCAGCCAGTAAAATGACTGCGGTCTTCTCGCCGCAACCACCGCCCCAGGCTGGTCAACCACCTCCAGGAAGTATGATGCAGCCTCCACAATCGACAACGCCGAACTCAATGCAGCCACCGCAACAACAGTCGGTTGTTGGACCCGGTCCGGGCGTTGGTATGATGGGACCGGGAGGTGGTGGTCCGGGTATGCCCCCTGGCATGGGTATGAGTGGACCCGGTGGTGGACAAATGCAACGGGGTCCTCCCATGGGCGTTATGGGTGGTCCCTCGGGCGGCCCAGAAGGCATGATGGGTGTTCCATCGGCCGGACAACATGGTGGTGGTGTACCACCTCCAAGTCCCACACATATACAGAAAATACTCGATGAAAATTGTAAAATTATTCAAACAATACAAAGCTTCCAGAATATGGGCAAGTCGTATGAATGTACATCATATCACATTGCTCTGCATCGAAATCTCGTTTATTTGGCACAGTTGGCAGATCCTACAATGAATATAAATCAGATACTGCCACCACCACACATTCTGCAACCGCAGGCACAGCAACAGGGTCCACATGGCATGATGGGATCAGCAGGACCACCGCCACAGCAGCAATCGGTGCTGCAAGGTGGGCCTCCTCCACCACCTGGTAGCCAATCACAAATGGGTGGCCCGGGTGCGCCTGGTGGTGGTATGGTCTCAATGCAGCAACATGATAATAGTGGTCAACCAAACACGGGAATGCCTCCATATGGAGGTCAAGTGCCACAACAGCATCCGGGGATGACACCGAATGGTAGTCAGGGACAACAACCGAATGGTCCACCACAAGCTCAAGGTCCTGGTGGCCAACAAGGCGGACCGCCACCACAATCGCAACAACAAGGACCCTATCGTGGACCGGGTCCCCAAGGACCACCATCTCAGCCTCCTGGTCAGGGACAACCGCAACAGCAATCGGGTCCACAACAGCCACAAGGATCGAATGCTAGCAATCAAGGCAGTAAGTACACAAATGACTTTTATTTGCAATCAAATAATTCTTTATTGTTTCAAAATATAAAAGCAAGTGCGTTGACCTTAAACCTAAGTTAAAACAAATTCAAAAACTAAATTTTCATGTATGTATCTCACTAGGCCAACAACGTCCAAATTCGGGTACACCAACTCCGGGTGCTCCTCCTCCTGGTCAGGGGACATCGCAACCACCCCAGGGGCCACCAAATCAACAAGCGCCCCAACAGCAGCCGCCTCAAGGCCCTCCTCCCCAGCAAAGCCAATATCGGGGAGCATATCCACCACAACAACATGCACACTATCCCGGTTATCCACCACAACAGCAGCCGCAATATCCTCCACAGGGTGGTTATCCTTACGGACCGCCAACCCACGGATATGGACCCCCGCCGCCAAATGCACAAACTGGATATCAAGGTCATGCCGGAATGCCACCAACATCGGGAAATAATGGCCCACCTGGGCAGCATCCATATGGAGCTAACACAGGCCAACAAGTACCACCCGGATCCTATCCTCCACCACCCAATCAACAAATGAATTCAGGACAACAACCTCCGCCAGGGCAAATGTACGGTCCACCGGGTGGCAACCAAGGTCCGCCAACAAATCAATATGGACCACCACAAAGCTCCGCTGGTCCACCGCCACCCATGGGTTATGGAGGATATGGAGCACCGCCACCCAATAGTTACGGCCAAACTACCAATGCACCACCCGGTGGCTATGGACCACCGCCAACTAGCCAAACTCAATCTCCCTATCAACCATATCAACAGGCTGGTCCAGGCCCACAGGGTTATCCAGGGCAGGGACCCCCACCGCCACAGACACAAGGCAATCAGCCTTCCAATACAACACAAGGGGGGCCTCCGAATCCTAATGCACCACCTCCTGGTAGTGGCTACAGCTCTTCGCCGAGTCCAGGACAGACACCGCCACCAAATCAACAACAGCCACCAGTTAGCGGTGCCAATGGCCCACAAAATCCACCAACTAGTGTGCAATCAACACCTCCACCCTCTCAGCCACCAACGAGTAGTTCCAGTGCAGTGAGTGCGGCTGGACCAACTCCAACATCCCAGCAGACGGGTCAACAACAACAACAACAACAATCATCTGCTCCGCCCGGACCACCGGGACCAGCAACAGCATCACAACAGCAAACGCCACAAAGTTATCCGCCGGCTTCCAACAGTGGCCCACCTCCAACTGGCCCTCAGGCGACTTATTCATCGCCACCGTCTAGCGTGGCTGGAAACAATTCACCATATGCCCAACCACCACCACAGCAAAATCCTCCAGGTACAGGACCGCCTAATACTACAGCTCCACCCTCAAATGGAGCACCTGGACAAGGTCCGCCACCAATGCCTCCAAATCAGTATCAACCACCACCCGGTGCACAGCCTCCATATGGAGCTCCACCGCCACCCCAGGGTTATGGTCCGCCGCCACCAGGCGGATATGCACAACATGGCTATCATCAGCCGCAGGGCGGTTATGGTGCAATGCCACCTCAGGGACAGTATCCACCTCCATCGCCGCAAGGTTACCAGGGATATCGCCCAGCTGGACAACAAATGCCGCCACCAGGTGCTCCGCCACAGGGACCCCCACCAGGTGCCTATTCCTATTACAGTAGCCAACCGCCACAATAAGTGGTTTAGGAAACGAATATTATTTCTATGGAATCTACAAAGGCAAAAAAGATACCCTAAAAAGCTTAAAAAGAAACTACTTAAACTATTTGGGTTAGCCATGACTGCACAAAATTCCTATTAATGACTACTCTAAGGAATGGCTAGAAAAATAGGCATTTATATAATAAAAAGGAGAGCACGCTTCCAATGCTACGCTAGTAATAAAAAACATTTTCGATTCTATAAAATATAAACAAACCAGTTGTCTGCAGAAAATAGGGATTTTTGCAATCGGTTCCCAATGCGAACAAAGGGTGTAAAATTTAAAATCCTGAAACAAAGTAAGATAATGCGTACAGAAGAGCCGAGTCGAAACGAATTCAAGATTAAAAAAATGACGATGCAATGATGCAACTGCCCATGAAAACTTTGAATCGAATTAACTCAATATTAATGACTACTTGCTAAGCTTATTATTTTTTTTTTTTCGTTTAAATTAAGATTAGTGTTTTATTTACTTACATCAGTGTGTCCAACAATTTCCCCCACCCCCCAAAAAATTCCACTCCCCCACTAGTTTTACGTGTGTGTACTTTTTTTTTAATTACATTAAGTCGTAAAGTGTTAATTGTATCATGTATTAAGCATAAGATTTATTATGAAAACGTATCTATTAGAAATTCAATTTTTCTTTTGTGAAAACCGATTGTTTTGAAAATTCCATCCTCCCTCTACAACAACACATGTATTTACTTAAGTCGGTTCAAAAACATTTTTGGTTACGGTTTGAAATACAATTTCAACAAAATATATAAATAGATTATTGTGTAAACAACAAAAATATGTACTCTCATCTTTCCCATTTTCCAAAATACATACATACCATACATACATACATGATAATAATAATAACAATAATAATTCGAATGCAGTAGATAAAGGATATACGAAAGTAAAAAAATATATATCGTAATTTTTTTCTTAAACAAAAACAAAATTGTTCTCATAAATAAAGAAAAGAAATCTTTTCAAGATCTTTTTGATTGACACAAAAAGTCCTACCTTTTTGGTGGGGAATTCAATTAGTCAACACTGTGCAACAGCCAGAATGGGGTGGTGATTTTAACATTTTAGAATTGAGTGACTTATTTTCACTCATACCCCGTGAAACGACATCTGCCTGATTCGATCTTTTTTCGAAGATAAGCGGGGAGCGAATTCCTTCGTCTTTATAGTTATTAGTCTATGGTATAGCATCCATCTCCAAAGTCCATGTTTCCAAACTACACGTGTGAGGTCATTTTTTTAAGCATCCTTTTAAGCGCTCCCAATATTTGTTATACAGTACAGGGCGTATTTCTAAGGACGTCCAGTAGACGAATTTCAGACCTTGGTCTTCTCTTGCTGTCAAAAGTTATATGGAGAGGAATCCACCAAAAATGGAAAAACACTCAAACGAAATTGGTTTAAACAAATTAAAAAAAGTATCTGTCGCTTTTTCCGACAGATGTTAATCCTCAGCCAATGTTCGAATATTTAAATACAGGGTGAGATGAAAAAACTGCAACCAATTTCAGACTGCTGTCATTTCTAAGCCACTTGTCCGACAGCTGTTAAATGTGTTAAATGACAGCTCATTATATTATTTACAAGCGAACAAAAGCATTTTGGTGAGAATTCTCCAGAAAAAAAAGTTATTCGTGATAGAATTCCAGCGTGGTAGTGTGATTTCTTTATATTTAAATGTGAATAAATCTTTTGTGTCTCGTACCATCGCTAGTTACCGTGATACTGGTAGCGTAGCCCGACTTCGAGGAAGTGGACGGAAGAAAACTGCAAAATCAACAGAAATGGTTCGAAAAGTAAAGAACCGACTTGATCGAAACCCGCGTCGCAGTGGCCGAAAAATGGCTCGTAAGCTGAACATATCGCATCGCAATATTCCATTCGGCAAATGTTGAAACATGAGCTCGGAGTAAAGCCATTGAAATTCTAAAAAGTGCAAAAACTTACACCGCAACAGAAAGGAAATAGACTCAAAAGAGGTAAAGAGTTGCTTTGCTTGGCCGAAAGTGCCGAATATGGCTTGGTTCTCCAATGAGAAAACATTCGTTGGCCATGGTGATGGTGTGGGCCGCCATAACTGCCGATAGTCGCTCTCCGCTCGTATTAATCGACCGTGGCATCAGAATAAATACCCAATATTATCGCGAAAATATTCTGGAGGGTGTATTAAAGCCTTGGGCACGTAAACACCTTGGACATTCCAACAGGACTCAGCACGCGCTACCCAAGAATGGTTACAAATGGTTCCGGCGCACAATGGCCACAAAAACCTCCGAATACCAATCCGTTGGAGAATTTAAGAAGGCAAGGCTAGCACTAAAAAAATACCAAAGTGTTGATCACCTCAAGCAAGCGCTTCGCCGGGAATGGACCAAAATACCGCAGAGCAATATTTGGGCAGCATGTGACGGTTTCATTGGCCGTTTGAAGGCCATAATTCGTGCCAAAGGCGACCAAATCTAATGCTATTTCCGACATTTTTGCTTAGATTTAATACAATTTCAAAAATGTAAAAATTATGGCGTTTGACTTTGTTGCAGTTTTTTATCTCACCCTGTACGTAATATTGTTTTATCCCCATATAACGGTACAATTATATACTATGGTACAATAAAAATATAATTTGTATAAAATTGGTTTACGCAATTCTCATGGTAGAAGCATACAGGTAGCTGCATCAATTAATATGTCAAAAACTTTTAAATGTTTTTTTTTTTCAAAAATAAGTAGCTTTGTATGTTTCCTTCACGACGTTAATGGAGGTTGTTATTATATTCATTTTTAACAATTTTTACAAATTTAAATAATTTTTCATTCAAAAATTTAAATTCCAAAATTTTTGAACTGTCAATCATTGTCCCAGCAGCTATGGTTATGCGACTACCTGTACTTTCCTACCATGGTAATTCTTCATTAACATAAAATGAACGCCATAGCATTCATATCCGCGAAGGTGTTAAATGAAATATTTTCTTTATAAATGCTGTATTTTATCATTTTTTTTCTTTATAATAGTTTGCAGTTTATAAAATAAGAATCGAGCTTTAAAAGCTTGAATAAATTTTCCTCTCCACCATTATTCTTCAACTTTTAGCAACTTTTTGTAATATTCTTCCATTTTATCTCTGGATTCATGGAACTCACCTATTATTCAATGCCAAACAAATGTCAAAACCCATATGATCTTATGGTATATATAGTGTCATAACACGATGTGAATTTCATATCATCTGCCTTTTGATTTTAATGTTAAGATTTTATGAATTTATAGTAAAGAAATAAAAAAAAATTAACTCGTAGTGAATAGATAAAAATATACTTCATTCCCCCACATTTGGGCACGAGAAATATACATTTAAACCCGAAAAAGAAATCAGCTGTCACTTGGCAATTTCATAACGTCGATATGTACCATGTGAATTCTATGGCTGTCACTGCTGACACACAAACAACAACACCACCCATACACACAAATGAGCAGTTCTCACAGTTACGACTCTGCAAAAAAATAGAGGCAATAGTTGTGCGGTGTATTAGTAGAACTCGTCAAAAATGGCTTTGTATTATGTAAATGCATTTTCAAAGCGTTTTGCATCCGTTGGACTTCAGCTGGCAAAGGCTGCCACAACACCGTCGGCTGGGGCTGGACAAGTCGCCTTGAATAGACAGCAAAAACGTGGTGCTGCAAAATGGTATCCAGATCCCGAATTTCTCAAACAATTCGAAGGGCCTGTCATGTACCCAGATGACATAACCTCTCAATGGAAACTACCACCATGGAATCACCAAGTGACCCCGGTGGAGAAATCAATTCGCAACTTGACACTGAACTTTGGTCCCCAGCATCCAGCTGCTCACGGTGTGTTGCGTCTGGTCATGCAATTGGACGGTGAAACTGTGGTCCACTGCGATCCGCATATTGGTCTCTTGCACCGTGGTACCGAAAAGTTGATCGAGTACAAAACATACACCCAAGCTTTGCCATATTTCGATCGTTTGGATTATGTGTCGATGATGTGCAACGAACAGTGCTATTCATTGGCCGTGGAGAAATTGTTGAACATTGATGTTCCGTTGAGGGCCAAGTATATTCGTACCTTGTTTGCCGAAATTACTCGTATTTTGAATCACATTATGGCTGTGGGTACCCATGCCTTGGATGTGGGTGCTTTGACACCATTCTTCTGGCTCTTCGAGGAACGTGAAAAGATGATGGAATTCTATGAACGTGTTTCCGGAGCTCGTATGCATGCTGCCTACATTCGTCCCGGCGGTGTCTCGTTGGACATGCCATTGGGTCTTATGGATGATATTTATGAGTTTGCCAGCAAATTTGCCGAACGTTTGGATGAAGTTGAAGATGTGTTGACAACTAACCGCATTTGGGTGCAACGTACCCAGGATATTGGTGTTGTCACCGCCGAAGAGGCTTTGAACTATGGTTTCAGTGGTGTAATGCTGCGTGGTTCTGGCATCAAATGGGATTTGAGAAAGCAACAACCCTATGATGCCTATGATTTGGTGGAATTCGATGTTCCCATCGGCACCAAGGGTGATTGTTACGATCGTTATTTGTGCCGTGTTGAGGAGATGCGTCAATCTCTGCGCATCATCGACCAGTGTTTGAATCAAATGCCAGCCGGTGAAATCAAGACAGACGACAACAAGGTGACACCACCCAGCCGTGCTGAGATGAAACAATCCATGGAAGCTCTCATCCATCACTTTAAATTGTTCACCCAAGGCTATCAGGTACCACCTGGTGCCACCTACACCGCCATTGAAGCACCCAAGGGTGAGTTTGGTGTCTACTTGGTATCGGATGGTTCCAGCCGCCCCTATCGTTGCAAGATCAAGGCCCCCGGTTTTGCCCATTTGGCCGCTTTGAATCATGTCGGTCGTCAGCATATGTTGGCCGATATCGTCGCCATCATTGGAACATTGGATGTTGTGTTTGGTGAAATTGATCGATAAATTATTGATTTGTTTTTAGATACATGTGATGTATGTTTTTTTCCTTCTTTTCTTTCTTTTTCGATACACTTGAGAAATGGATGATCATGGATTCCAGTGCATGATTAAAAAAAATAAATAAAAAAAGAACCGAATAGCGAAACACGAGATATATAGTTAAGCATATTTATTATTAAAAAAATGCTTAATCATAAAAATAAAACTGTGAAATTAGTTAAATCGATAAATACTATTTCTTTTGATTGTTGAATTGTTAGTCGAAGGAAGGAGACCGTTGTCTATATGTAGAACCACCATACAAAGAAAGAAAAATAAAATCCTTGCTACCTCTTGTATATGGGCGTAACTTGAACGAGTCATCTATGTATTAAAGACTTTGGAAAAATAGCGGCATAAAGTTCCTCTGAATGTTTTATTTTGAAATGTCATCTTTGTAAGGAAACCTATACAGAGGTGTTATAGACATCGAAGAACTAAGAAATGTCATCTACACATAGAAGATATCGCATACATGGAATTCTACTTTATACAGAGTGATATAAAAAAACTGCAACCAAGTCAAACGCCATAATTTTTAATTTTTTTGAATGAAATCAAAAATGTTGAAAATAGCATCAAATTTTAGAATAAGTTTAGATTTGTTCGAATTGGTCACCTTTGGTACGAATTATGGCCTTCAAGCGGCCAAGAAAACCGTCACACGCTGTCCGAATGTTGTTCTGGGGTATTTTGGCCCATTCCCGGCGAAACGCTTGCTTAAGGTGATTGACACTTTAATATTATTTAGTGCCAACCTTGCTTTCCAAAATACTCCAGACACAATAGTCCAACGGATTGGTATCCGGAGATTTTGGTGGCCATTGTACGCTGGAAATGAAGCGAGGAACCTCATTTTGTAACCATTCCTGGGTGGCGCGTGCTGAGTGCGATATTGCTGAGTCCTGTTGGAATGTTCAAGGTCTGCGGCCAAAATGTTTGCGGGCCCAAGGCTTTAAAACACCCTCCAGAATATTTTCGCGATAATATTCGGCATTTATTATGATGCCACATTCGATTAATACGAGCGAAGAGCGACCATCGACTGTTATGGCGGCCCACACCACCATCACCATTACCGGCGCTTGAGTTCTGGTGGCCAACCGAAGGTGCACATTTTGAGCTGACCTCTTTGGAAAGTAAACACTATAATTTTATTTGTTTACAAACTGCTGGACAACGAATGTTTTCTCATCGGAGAAAACCAAATTCGGCAGCTCATCATTTTCGGCATTTTCGAAGCAACTCTTTAGCTCTTTTGAGTCTATTTTCTTTCTATTGCGGTGTAAGTTCTTGCACATTTTGGAATCTCAATGGCTTTGCCCCGAGATTAACTTTCAATATTTGCCGATTGGAATATTACGATGCGATATGTTGAGCTCACTAGCCATTTTTCGGCCACTGCGATGGGGGTTTCGATCAAGTCGCTTTTTTTACATTTCGAACCATTTCTGCTGATGTTGCTGTTTTCTTCCGTCCACTTCGGGCTACGATACCAGTATCACGGCAACGAGCCCGACGATGGTACGAGACACAAAAGATTTATTCACATTTAAATGCTGGAGTGCTCTTACGATAGCCACTGGTGGTTTTCCAGCCAAATATAAAGAAATCACGCTTGAATTCCATCAAGAATAACTGCTTTTCTGGAAAATTATGACCAAAATGGTTTGGTACGCTTGTAAACGATATAATGAGATGTCACTGGAATAATTTTAACAGACAAGTCGGACGAGTGGCTTAGACAGCAGTCTAAAGTTGATTGCAGTTTTTTTTTATCTCACCCTGTATGTCTACTATGTTCTTGGGGGGTTTTAATGCCAACGGCGAACCGCCTAGCATACTGATTGATGTGTAGATTAGGATATTAAAAGCTCAACTCGAAAGAGAAGATTTTTAGAGACATTATGTACATCAACCTTCTAGAGGTAGACTGAAGATCTTCTAGAGGCCTTTTATTTGATTGAAAACATTATAAAAGCCCCTTCTTCATTGAATGTTTTCTATAGTTTGAATATTCTCTCGAAGATGAACCCATTCTATTTTTAATGGAAAGATCAAACTTGACTGAACATAACTAAGTAGATACATATTTTTTATTTTTTCAAATACAATCTTTTATAAATCTCCGAGCCTTCTCTGGCCAGCTGATCGGCCATTTCATTTCCTCTGATGCCTTTGTGTCCGGCAACATAATTCTGAAAAAAAGGAAATATGTTTTGAAATCCTCATCTTATGTATTGAAATCCTCATCCAATTTACCCATTTAATGTTTATTTGGCCATCACTCAACAGACTATCCAATTCCTTGAAATCAACTACATTCTTAACAGGATCGCCATTCTTTAGACGCCAATTCTTTGCCTTCCAGCCCTTTATCCACATCGTAATGGATTTGATGAGGAATTGTGAGTCCGTGGAAATGCATAACTTTTCAATGCCTAGATTTTTGGCAATTTTTATGGCATAAATTGAGGCTTGGATCTCACCAACATTATTTGTGACACGGCCACCAACAGGTTTACCTGCATTTCTATTCAAATTTCGAATGTAATTCAATGAAATAAAAAAATATATACAAAAATCTATTACAAAGGATGATTATCTCCAAACCAGACACCAAATCCTGCACATGCATTTGCCCGGCCATTATTGAAACAAGAACCATCTGTGTAGACTATGACATAGCCTTCAGAATCGATGTTAAATTCATAATCGCCTATATGTTTTAAGCCCGACGATTCACAAATTGTCGATTCATATCTTAGCATCTTACTGGAACTGTGACCCGGGTAGTCTTCATTTTTACGTTTCAATGATTTGGAGGAAGGCTGTGGTAGACCTTCCACTTCAGCCAATGCCATTAACTAATTAAAAAAGAAAATATAAAAAAAATTGGTTTTCCAATTATGCTTAAGTATGCAAATATTCCTCAAAATACCAAATCCTCATCGGTTAACTCATTGTCGTCAAAGTTATCACCATCACTTGGTGGCCAAAAATCTTCAATTTGTTTTACTGGTGCACATTTACTCTTGGAAGTAGCCGGTGTCCAGGATTTAGAAGGAGCCGGTGGTTTTGCATCAGCCAATGGTTTATTGTAGCCATTAATAAAATCTTCTGCAGCACTTTTGGTAGGAAATTTCTTATATCTTGCCCCACGATAACCCTTTATTTGTTCTTCACACTTTGCCCTGCAGTAAATTAACAAATGCTTTCATCATTCTTGTTTTATTCTTTTCTTATTTTGCTCTTACCAGGTATCATATATACCCACTTGTCGTCCTATCGCCACTGCATAATAAGCCATATTTCGTGCCGGTCTCAACAAAACGTTGGTTAATATCATCTATCTTCAAAGGTATATTACCTTACAGAAATTTCATAAATTAAGTCAGTTATCAAAAATATGAAGTAAAATAAATAAATATGGGACAATTTTTATTATTTAATTTATTTAATTATTTATTTTTTCTTGTTATTTTGTTATTAACGCCAACCCCCCGGTAGACCGCAAAAACATAGGGTTGTTTCACATGAAGGGTTTTCTCCCAAGGGTTTTTTGAGTGCTCATTCGTAAAATAACGCAATGTTGCAAAATGGAGTAGGAGAGAGATAAGAGAGTAAACAAAACGGGTATTTTCCCATGGAATTTGGAATGGATTTTCTTATTTTATAGCTAATTACTTTTCGAGTTCGAGACTTGTTTTAAATAAAGGCATGTTTATATTAAAGCTTTTTTTAGGGTTTAGGTGAGAATACAAAAAAAAAAAACGCTCTTTTGACTGGCTTAAGTCATCGGCTGGCTTTTTCGTGCAGAAACAAAGAAACTTTAGGTTGACTTAGTTCGATTTTGGGTTTACTCTCCTTTGTTCTTTTACGAAGAAGCCAGCCGATGATTTAAGCCAGTCAAAAAAGAATTTTAGGTATTCTCAAATTTAGCCTTCGTTATAAAGATTTATTTGAGGTATATATACAATGGAATTGACAATTTAAAACGACTGGGTTTTCCAAATCCTATACAAAGTATACGTAGTAAAACTATCAATATTTTAAATTAAAAAAAATCGCTAGCATGAAATAAGTTATCTTTTATGGGAAAACTATATCCATTTTTTCAGTAGTATTTAAGTTAACAAGATCAATACAAAATATTATAAAAAAAGAACCTGAATGATAAAAGAAAATGCAAAAATATCCAATAATTAGGTTTGAACATGGTAGAATTGAGAATTTAAGCTGGAAATACATAAAGCGCTTATCTGGCTGGCTTCTTCGTAGATGAACAAAGGAGTTTTAGGTTGAATTAGTTCGATTTTGGCCCTAGGCTCCTTTGTTCATTTCCGAAGAAGCCAGCCGATGACTTAAGCCAGCCAAATATGCTCTTTATGTATTTCCAGCCTTAAGATGTCACTACATAAGAAGCTTGAACTCATGGCTAGGCATATTTAGTGACATTTCATAAAGGGATTACAGAACCGCACTGAAATCCTGCCGTCGTTTTCCATTATAATTTGACATTAATATGCCTAGCCATAACCTCATTTTGTAACCATTCTTGGGTGGTGCGTGCTAAGTGCGATGGTGCTGAGTCCTGTTGGAATGTCCAAGGTCTGCGGCCAAAATGTTTGCGTGCCCACGGCTTTAATACACCCTTCAAAATATTTTGGAGCGGAGAGCGACCATCGGCTGTTATGCCGGCCCACACCATCACCATTGCTGGCGCTTGAGTTCTGGTGGCCAACCGAAGGTGCACATTTTCAGATGACCTCTTTGGCAAGTAAACACGATCATTTTGTTTGTTTACAAACTGCTGCATAACGAATGTTTTTTTCTTTTTTTTGAACGAATGTCATCGGAGTTCACCACTTTCGGCAAAGCGAATCAACTCTTTAGGTCTTTTGAGTCTATTTTCTTTCTGTTGCGGTGTAAGTTCTTGAATTTTTGTAATTTCAAGGCCACTTTACCCGGAACTCATTTTTTCAAAATTTGCCAAATGGAATGTTGCGATGCGCCATTTTCGGACACTGCCTCGCGTGTTTCGATCAAGTCGCTTCTTCACTTTTCGAAACATTTCTGCTGATGATGCTGTTTTCTGAGCGATGGTACGAGACACAAAAGATTTATTCACATTTAAATGCTGGAGTGCTCTAACGATAGACACTTGTGGTTTTCCAGCCAAATATAAAGAAATCACACTATCACGCTTGAATTCCATCACGAATACCTTTTCTTTTTCTGGAAAATTCTCACAAAAATGCTTTTGTACGCTTGTAAACAATATAATGAGGTGTCACTGGAATAATTTTAACAGCTGTCTGACGAGTGGCTTAGAAATGACATCAGTCTGTAGTTGGTTGCAGTTTTTTCATCTCATTCTGTAGATTCCACACACCGGGTTTAAACAAATCCGGTCCATTTTTATATGGTAAAAATTATGAATGAAAAAATTATGAATAAATCCGTATTAAGAAAAAAATCCCGATAATTTGGGTTAATTCGGATAAAAATGTGTATCTAAACGTTATAAGGTGCAAAAACATTCAATTTTTTTTACTAGTTTAAGTCATACGCTGGCTTTTTCGAAAAATACTACGCTCTCGATTAATTATCCAAAATATGCTGCATAAACGAACGAAGATTCTTTATTAGCAAGCAACCAAATTTTAAATAAAAATTCAAATAGCGTTGGTTTATCGAGCAAACTGTCATGTGGAAACGGCTAGTTGATTTTGGTTAAAAGGCTTGGTAGAAGAATACAAGTAGTCGCTTCGACACAGCTGTTGGGAAAATGAAAAAATATTGAAATTTTCAAAAATTGTTGAGAAATGCATATTATAATAACCTTCGATTTGCATCGTATAGGAAAATATATAAAAATCTACTTATTTTTTGACAAAACATATTTAATAATTTGACATTTCAATGATCCCAAGCGGTGATGCCTCTACCTTGTATTCCTTTTCTACTTAGTAGAAGAATATAGGTTAATCAACGCATAATATGTAAACATTTTTAAAATGTGTTGTCAAAAATAAGTAAATTTGTTATGATATGCATTTTCAAAAATTTTTACAAATTTAAAAAAAATGTTGGTTAAAATATTTTAAGTCCATAATTGGTTTGACAGTTCATTGTCCCAGCAGCTGTGTTGATGCGACTACCTGTATTCTTCTGCCATGGTAAAAATACATCAGTTAATCGATTTGTCCAAAGTCGACTTAGATACCCCTACATTATTTCCTGCGAAAACCAAAACAGGCAGTAGATCGGCTCTAGGGTCTATTATTTATTTATTAAAATAATATTCATAATGTTAACGTAGTGTCTCATTACAAAGATTAAAAAGGTATGTAACCATAATTGTACTCTCCAACGAACGAGCATATGGATAAATGACCAAGAGTAGCTGAATATGGTACTACAATGAACTAGGCCAAAGTTATATTGTGTGGTGTATATATGTATGAAGTATCTGTTGTAATTTTACATTGTGTGAAGTGATGAATAACCTATTGCTTACGCCCGAAGGAAGAAATAAAATAATACTTAAGGAAACATATAATATTTAGCTTGGCATTTCAATGAAGGCGTTCATCTAATAAAGGAGATTATTTGAAGCAACATTTCTTGTATTGGGGAGTACATACTAAGTACTTGTTGCGTGTTCGGTTTTTAATCAGATAGCTGCAGTCAAGAAGATATGTAGCATTTCATGTATCTAGTCTCTTATCAGGAAATTATCATATCATACCAATAAGTATGTGTGTTCTGACGAATGAGATTAAGCTATCAATTTAATATAATTTGTTTCACTATACTAAGTTTTTAATTATGTTTGTTTTTTTTTCTAGGTTTTATGCATCCATTGTTTATTCCTGGCCGTATATTGTAACAGTATGAACCCCAGAACATATATTGCAAGAGCAATATATGCCAAATTCCATAACGATTACTATTTAGATAAATATGATACAAAATTGGTAAGTATTTGTTGGTCTTCAACCTTGGCCTATGTCCAAAAATAACCATTTCCAACCATTTGCAGTGGTATACCGTCAATGCCGACGAACAGTTTGCCTACCGTAGTACATATGTTCCATTTGAAGAGCCTGATAACGTGACAATGGAATGGCTGGAGCAAGCAAAAAATAAAAACAATGTTTGGCTTCATATATGGCATGTTTTGGCCAGACAATTTCTACAATTTTTCATGACCCAAACCGATATCAATGGTTTCTTGAAAAGAGGATCAATGTTTATTCTTTCGGAAAATCAATTTGCCGTTTTACTAAAAGAAGGGGGATTTGATAGCCGCCGATATGATATGGTAAGGCCAGACTATAAAAAAACACTTCAAAATTATAGTTGTTAATTTTTAATCGAATACATATTTTACAGGTACGTTTCGTTGACATTGGTGCCGGGGATGGGCAAATCTCAATGGTCCTGCTAAAAGCCCTGCGTATTTCCAATCCCGATGTTGCTATAGAGGCGTATGCCACCGAGGCCAGCTGGACTATGCGGGAAAGACTTAAAAAAATGGACTTCAAAGTCTTGGAGAATCTCGACGAAGTAAGCAACGTCCAGTTTGTGTCATGCTTAAATGTTTTAGACCGCTGCATTGATCCCATACAACTGTTGGAGGACATACACAAAATCCTTGCACCCAATGGTCGTTGTATTATAGCTTTAGTTTTACCATATATGCACTATGTTGAATCGAATTCCTCGCATATGCCAATACGTCCGTTAATGCAACATTGGCCAACGAAAGCCAAACAGTATTCTTTTGAATCGGAGGCGGCCATATTTTTCCGGGTATTGGAAAATGTTGGTTTTCAAATTGAATCATGGACAAAGGCGCCATATTTATGTGAGGGAGATCTAAGACAATCCTACTATTGGCTAATAGACTTAGTAGTTGTGGTTTCAAAACGGTCCTAGCTACATTTTTAATTTAACTCCCTTCTTTCTGCCCCTTTAATTTAATATAAGTGCACACAATCATATAGAGTACATATATACACACATATACATTTGACTATATATTTAAAAAAAACTATGCATCAACTTAAAATAACATCGATCGATGTATTCAAACGCATTTAAATGTTTACAAGCTACAATGAAAAGAACTACATACACAGAAGCCTTCTTTACTTTATTTTTTTGTCTAAACTAAGTCGTCTCAATTGCCAAAGTATATTTGTAATAAACAAAATTTAGTTGATTCTTTAAATGGAGGAATAATACTGAAATTAGCCATAATGTCTTTTAAAAAATGCTGCATATGTATTTTAGATAATTAAAACTGTATGTGTAAATAAAAAGGAAAGTAAAAATGTTTAGTTTTATTTGAGCATCATAGTGGAGGAACTACCATTGTGTTTAGCTACAGTTTGATTTTTATTGTTGATTTTTGTTCCAATGGATGAAATATTTACTTTGGTCTGTAGATATCCACAAAAACGTTGGCCACCATTGTCATTTTAGCTATTAATTTTGGTTGGGTCGTGTTTGTTTTCTAACGGACAACAGTTTCTTCTTCTAACAGGTATTTTTGCGCGCCAGCTATCATTTTATTGTAGATGCCAACTTATTCCTGATTTTGAACATCATTTTAAGGCTAGTGCACATCATGGTAGACAATAAAGAGGTAAACAGTTTAACAAATACTATTTATAATTCATGTATGTGATACTGTTTAATCTTTTTCTTTATTTTTAATCAATGAACATATTTAGTAATAATAAAACCCACACAGAAGCAGAATGAGCTTGTAGCTCTGCAACACCTTTTTTGTACCATGAGCACACACTAACATTTTTGACTGTAATTTTTGCTCAAATATCGGTTGGTTGTCGTACGGCATTTCAATTCTCTCAATCACCATGCAAACAAAATTTTTTTCCTAATTTCTGGATATTCAGATTCAATAGGTTGTGTTGACAAGGAACCGACAGTGTAAATATCAATTCTGAGCCATTTTCTCGATATTTGTGTAAACCCAAAAGATTGGCTGTCTTCGAAATTTCAATTTTATAATATTTAATAGTGAAAAAGTAAAATTTATGAAAAAACAAATTCTCAATAAGATTTTGCCAGCCCTCACATAAACAGATGTCAAAATTGCTCTCCCAACTAACTCCTGGATCTTTAAGCTGTTCCCATGTTACAATAAAATCCAGGTAGGGCTATGATACCATATGATTTTAATTTTTTTTTTATTTTATTAGCTTAATTTGTTTATGTGTGTGTATTCTTTTCAATAATAAAAATATTTCCAATAATAAATATTCAAAAAGTGATTTGGTTTTTGGTAGTAATTCTGACATTACAAGCCAAATAGGCAGACCTCTTTACTTGCACTTTTTTTTTAAAGTTAGTCTACCTTGTCTTCATTGTACCATGCCATTGTTGTTCCTGTAATGCAACAATTCTAGTTTAGTAAAACAATTCTTTTAGGATGCCAACAGCTGTTTTCGTAATTAGCTACTACTTTCCTGTGAATTGCAACGATTGTTTATTTCTCTTTCTCGCCCCTCTATCCATTCCTTCTTTGGAGCACATTTCATTATTTTACTTTCCCAGCTGATTGCATTTCCTCAAGTATCTTTCGTAAACAAAACAGGCAAGCCCTTTTTGTTTTCTCCCACATTTTACCAGGCATTCTTATTTCAATCGTTTGGAACGATTTTTTATTTGGTGTGCAAGTGGAATAACTACACAAGAGTGTTCATTGGTGATAGACTTATTTAATTAACTTGCTAAATTCCAAAAAAGGAACACCAAACATGTCTGGCGTATTTGCTCCGGAATTTTTCTCGATTGCCCCACCATTGATGGATTTTGAGCAAGAATTGATTTGGTTTAATTTAACCGAATCCTTTGGCCAAAAAGTCGAATATGACAAGAGCAATCATATTAGCACCAATGCCCGTGAACTAATGGATTTGGCCTTTGTGCAGCCACTGAATTTGCAGGATCAGAAGCTGTTGCTAAATGAGTTGAGCAAGAATCCATTCTTTGTTTATCAAATTCGTTTGACACCAGATAAGGTAACGATTTTTTTCAGTTTCTTGCCGTTAATTCATTTCAGAATAAATTGGGTTTTTTCAGCTTCCTCGCCTAGTTGAAAATAATCCTATAATTTCGATAGAAATTCTTTTGAAACTTATGAATTCATCGGAAATTACAGAATATTTTCATGTATTAGTTAATATGGACATAACGCTACACTCCATGGAGGTGGTGAATCGGTTGACAAACACTGTCAACTTACCGAGTGAATTTCTACATTTATACATTTCCAATTGTATATCGTCGTGTGAAAATGTCCGAGATAAGTATATGCAATCGCGATTGGTGCGCTTGGTGTGCGTCTTCCTGCAGTCCTTGATACGCAACAAAATCATAAATGTTAAGGCAAGTAAATCTAAGATACGTAGCTTGTTTGATTTTATACTTGTTCTTGTTGTCGTCATCCTTTAGGAGCTTTTCATAGAAATCGAGACATTTTGTGTGGATTTCAATCGCATCAAGGAAGCTGTTGCCCTATATCGCCTGCTTAAACATTTGGAAATGGGCGAGTTACAAAATACCAGCAGTGGCAGTGGTAATAATGGTGGTGGTGGTGGCGGTGGTTCGAATACATCATCATCGTCGTCCTCAAATAAAAGTGAAAAGAATTTAAGCAAATAAAACGTTTAGCTAGTAAGAGTATACAAATGGCTTGTTTCTGAATCCGCCATCCCCCTTAGTCATCAATTTGAAATTTAGTGGAGATTTGTTAGTATGGTTTTTACAGTACATTTATTCTTAGCCAATATTTGTTTTGTTTTTTTATCATTTTACAATTACATTCTAACCTAATAACCATGCTGCAACATTATCGTTTGCAGTGCCCGCTTAATTTGCGGACTTGTATTCAACTTCGATTTAAGACCTAAGGCAAAGGATACTGATAAGATTTCCCGGGCATGTTCCTGTAACAGCAAACACATATCGGTTAAATTATCCATGGCTGTTGCAGCCACAGATGAGTTGTCGTCTCGCAAACACTGGATATAGGCATTGAGAGTACAGCGATTGACATCTGTGCGGCCGGGATTGTGTTTGAGGTGTCGTATCAGCAATATAAAGGCATTGCTACGTATCTGGGCACTGGAGGAAAAAATCAATTCCAAGAGACGATCAAACAGTTCGCTTAGGAAATTGAAACGTTTCGATGTGAAACTTTCAATTTCTTGCAGGGGTCCCAATATTGTATCCTCGGCCGTGGAGTGTTTGACAATTTTTATGAGGTTGGCAAAGTGTGGGGAAATTGAAGTGGATTTATTCAGAGATCCTGAAATGGCTACTGTTACCGCGCCCCGGGAATTTATGTCCAAATTTGAAAGCTGATAACTGCCGGATGAGTCTGTGGAATCGGTTTCCATGGGGGCAGCCACAACCGCAGAGGTGGTGGTGGTGGCGCTGTTGGATGTGCTTGCACGATTGTCATTGTTCGAGTAGGATGACTCTTCAAAATCGAATTCCTGTTTGACCTCAACATTGCTGTTGTGCGACGAGGTGGTCTTTTGTTGCAACAATGTAATGCCCTGAACCAATTGATGTAGAGATGATATGGAATTATAACGACTGGCCAAATCCATTAATACATCCACATATTCATGTTGTTCTATGAACGCCAAAGCAGACGAGGGATTTACATTGATATAGGCCTGCAGCAGTTCAATTAACTTAATCAGGATGTGGTAGGCCTCCTTGACATTGCTGTACTGCTGGAAGAATGTAAAGTAACATTTCAGGGCCGATTGGAATTCCTCCTTGTAGATGTCATCAAAGCATGTGGGTTGCAATAGTTCCAATGTCCTTAGGATCTGGATGAACCGATGCATGTGATATTCGTCGCGTATGACACGCAAACTCAATTGGCCGAGGCCTTGTATCAAGGACGACAATACACCCAATTGACGGAGAAATAGAGCCGGATGCGAGGCAGCTATTTTGCGTATCAGCAATTCAATGTCGCTCGACAATGCTTCAAAGTCTTTTTTGGTCAACAAATTGCCCAGGCAGGTGATGAGATTCGAGGTCACCTTGTCCGCCTGACACCCATTGAGATTTTGTAATTTATCCGCATAGGATTCTATCTGTTGCGAGCGTATGAACTTAATCGAGGGATACATCAGATACATCTGTCTCAAGACGCTGAGGCGCAATTTTTCCGGACTTTTCGTGGACTGGCAGACGTGTTCGATGAAACGTATTAAATTCCTGGTGTTCTTTCGGCATATGCGAAACAGCAAATTAATGCGACAGGATAAGATGAAGGGATATTGTGAGGCAGAGGATTTGAATTCCATTTCGCCCTCCTTCAATATGAATTCGGTAAAGGTTTTCAATTCGCCATCCACTAAGTTAATGACATTATCGGTGAGATCTGTCTTTAAAACGGTGCGGTCTCGACCTTGCCACAATTTCGGGTTGTGTATCAGAGCCTCAATGAAATTCAGCACTGTGCTATAGTCCAAATCCTCGGCTTCATTGTTAGCCGACCTTAACATGTACTCCAAGCTATGTATGAGGGTATTCCAATTGGTCTCATGACAAATCCATGATAGCATGTAGAAACGGAAATCTCCCGATCTTTGGGAGAATAGCAAAGGAAGATCTTCCTTCAAGAAATCACAGCATAATTCGGGATCATTGTCGGCCAACAAATCCACCAACATGCCATTGCTGTAAAATTTACTTGGCTTCAGAGATTTCCGTTCATTCCTAAATTCCCCAAGGACTTGTTGTAATGTGAAACGTGTTGGCTTTACAAGGGTGGTATTGCTTTCCCGTGTTGGGGTAACCTCCAAAGTGCTGGCAATTAATTTCTGCATTGTCTCTGCAAAGAAAATGGGCTCGAATTTTGTTGTCAACGTTTTGAAAAGTGGTAAATTGTTAGAAGCCGATGCTGCCGATATGGGACATAATCTTAAAAGTGAACGAAACAGAGATACCGCCTGATTGCCATCCAAAACGTTCAGCAAGAGATTTTCCAAATTTTTGTGGCCTAAAATCTGTTGTGTTATCACTGCGTCCTTTTTGCCATCCAACTCCAAGAGATAGTGGATTAGAGCATGAAAGTCGGCATTTTGAAATTGCTGGCGTTGCGACCAATTAATAACCCGGTAAAGATTCTCCTCTCCCCCGTGGCTATGCTCCGGCTGCTGCTCGCCTACGACTGAAGGCATTTCTAGCTCCTCCAGGCCGATGGGTTCCAAAACATCAATTTTGATTTTCGGATTATCTTCCACAGTCTGCGAATGCGAATACAGACCCAAAGCATTGACGGTATAGTGACCATTTTTGGCCCCTCTTGCCTGCTGGATTTCAATCAATTGAGCCAAATAGGCCTTGTTGAGTATGGCATTCTTAACCGTGTCAAATTGTTCGATTACCGCATGATCCAATAGGGCCAATAGCTTGGACATGGAATTGATAGGTGTGCCGAAATTCTGAACAAACAATACAATTTGATCGGGTGTTAGCTCACGTATGGCGGCCTCGATTAGACGATCCACTGAAGATCTAATCATTTTCAATTTCAACCAATCCGGCAGTAGTTGTACGGGCTCTTGCGGCATATTGGGAATGTAGGCAATGGGTACATTGCCATCCACCGGAAACCAATAATCTAAAATTGGCACAGACTCCGGCATTTGATTACTGCTGTGCGTTAGCAGAATAATAAAGGCATGGATGATATTCAAATGCAGCGGCAATTGAACGCCATCGTTGAACTGTACCATTAACAAATCCGGATACTCATTCCATTGATAGGTCTCATGATGATCCCGCAATTTAATTATGTAGTTGTTGAACATGACAAATAAACATTTGAGGGTTTGCAGGCGATTTTCCTCATCCATACGTGTTTGTTCGTCAAACAGCAGGGTCTCGTTGCTGCCATCTGTCAGGGGAATTATGTGCTGGAACATGGTGCTACGTTCCACAATCAATTGGGCCATATCAATGACATGATCCAACATATCGGTCACCGAATCATCGAGCGTATTGGCTGCTATGAATTGTATGTAGGCCATTACCAAATCGGGACAATTTTCCACCTGGCATGCCGACCGCAGTTGGGGTATAATGAAAACTCTTACCTCATTGAAATGCGGTATCTGGGGTATTGAACTCAGCAACCAATCATTGCCGGACATATCGGAACTTTTAAAGATGATTTTTAGACCTCTCAAAGCCGAAACTCTTGTCGTTTTTACCGTGGAACATAGACGCCGGAAAATGTAGTCCAATATTTCACATGTTTGTTTGCTATAGGCCGGATCCATGATGACATTTCGCAGAAAATTCACCAATTCCGCATCACGGCTATTTTCCTCGTTGATAACGCTGGCATTGAAGAGTAAAAACTCACACAGGCATTGCACGGGTAGGTGATTGAAATCGCCATCACTATTTTGCACCAAATCCGAGAGCCATGGCATTGATTGTGAGGTGCCCTGGCGTTGTATTATGTCCAGCAACAGATCCGGTTTACGGCTGCGACACAAAAGATGCCCAATTTTCAGCAGTTTATTCAATGAGCGCAATTGTTCAAGAACACCGGCGGGCAGTCGTCGCGCCACTCCCATGGGATCCATTAACATTAGCTGAGACGTGAGTATGGCATTTTCTTCGGTAATCACGGCCTGTGATGTTTGAGCCGCCAAATATGATTCAAATTCAACAATGTGATCACGTTCCATTGGTATGATCTGGTGAGAAAGAAAGATAAGCAAAATGAAATAAAAAATGTATTTTAATTTCAAAGAAAAATTTGCCGAAAAGCATAATCTTCATTTTCTGGAAATTTACGTTTGGGATCTAAAGTGTTCCCTCAAATCTGCCATATCCTAATGGTTAACCACTCACATAAACTTAATGACAATTGCAGCGTTTTTCAGGCAGGGATTCTTGCAAATATGAAGGCAGCCGAAATTATAAAAGAAATCTGAAATGGCATAAGAGGCCAGTAACAATATTTGTCTGTAGTCAGATGGCCCTTAAAGCTCAAGAACCAATAAATCGACAACCATTTCTGATTTCAAGAAAGACCTCATTGAAATATTTGAATTCATTAACTTTTGTTGAGTTCCAGGACATGGCAATATAGGGGGGAATAAAGAGGGTTATGAATTAGCTCGAGGTGGTCTAACAATGGCTGAAACTGTTAAACCACCTAGAAGTTATTATGACAACTGTTTTCAAAAATCTCTCACCGAAGAAGCTGGATGAAGAGGGTTTGGACTTGCAAAACGGTTAAAGGGTATCTTAGGCCATATGGCCGGTAATTTTGAGAAGAAAAACAAGCTCCCTTCTACCATTTAGTAGGTCTGATCCAAAAACCGTGTCAGGCATAGTGGAATAACGGTGTTTCTGACTACTGAAGACTATGTGAATGTGAAGAAATTAAGACGATTGAACACGCAATATGCAGATACCCCTTGTACTCCCATGAAAGACATAGGCTAGGTATATGATCTTCTCAGACATAGATCTTATCATCGTCTGCAAGTTTGCTTAAAGTATCCAATGGCTAAGCAGACCACCCGGCTCCTGGGTTCTGTAGTTGATGACATATGTGTCAGGGTGAACAGGAGCTTGCCGTCTTCCTCCATGCGAGGAATATGAAAATATCCGCCACTAAATCAACGGCCACACTATTTACCACAGGACGAGTGGGGCATAATTCCAACCACTAACTAACTCAAAATCCTTGGGCTCACATTCGAGCCAAGTCTTCCGCACAAGCCAGAGCTATCTGCGATAAACTGAAAAGTAGGAACAAGGTCCTTAAGGCGCTAGCCGGCAGCACTTGGGGTGCAGATAAAGAAACCTTGTTGATCTCTTATAAAGCGAAAGGTCGTTCTGTGGTTAGCTATGCGGTTTCAGTGTGGTCTGCGAATACGAGTGCAATGCAGTGGAAAAATATGCAACAGGGTGCCTCCTCATGACTCCTGTGGACCATTTACATGAGGAAATGAAGGTTCATCCCTTACGTCAGCATAAGCATATGCTTTCGTTCCTGCCTGGGTGTTATCGTGGGAGTCATCCTTACCACCATATGGTAGACAAAACTCCTCCACCCTGGCGTGTCAGGAAAAACCAGAAAGATAAAGAGGTCCAGCGATATCGGACAGAGCCCCTAGATCATGAAAGCCTATTAAGCGGGTCTTAATGCAGTCGCAGACGTAGTTAAAAATTACAGTATGAATACCATCCTCGGAGTCCACCCTCCATCCATTATAGCTAAAGAACGTCGGCTGCCTAGGCAAACCGGGGTAGTTTTGGCCTAACTACGTTCAGGATGGTGCAGCCGTCTTAATTCATATTGGGCACGAATTGACAAAGATGTGCGGATCAGCGTGCGATACAGCCCGCGCACTACGCTGCAATTGTCCAGCCAAGGCTACCCAACTCCATCCAGAGGATTTCTGGCTACAGCCCATAAAGGTAGCAGAATTCCCAAGCCTGGATATCGAAGAAGAAATGGAATAAACAGTCTATAAACAACAGAGCATGTTATCGCTGTTACAACAACAACAACAACCCTGCTAATTATATTACTCTCTAAAACCCCTTTCTCCTCTTGCCCTCGTTTCCATATCTCTCCTATTGCCAATAACTTTCTTCTTCCTGGAATGAACTCAATGGACCACATGGTCTCCGAGTAAAGCAGTTCCCAACTCTCGGGTAGCTTCACATCCTCAAATTAACCAACCAACCAGTCGCTCAAAAACTGACCGATTTATAGATTTTCTAACCCCTTAGATGCGTTTTATACAGGTCCAGGTTTATCGCTCTACTAAGCTCTACAAAATATCCTCGAGTTTAGCTCCAGTGGTCCATGAACAAATTTACCTTTTAAAACCTTAAAACTAATTTTCTTTCACTCACTCACCTGCAACTCCTCCTTGGTCATGGTCGACTCATTAAACTGATTGGTTATGCACATTTCCATTAGCATTTTCATTGTGGGATAATGATTCCAACAAAAAGCTCCAAACGTTGAGGGATTATGGGCGGATATCATCAACATTATCAGCCATGCCTTCCAGTACAATACGGTTATGGCCAATTTGGGCGGTTCATAGTCCACGGGTAAATTGATATTTTCCGGATGATGATATTCGGCCATGTTGAAAAGGAAATCGATAATGTCGAATTTATTTGCCTGCACCACAGGGCAGCTGGTAATGCGCATTGTTGAGGCCCGTTTAATTAACGAGATTATTATGTCAAATGTATCCGGTATGGTAAAGGGAATCTCCTTTGTGATACCAATCAGTATGATCCTAATAAGGGTGTCTTCATGTATGGGCGTCTCGGAAACCAATCGAAGCAGTGTGGTTCTCTCCGGCTCCGACGGCCATTGATCATATCTCGAATATTGTTCGGCATTGTCGAGAAGTAACATTTTATGCAGGCCATTATAGTATTCGGTACCCTGCAGTTTTAGGGCGGGCACAATTTCATACATCCACGATACACAGTCCAATTGGATTTGACACATTTGATTGTAGAACTTCAATAGTATTGCATTATTTGCAGCATTATCTTTGGTCACCCTCAAAGAAATGCTTGCCTCGCGCACCTGTGGCGATACGGACAACAACATGCACAGACATGCAATATCAACCATGGAGTGGAAAATGCGATCTCTAAACTCTGAGTTTTCAATTTGTTTGTTCAACTCGGGTCGGCCGTTTAGAAAGACTTTACAAAACACCACCAGATTAATGTCATTGCGCAGCATGCGCACCAGTTCCCTTAGAAATACACGCAGGGTGCGCAGGCAATCCTCGCGTTGCAATAGAAATTCCTTATAAATTTCAGCCAAGCACTTGGCCGATTCATCAGGGGCCGTTTGGAACATTGTGGCTGAGGTAAGAAAGACCAAATTAATTTAAAAAGAAGCATGAAACCTCGGCAAGAGACTTACCCAACATGCCCATGTTATTCGGGTTACGTGTATTGGACAATTCATTTTGCACCACCAGCTTTAGGACAACATTCAAAATACCCGGTTCCAGGCGTATCATCTCCTTGATACATGCCATATAGAAATTGATCAAAGGTTTCGCCTTCAAACGCATCTTAACCAATATGGCCAACACTTCGTGATCCTTAACATGCTTGGCCCGGACATTAAAGCATATATAGGACAACAGTTCCTGGGCAAACTTCACCAATTTGCCATTATGGATCCATAGCTCTAAACGTGATATACACAAATGTCGTACCTCCACCAGGCCAGAGGTGATACACAGGAATTTAAGAAAATTCCTTGTATAGCATTCCTGCTGTTGACGTTTATTCAATTGTTCCTTGATGGCCTCGGTTACATATTTCTCCACAATACGTTCCGAGTCTACATAGCGATTTTTGGCATCGAAGTATGTATCACCGCCGCTGAGCTTAAATTCTGAAGGCTTGGCCGAACCACTGGCCTCAGAGTTGTCACACGAGTCATCATCAACATTTATTGCCAAATTTTGTTGATTACCACCACCCGCTGTCGGGGTAGTCATTGTTGGTGTACCAGCACCCGACGCACTACCATCCGACTGCAGGAATGTAAGCTGGGGTTGGCGTGTCTTAAACGCAGCAGCAATATTCTTTATGAACGGGGCACACAAACTATTGTCCGACCAGAAACGATCATTGATGGCATCGTCAATATAGATGCGCATAAATATTTCCGGCCATTGCCGTTTGTCTGCGTAGACACGCATCAACAGGTTACACGCCAACACATGGGAATATGAACTTTGTCGCATTTTCAAATTAAAATCTCTTCGCAGAATGTGCAACAGACCCGATGTTATAATATCATTATTAAAATAATCCGGATGTACCTTGGCCAAATACATGATGCTCAACATGGCAATCATATCCGGCTTGGATTTGGCATACGATGAAATTATGTTTTTAATACAACCACAGATGAGGCGTACCAATGTCTCGTTATCATGCTGTTCGGCAGCAGTTTGTATGGTCTCAATAATATCCACCGAATCACAATCGGTTGCCATCTGTTCCCAAAGTTCATTGGATGGCGCAACGATGCCAGCGCCCGCACCTTCAGCGGAACGAACCGATGAGGAAAGTTTTGGTTTTTTCGCCGCCATCAGGGACGATGATGCTGCACCTGTCGCATCTCTTTTGCGATCAACTGCTGTGGAGGTGCTTGCCTTGCTGATGGGTAACTTGGCTTTGGTCTCATCACCTCGATTGTATCCCTTCGAGCCGAGGGCAAAAAATTCACTGCTTGCATGGGAGGAGACTTTTTTCGGAGCCCTCGAAGATGACAATGGAACTTTATTGCGATCCATTGTTAGTTTATACGTGGTTTATAGTTTTAAAGCATTTATTTTGTTTTTTTATTTTGAGCGATGGGGAAGCGTATTTTCTTAATTGAAGTAAGAATTGGAATCGCTAGGGATGCGTTGTTCCAGAACGAACTAGTTCAAAGCTTGTATTTCGTGAATGATACGATCGGAACAAAACAGAATTAACACCCTGTTTTATTCCTCTTTATGGAGTGTGAACAAATTCAGTGAGCTTCTCAGGCTCGGTGAAGAACTGTGTACTGGATTCAAGAACTCGCCCATAAAAAAATAAAAAATATTTGAGCTATGAATGGAACGAACGCTCACTGAAATGAACCAAATTTGACAACTCTATTGAAGCACCACTCAGCTGATTGCTAATTGTAATTAGGGATATGTAGGTCGACTTTCGGCATTGAAGTCTAAAAATCGATTACGACTTTTGCCCGTTTTAAGAATCGATACTTAACCCTTTACAGTTGATTTTTAATGTTTGCTCTTTTCCGGAACATGAAATAGTGTACATAGAGAGGGTATATATCATTTAATACGACCAAAACGTGCCTCATCGAAATAATGGTTTTTTTTCAGGACATTTGAAGTCGATCTAAGATGTCTGTCTGTCTGGCTGGCTAGTGCGCACGATAACTCTCGAAGGGAGTATCCGATTTGATCCAAAGTTGGTACATCGTAATATTATTGTCAAACTTAGATCGAGTTCGGAGATAAGCAGTATCGGTCCACTCCATCTGGTACCTCCTACACAAAATTTCAACATTTTCAAAGAAAATAATTTACTGCACAGAAAGGGAAAGGATAATTCCAGGTCAGGTGCACTCCTTCTTGCGCCTTCCCCATAAAGGTTCAAAATTTTGGGTATCCATGAAGCTCATAAAATGCGAAATTAACATCCGATTACACTCAGACTTGGTACATCTCAATATTTCTATCAACACAAGGTATGTTATAAAGATGGTAGAGATCGGACCATTCCTTCTGGTGCCTCCCCCACAAAATATGAAAGTTTTTAATAACCGAAACGATTATAATATCCGAAATAAGCTTCTGGTTTTCTTCATATTATTATCCCATTATTTCTACTAACTCAAGATCTGTTGTGAAGATAGGATATATTGGTCCCGTCCGTACCTCTCCCACAAAGGATCAACATTTTGAATATCCATGAAGCTCATAAAACAGGAAATTAACATCCGATTGCATTAAGATTTGGTACATCTCAATATTTTCATCAACACAAGATCTGTTATAAAAATAGTACAGATCGGAGTAGTCCTTTCGGTACCTCACCCACAAAGAATTAAAATTTTGAATAACTAAATGATTATAAAATCCGAAATAAGTACCGAATTCTCTTCCTATTTCACACATCCGATGATTTCTATTAACATAAGCTCTGCTGTGAATATGGGATATATTGAACCACTCCTTCTGGTACCTCCCCAACAATGGGTCAACTTTTGAGTATCCATGGAGCTCACAAAACGCGAAATTAATATCCGATTCCATTCAGACATGGTACATCTCAATATTTCCATCAACACAATATCTATTATAAAGATGGTAGAGACTGGACCATTTATTCTGTTACCCTCCCCACATAGGGTTCAAGATTCCGAAAAATAAAAGCTCAAAGAAAGCGAAATAAACATCCAACTCTCCTCAAATTTTACACATACAAACATTTTTGCTAACACAAGATCTGTTGTGAAGATGATATATATCTGAGGTACCCCATCTGGTACATCAACCACAAAGGGTCACAATTTCCAATTGTATTAAACGTCAAGCCTTAGTTTTAAAAAATCGAACGGTTTTTTATTTAGGACTCATTTATTAAAAAACAAAAATACTAAAGTACAAAAAATACATGGAAATGGAATATAGACTAGTACAGTGACATACGACGAATGGTCGCAACTATTTCACCTTCTCACTACCAATACTGCTACTACTTGTAAGAGTATTTTCCGCCTCCCCGTCAATTGTTGGTGAATTTTTATTTTTCTTTTTAAGTTTTCGCATAATTTTTCCAACAAAGGAACGCGGTTCATCCGAGTCCTGTTGTTCGACAACAATTTTTTTCGTTGCCACACTATGTATGGGTCCAAAGGCCAGTGCCACAACGGTGCAGGCCAAACATATCACATTATATGGCATACTAAAGTCGGGGGTGGGCAGTGATAAAATCAATGACTCAGTACGTATGGTGAGGATATAGGAATTTCGGGTGGCATTAAAAGAGTCCGAGAAACGATAACCACTCAATGGTATGGCTGTGTAATTGCGAGCCATTGTCAGTTGGGTCGTTATAACACTTGATCCCACATAATGTCCGTGATTGGCATCGGGAGGATATTCCAGCCATTTGAGAAATATATAATCGAAATCCAATGATATCTCCACAGATGATTTGCTGGGAATTTTAAAGGCCAACTCTAAGTAGTATGGACGTGTGCGTTGTACCCCGGGCCGATATTGTAGACTATTCGGCTGTATCAACTCGCCTGTTTTGTGATTTTTAATTTGCAACGTATGTATGTAGACCGGCATATACCATGGAATATTCTCCTGTAGCACTATGGGCAATTCATTGTAATAATTATTGGTTATTTGTGTAATGATTTTACCCTTCTCCTGACCATAACCCACAATGTTTCGGTGTGCCAATAGCGGCGGTGGGGTGGGGCTAAGCACCTGATGTTGTGGTTTCCTCAATACCCATGCAATGTTGAATAGTTTTTGGTCTTTGAGTTTTTGTATGTCATAAACACCATAATGACTGGTTTGTCCACCTCTCGTCGATGTTATATTGTATTGCGGTAAAGGGGTCATTTCATAGGGTAATGGTAATTCCAGATTAACATATACCTTACTGCTATCTGCCAGCGGGCAGTGTCCATTGAGGCCCTGTCCAAACATACGCCTTAGGGAAAAGTCCAAATTATTTGTAGCACCCACAAGCTTTGGATCATATACCATATTAGCTGATTCCGTGAACTCCAAAATGCACTCATCCTGGTTGTTGCACAATGTACGGAACTTAATACCCAACGAATGATAGTTGGTGTTGTGTACATGTCCGGAATTGAGCAATGAAGCAAATCCATGGCGACTATTACAGGGTAACAGCTTCTTCCAGGGTGTTAAATTCTCAGTGCATACAATTTCTCGCGGCAAACTGGAATAGCGTACATGTTTGGTCAGATTTTTAGTCGACGAGCTTACAAATTGTGGCTTAAAACCATATTGTGGGGTAATTGTATTCGTTTTATCCATAAAATTCAAAGAGGCACAGATGATACCGGAAAATGTACTTGTTACCCGTTTCCATTGTTCATCGACATCGGATTCGGTGAGGTTTTCTCCAGCAAACCATGACCAGGCCTCGGCTCCGGGTGCGGCATCTTGCACTGGATAACCCCAAGATTCATAACGCCACAAACCTTGTGTCAATGTAATGTGGAACTCCTTAACATCAGAGTAAAGTAGAATTTCGGCAATGGGGCGGGGTATCAAACGGGTATTGTGCACTGTGCATGAGATAAGAAAATGGTTTAGTGAAATAATGATAAAATGTTCAATTCCATGCAACTACTCACAATTTTCCTTGCTCCCGTACCGCCAGCGTGTTGTAAACTGGAAATAGGTGTTAACAAAACCATTTGCCAATGGCTGAACTACCAGTTCTTCGTGGTACTCTTCATTGTTGGCCAAGCCATCTTTGCCATTGTTGTTCTTTGTTGAGGTTGCCGGTAATTGTTTTCTGTTTTCATTCAAGCCTTCTCCTGTTCCATCCAATACTGTTTGAGTGAAAATTCTTGTGGTCTGCTGTCCTAGTAGTAATACCAGGATACAAAATATTGACAAAGGATTTGCCATTTTCCTTCCAGGATACATGGCCTGTTTCCTCCTTATTCCTAAGATCAACTAGGGATATGTAAGTCGATTTCCGATTAATCCGATTAATCGAATAATCGACCATTAGTGTTTAAAGTTCTGAAACTCGGCTATGGACTTGGGTAAAAACCGAGTACTTGACTATTCATAGTAGATTTCAAATTCCAATGTGTTCTGCTCAACTTATGGCCTGTTCCAGAACTGCTGAAATGTACAAGTTTTTACTATGATAACCACCGATTTTCGCTGTATGATATCGAAAAGAAATTGCAAAACTAGGAGATTCTTGCAGGTTCTGGAACAGTCCTTTAATGCGAGATGAGTTGGTTGTTATTGTGGTTGAGTAGGGCTTCTAAAGCGCGCGCGCACTTCTGTCCAATTGTTTTGTTGTAGAACAGAGCGAATGCGCGCGTAGGAAACCAAAATGAAAAGCGTCCCCAACGAAACGAACATAAAGGCCAAAAAGGGAATCCTTAAAAAAAAATAAACAGAAGCAAAATCGCCAAGGGACCTTTGTCGTTTGTATACGAATGAGACATGAGGTAAGGTAAACTGAACACATTCACTAAAAGACCTTATCTAAAAAATAATCAAAAGGCAAAAGCGTTCCAACCACCAATTGTAATACTTCAGCGCCATAACAGAAACTTAACGAAAGGAAGGTACAACAAAATAATGAAAAAAGAACAAAAAGAAAGAGCATCATTATCTTGTTTCCGAACGGAGGAGAGATATAGCAAAAAACATACAAGAACAGCTGACAGGAAAAAAGAAGGAAATGTAAGTTCATCGGTCGCATTTAAAGGTTATATCGTACAAAATGCATATGCGGGCATGAATGGAAAAATGAATAGACTTATGAAAAATGACATATATGTGGCTTCAGATCAAGGGAGTACACTTCAAGGCCAATGTCATCAGAATTGCAGAATACCTCTTTCATTATATTTTATTTGTATAACCCCACAATTTATTGAAGCGTATCATGGTAAAAGAGTACAGGTAGATGCATCAACGCTTGGGAACATTGATATGTCAAAATTTTTAAAATATTTTGTCAAAAATAAGTACATTTTATATGTTTTCTTATACGACGCAAATCGAAGGTTGTATGATATGTATTCTTCAACATTTTTTACAAATCTTAATAATATTTCATTCAAGATTTTCAATTCCAAAATTGGTTTGACAGTTTATTGTACCAGCAGCTGTTTCGATGCGACTATGTGTATTCTTCTACCATGGAGGGTATATTACATTAGTGATTCCATTTTTAACATCTCGAAATATAAATACCATGATAGAATCAAAAAGGTAAATTTATATAAAATAATAATTACCAGCTCTGAATTTCCTGCAATTTACCTTGTCAAATTTAACTGCACAAAAATAAGATCCCATCCCTGATTTGTGTATATACAATGGATTTGTAAATAAAAAATTTGATAATGAGATGTTGTCAAAGGTATAATTTTGAAAAAAAAAAAATGTAAACACCATGATATATTTTCTTGATCAGCATAAAATTTGGCGTTGTGCGTCCGTCTCTGGGAATCACTCTAGCTTTCGAAAGAAATGAAGCAGGTTCAACAAATTTTGCTTTGATGAATTTTATGTCTTTAGAACTTTTGGTATTGAAAATGAGCCAAGTAGGTCCACGTTTTCGTATATCCTCCGTATTACTGTACCGCAAGATTTAAGTTTTTTATTCACAACTAAAAACCGAATTTGCTGTAAATTGGAAGTTTGTGTTTCCAACATGTAGGCAACATCTTTGCATAGAACTGATAATATAGGTCCATGTGTTGGTATAGTCCCCATATAACTGTAACTCCGGTATTTTAATGATTTTAGCTATATTTTTTAACAGAATTTTCTTGGTATTTGGAGTTCGTAATAGGTGCCACTCTCTCTGGCAGATAATTGGCTATAGAAATCTGCTTTCGGTACTTTTGATGATTAATGACAAATGACAGAAAATTTCGCAAAGCCCCCATATAATGGTACCTCCCATATTTTACGTCTTGCAAATCCCTTCTAAGTGGTGGCACCCATGACACAATTACAGAAGATAGATCAAAGCTACCCCCTAAGTACAATTTTTTCTTTTGGTGCCCCTATTCTGTGAAAACGTATACACAGTTTGTATATGTGTGTATTGTTTTAAATAAAAATGAAAATAATTTGAAATTATTTCAAACTTAGAGACAACATTTTCAAACAAAAATTCACATTTTCCACGTTAACGGACAATGAAATATATAATTTTGGGATAAAACAATCTTGTCCTACTATCTTGGATTCAATTTTTTGGAAAAAGACCAATATTCAAGTTTTGTGGATTTTCCCAATATAACAATTTTACACAAACAAACGAATTTTAAAAAGCCCATTTGACATAATAGACTCCAGTACAGAGTCGTATTTTCATAGTTTCCTTGAAGTTGAAGAATATTTCTTATTGAGTACCTAAAATAACCAACCTACCTTGTTACTTTTTACAAAACAAATGCTTTTATCACAATTCCTAAACTAAAAACCACATATTAGGATCTCAATTTACACAATTTTGTAAAATTTGACCAATTGTACATTCACTGCACCGTAAAATGTTAGAGAAGGATTTTATAGTACTTTGCCAATATATATACATTAATGTGAACATCCCTTATATGGTAGCTGAATAAGAATGAAAAGTACCGAAAAAATACAACTCTGTGTGGTAAGAAACAGCTGAATCGAAACCAGAATAACAATGAACACATTTTAACTCTGAACCGTAGGTCGCCAGTCCGCAGTAAACAACAAAAGTATTTGTGTCTGGGTAGTAGACAAGGTGGTGTAAGATGAGAAAAGTCATGCGGCCAATTATTTCTAACCATGCTACAGAATTAAAAAAAATAATACATCTATTAGGTTACCTCCCAAGTAAAAAAAAACATGTAGAAATTTTTGGTGTTTTTTTTTTATAATGTCTATTAGATTAACATATTTATGTTTGATTAATATGACTTAATTTTGTCTTGGTTTTATATCTACTAATTACGTTTTTTCTCCTCTCACCATCATCATACATCACGTTACTTTTGCTTTCATCCGCTTTTTGTGTGCTATTCAGCAAAGTGCGTTAGTAAACATCGCTGGTAGGGTAATATAGTCATAAAAACGGAGAAAAATTTGTCAATGGAAAAAACTTGAAAAATTTGTTTAAACATTAACAAAAAAAATGTTTTCTACTATTGGCGAGTCTTAGCTACTATTAATTTTCTTTACAATTTTTTATGTTACAACTATTTTATAAGAAAGAATAAGAATATCCAACTCTGAAATTTCTGAAATTTACACTGTCAAATTTAACTCAAATTGTTCATTAAAAATTTGAAATCAAATTTTTTGAAAAGGAAAAATATGTCAAATGAAAGGAAAAACTTTTTCATAGAAAAAAATCCAGTCCCTGGGATTCATCTCTGAGTTTTATATATATACCGGGAATTTATCATGGTAGAATAAAATTATTCATTTGACAAAAATCAGAGATGGGAACTGTTTTTTATTCAGTGAAATTTGACAAGTTAAATTACAGATAATGCAGAGACGGATAGTCTTTTTTGAAATGACTACCTCATACCATCATTGACATATTGTTTTTACTAAAATCTGTTGTGAAATTTAGCGATAAATTTATTTCACATATCAACCAACCCTTACCTAAATATTTGTAGTGATTGCATCATCTATTTGCAAAAGAACCAGAACAATGTCTATACATGGTCGTATTAGAAAACTACTGTTAGCCTCTGTTTCTCAAACATTTGTATACTCCCATCAATGTCTCGCGACCTAGTGTACCCTTAATACTTACTTTTGCCCATTCAGCACACTACCATTTACATACAACCCTGCGCATAATGCGCTGATTTGCTGAAAAGAAATCATACATCAGTTCAATCGCATACATTTAAATGGCTTGTGCACTTGCGACCGACGTTGTTCGTTGTCGTTCGTTGCCATCGTAAGTTGTTGTGTCCGCTGAAAAATTTTCTTTCTTTTTGATTTAAAAAAAAAATATCTATAAAATTAAAATACACTGCTGAGCGCAAGAGAAGACACATTGAGAGCAAACGAGAGAGCGAGAGAGAAAGAGAGCAAGAAAATTAAAAAAAAAAAGTTGGATCTTTGCAACAATTCGAAATGCAATTCAAGAAAAAAGAAATATGAATTTTAATAAAAAGAAATTATACAATTATGCGAATTAACTTTAATTTTCCACGATATTGTTCGATTAAAATTGCACAAACACACACACAACAATTTAGGAGAGAGCACACGCATAAGGGCAGCAGCAATAAAATCGAAAAATAAAAAATCAATTTTTTTATTAACTTAAAAAATGTTACAAGTGATTGGATAAATGTTTTTTCTTTCAACTTTTTTGTTTTTTGAAAAAGAATAGAAAAATGGAATACTATTATTTTTTTTGTAGATTTTTTACGCTTTTCTTTGGTTTTAATTGGAAAAATATCTAAAGAATTCACTTAAAAATTTCATTACGAACGGATGAATAATAACAATAAAAAGAAGAAGCAGCATTAGTAAAATAGCAAGACAAAAATGTTTTTTTTTTTTTCGTTTCGTTCGGTCGGTTTTTTGAATCGCGTATATTTGCTGGTGCCTGCCTGCTTTTGTGTCTTCGCACGGTCGCGGTCCGCTGAGGCAAAAATTCAACTGTCTAACAAAGTAAACGCTCGTTTTGTTCGTTGCTCGTTAATGTTATAGAGTATTTACTCTCGTATGAAACGGTAAAAACAAGAACAACGAAAGCCGATTTGCCAAACGAACGGCTGTGTGTGAGCGGATGTGTGTGTGTGTGCATGCGTTTGTTTGCGCGCATGCATGTGGTTGTGACGGGAAAAAAATCAAATAATGAAACGAAAAACCCCCAACGCCGCCACACGAGAGAGCCTTAAGTGAGTTATAGAGCGCGAGAGTGAGAGCGAGAGAAAGTGTGAGTGCAAACAAAAGTGTTAACCCAGAAAGAGCAAGAGATGGAGAAATTGAAAAAGACATGGAAAGAAAAAAAATATTGTGTGCTTCGTGTGTTTTCCCCCATGATTTCAAAAATTTATTTTACTTATCATCATCATTGTGTGCTCTCTCTCTGTGGCGGTGTCTCGTCGTCGGTGAAGAGTTTTAATTTATTATGTCTTGAAAATACGAAATGTACTGCTATTTTTCCCTTAATTTTTTTTTTTTGATATTTGTTATAATTAGCAACAACATAAAGAAAACAAAACTAAAAAGTTTCAACTTGTTAAAGAAGAAATTAATAAAACAAAAAAAAAAAAAAATAAAGAAGAAAAAGAGAGAAACATAAAGACAAACACTTGAAAAAGGCGTTGGATTTCTATTTGGATGAGAATAAACTCAAGAAAATTTTGTACTGCAGAAAAAAAGCTGGGCTGAGGTTGCGCTTGCAAGTGCGAAAAAGAAACAAAGACCCAGCGCTTTACAAAAAAAAGGTGACTTAATTTCTTTTTTTTTTTTTCGTTTGTTTGTTGCTTAATTTATGTTCATATATTTATATTTAGGTTATGTTTTCTCTTAATGGTGGTATTATCATCGCAACAGACTATGATTACTTACTACTAGCCCCCTCTTCTGCCCACCCCTAGAGAACAAAATAGCTATTTTCTTTTCCACTTACATCAGAGAAAAAAATGAAATGAACAGAAATTGTCTCATTTATTTTCATGAATTGTTTTCTTTTCTCATTTTCGGCTGGCAGTTCATTCTTGTGTGTTTTTTTACATAAATAATACTACTGTATCTTCTGCTTCTTCTTCTTCCTATTTTGATTTTCATCAATATTCTGTTATTTTGATTTTCTTCATGAAACACACAAGCACACACACACCCAGCAAAAAAATGTAGAAGAAGAAAAATTGCACCTTCCTCCTTTGGTGTTCTCATTTCTAAATAGTTGTGCTCAATTCCTTGGCTTTTGTTATTGCTGTTGTTGTAACACCGTGTAGTGTGTTTAGTGAGTGTAGCATTAGTAGTAGTAGTACTCAACTCATTTTTGCCATATAGACGTCATTTAGTGGTCGTCGTCAACTGCTGTTGCTGCTTCGGGCGTACTTATGTGTTGTGTATGGTGGTGTGGTGGTAGAGTCGATCGGTCTCTGGTGTGTCGTCTTTATTATTGCTTTTTGATTGGAAAATTGGCGATGCATTTTTTGTTCATCGTCCGTAATTTAAGAAAAAAATCAGTTCTATTTCTCACTGCCGTACTAAAGATCTAATTCATTTGTGTTTTGGCTGACTGTGACTGGCTGGCCGCTAAGGGGTTTTATTTTTAATTTGAAGATTTGAAAAACTTGATTTCCCCACAAAACAGAACCTAGTAGTTGCTTTATTTTCTTTTTTATTTTGTCTATGATGTAAGAACAACACAATGCTGCTGGTGATGTAATGTTAGAATGTACATATATTCTTTTAATATTTCAAAGAAAATGTAAAAATTTCCGCAATAAGAAATGTCTCCCACCCCCTTTTACAATTTCTCTATCAATTGTTTTTATTTTTCCTGTTTTTTTCGACCTTGGCTTGGCATAGGTAGATATAGGCAAAATGCAATTCAGGGATGTTTCTCTACATGGTTCTGGTGGCGGCGGCGACGATGATGCATCGTCATGTTTGCACTGTTTTGCATTATTAATTAAATCCAATACAAAACAGTCCTCGCCACGACTAATTGCCTCAATATCTTTTGTTTCTGGATTCCCCTTTAGGGCAGTAACAACGCCAACAACAACAACAACCTGACGGCAAAACAAAAATATCAATGATAAGTTTAATCCATAATATTTGTCATGGCTGCCTAGCGATAGGGTTGCCAATGTGTGATGGAAATCTACCCCAAAAAAAGGAATATGTAAGTTCCTTATATTGGTCATATTTAGAGATGGAGGTAAAACGTTGTTTTGTTTTATGAGCTTGTTATTAATATTTTGGCATAAATGTCAAATCAATTCAAAAGTGTAGTGTGTACGGTTCCCAAAGGGACTAGTTCATTTCAATGATTCACTGAAGAAGCATAACTGACCTAGTTCAATTGAACTGTGGGCTAAAACGAAAGACAAAGTCGTCTTTCTATTATTGTTATAACCAAAGTATTTTTGTGTAAAAGTTCTTAAAGTACGTTAATGGGTTACTGGATTTAATGGTGGGTTTACATACCACCCATAGTAAGGATATAAATGCTGTTCAGCTGATGCTTATTTATGATTACATATGCAAAAAAGCCCAAAAATTATGTTAAGGAGCCAAATTGGAGGCAACTGATGTTGAATAAAAGATTTCAATTTCTCGGAGTGTTTTGATTAAAGAAAACAGTCATACCTTCCGTCAGTATACATTTTTTTATTTCTGTCAAAAAATATATATTTCTAGCAAGGGTATATTAAGCTTGTTATTCCGTATTTGTGGCACGTAGAAATATATATTCTAGATCCTAAAAAATTATGTATATTCCTGATCAGCATAAAAATCTATATCGATTTGGCATGTCCACCCTTTACGCGAAAATCGCTAGTTTCCGTAATATGCGGTATTTTCTCGGTTTTTGATCACATTTTTTAGACTTATTAGCCATTATTTGTACAATAAACCTGAAATCGGATTAAGCATATATATTTGAGCTATATCCAAATCTTAGCCGATCTCGATAAAATTTGGCAAAAGTTTTTTCCGAACTCTACCAAATACAATTGTTGTCGAATGCATATTGCGAATGTGAGGGACTTAAACACCAAATCGTATGAAACATATATGTACATGAGAGCTATAGCTATATCTGAACCGATTTTCATCAAACTTGGCATACTTGTTTCTATACTCAATTTCGTGGTAAGTTGCAAATTCCATACCATTTGGAGCACTATCAATCCGAAATCGGTTGAAGCTATATATGAGAGCTATATTTGAATATGAACAGATCTTGATAAAATGTGGCAGAGGTATTTCTGGGCTATATCTGATACTAAGCATCATTGTTGTCGAATGCATATTACGAATGTGAGGGACTTGAAACTCCAAATCGGATGATACATATGTATGGGACCTATAGCTATATCTAAATTGATTTTCACCAAATTTCATGTACTTGCTTCTAGATTGAATTCGGCCGGATGTGCCAAAATTCAGGTCATTTCGACTGATATTGGCCATTTGGTGGACAATTAACCTGAAATTGTTGAAGATATATAAGGGAGCTATACCTAAATCTGATCCGATTATCACCAATTTCCATTTTCGTCCTTGGACCAGACAAATATTATTAGGAAAATTTCATTTCAATCGGATAATCGGTGCGACCTGCGGACGGACGGACTGGCATGCAGAAATCGATTCAGAAAGTGTTTCTATGAAGATCCTCAAAAGTAATTATGGGTCTATTTCGCTTCCTTCTTAATGTTACAAACAAATGCACAAAGGCATAATACCCTTACCACTATGTGGTGTAAGGTATAAAAATCCAGAGGTGTGACCAGGTTGAATGTATTTAAATTTGACGGGTTAAAATATTGGACATGCAGAGCTGAATATTCTTATTTGAAGGGAAATGGTCTACTTTGTGAGATTATATTCTTCTTTGATCGGAAATAAATGTCAATTCCATATCTAAGGAATAACTACAAAATATAAATTATGTAATGAAGGCAAGTTAAATGAAAAAAGTAATCGTAGAAAAGATTACCTTTGTAATTGTAGCACTGCTCCAATCTTGAAAATATCTACTTTTACTGGATATTTTTACAAACAAGATTTCTTAGTATTTTAGGCCTATATTTGGTAAAATTAGGAAGATAAAGTCATCTCAAACTATCGAACTCTGCATTTTCATTTTCAGAATTAAAAACAGGTTCCATCTCTGGTTTCTGTGCAGACAATAGATTTATAAATATAAATTTTGACAATGAGATATTTTCAAATGAATAATTTTGAAAAAATTGTAATCCTATGATTGCATGAATTATTTTCTTAATTCTACCATGGGCCTATAAAAATCCTGTAAATAATGTTTAAATAAACAATTCGCACCTTTATATCCCTTTTATATTATGACAACCTTCAATGACCATGTCTGTCTATGAAAATAATATTTCGAGATGGCAACCCTCATATGCTCTCCCTCTCATACTATGCAATTTTCTCATTATTCATTTCGGTATATTATTTTGCATAAAGGAAGAAAAAGCGCAAATGAACGTGGAAATTTGCAAAAATAATAAACAATGTTTATAAAGAAAAAAAAAACAACAACAACAATTGTAAATAACAAAAGAAAAATTGTTTCCAATTTCCAACAACTAATTGCGTTTTTGCAATTGCACTGAGAGGGACAGAGAGAGGCATGAAAAGAGTGAGTACCTATTTTATAGAAAAAAAAATAAAACATGCCAATGGATGATGATGAGATGGGGTTATAAGGTTATTAAAATTACAATTAGTTTGACTGTTGTTGACATTGATGGAAAATGGAGGTGGTGTGAGTACTGCGTGTATAGGTAAGTATATAGCAAAACGTCTTATGACGTCACGAGCAATGAAAATTCACAAATGGATTCCGATTTTGGGAGGACGATACGATATCAATGCCAAACGAGAGACTTGTCTGCCCTAATGCACATTTTTTGTTGATATGTTGAAGATTAATTTTTCGTTGAATCATCTTATTCTCAGAAATCATGAGTTTTTCCCAAAACATTCCAGGATTCACTCTCTTGGTCACACAGTTGCATTTTTTTTGTTTGTTTCTATTTTTGTACCTAGAAACCAGTTTCTTGCTCATCTTTCATTTCTTTGTCTGCCTCCTTTCGATCCTTTCATAGATTGCTCATACACACATTTGTCATGGCAGCAGGAAGCCATGTCGGTCGTCAATTAGGCAAAACAAAATTAAAGAAAATTTAAATTACTCATTAAAAACTAAGGCGATTTCAAAATATTCCACCCCACACTTCCTCCCACTCCTCCTTCACAACGGCATTTTTAAGTAAAAGTAATGTGACGACGACGACGACGACAAACAATGAAGACCCCAGTAGACATCATCGGACGTAAAGGAAAGCAAAAAAAAAAGAGGGCAATCGTAAGTCAGCAAACCACCAAAACAAAAGAATTTTTAACGTTGCCCGATGATGATGTTGTTGTTGTTGTTTTATTGTATCATCACCATCATCGTCGTCGTCGTATGTGTTTGAACAAAGGTTGTTGGTGTTATTATCGTTGTTGTCGTCGTCGTTGTGTGCTTCCTCTTCTTTTTTCATTTTGTGGACATCTTCTCTCTCCTCTTCCTCCTCTATGTGATGAACACAAAGAAACAAAAACAACAACAGCCAACAATGAAATCAAATGGCGACCACGCCGTTTTTCTGTTCGTTTATCGTCGTTCGCAGACCAGCTTTTATCGTTGAATTCTTTGTAGAGACGGCTGGCATAGCAGCCAAAGACTAAA